CGTTTCCTAGTCCGAGTCTTGTCACCTCGTAACATCATTCATCGTGTCGATTCGACGATCTGGAACTGAGATCATGCTACGGCTTATGGCTCATGAACCATAAAGGTTGTAAAAAAGAATACCGATGGCGAGCAAGCATAAAACTTCACTGCTGTATTAACATCTACCCATCGCGGCGGCTCTCTGCCTAACCTAGTCAGTTCACCAACTTGTTTCTGAGTAGGGCGGTGAAAAATAATTGACCAGTAAGGGTGTGCTGACTTGCAATTGGTGAATAGTTCTTCAATCGTAATTTGGTTTGAATATTAGTGAGCTGGCATCCGTTTTATTTGCGAGCATCCGAGTCCGCCGGAGTGTTGGAAGAACTCCAACCGGTCTGGCAAAACAATTCAAGCACATGAAAGTTCCATTTTGCCAACTGGTCCGGGAAAATGTTTCAAGCACATGAAAGAGTTTGGCTGTACCAAACACTGATCATGTATTAAAGCCAACCTGCACAGCCCAGAAAACACCATCGACTATGAAATCGACTTCACTTGCCACTATTGTCCTATCTGCAGCAGTGATGACTATCGCATCTGATTCAGCTACATCACCCCTCCACGATCCCTGCTCCCCTCCTAGTGAGTACTTTGCGGCCTACTACGCGCAGACTGCATACTTACAGTTATCCACAGATACATTGCAGTGCATATCGGGCACTGTTGGTAGCGATTACGGTATTACGTGTGGACCAACATCTACAGTTGAATTTTATATGTTATGTTTATGCAAAGGTTGCTGTTGAATACTACACAGAAAGAGCATAGACTGCAATGGTGGCACCAGGCCGCCATCATAGCTAGAAAATCACCGAGATACTTAGTATGGGAAGTGAGATCTTGCGTATTATGTAATGTCGAATTATTCAAGTTCTTTGCTTTCCTTGCTTCAGAAGACAGCCAATACCTGAATATTGAATACCGATGGAAAGCAGGAATATATATCAAAGCATCTATCTGGATCATCACAACACCTGCCTGGTATCCTCATCAGTCGCTCCAAGCTTTATCCTACGAGCCAAAAAAAAACCCAGTAAAGTTGCGTCTGATCATGCATAACCTCAAAGGAAAGTGCATCTGATCTAATTCTCTTCTTCCCACTACGGTGTTCCCTACCGGGGACCAGGATAAAATTATGCACAGTGAGATCACATCTATTTAACTTCTGAGCATCCCCCACTAGTGTTGTCGGAAGAACCCAGGAGTTTCGCCAACCGGTCTGACAAAATCTTTTGTGTTACGACTTGGATGGTATCTGTTGGCGACGCTCAAACAGAGCTTGTGTCGTCAACGGTCTGTGGACGTCCTTGGGCTAGCCCAAGGTTAGGGGTCGTACTTGGCGTGTCTTCGGCAAGTACGATTTAACGCCTATGTCCAAATCGGGTAGCTTATGTCACGCGGGTGCGAGACGATAAGCTATATCGGCCTAGGCTTACGACACCCGAAGGTTAATCGTAAGGATCGTCGTTAATTAGAAGGACAGAAGTCCGACTAGTTAACAGGGGCTTTGTTCGTCGACGAAGTCGATGAGCAAAGGTCGAGACTATAGGCTTATCCGCGAAGAGCAGATAAGAAGATAGAATATAGACTGCTGGCGAGGCAGAAGGATCACTCTGGTGAGAGTAGGAGGTCAAGAACCAAGTAGATTCAAGTTAGGGAATATGGTACATGGTAGCGAGTTTATATAGAGGACAGGAGACGTATTAGTGGATGATAACTCGTACTACCGGGAGAGGCAATCGGTAAAGGGTAAGACCATAATAGGAAGGCACGTTCGATCGAGGCAGAACGTGCTGGATAAGAAAGTGAGTCAAAGATCAGAATGAGAAGTGAAACACGCAGGGGCACGATCGTGCAACTGCGGATCTAAGTATAAGTCGCATGTGCGACTGCGCACCGAGTCAGAGATCAAGAAAGGAAAATAGGGCAAAGGGGATGCGTCATGCATCGTGTCATAGGTTACCATCCAGATGGTAAGGGCAAGGGGACTGTCCGCAGGATCAGTCAGGTGGTGAAACGGAGCATGGGTATGCTTCGTCAGCGAAAGGATCCGGCCAAATGTACTGGCTTTGCTGAAGCGACAGGTAGAGGGCGAAAGGGAATGCGAGGATGACGAGGATGACAAGGGTAAGGTCGGGGTAAGGGTATGATGCGAGGGCTGATACGAGGAGGATCAGGAGAAAAATAGTAGGGGCCCAAGCGTCTAGATGTTCTTGTAACATTTTGTGCCTGCAGGATCACATCAGTGAATTCATCAGTCCTTGATATGGTAGCTGTGGGATCTATAGAGGGATAAACATCTTCTTCAGCAAAATAAGTCAATTTATAGGGTGAAAAATTTGATATATTAATACATAGGCATAGATGTTTGCAAATTTAGAGGACTGTGGGGAATTCGTGACAATGTCATTATTATTTTACATGATAACCAGCAAGGGTTGGTAGTCAAGTTGTGTTCTCCCTGTTGAATGTTCTTGATTCCCCCAACTTATGTTTCGAATTACAATGCTATTTAAGACTTTATCATGACAGGTAGCATTAGCAAGGGTCAGCGGTTGGAAATTGGTATGTGAATTTGTGACTACATTGTTACATGGCACCGTCACAGCCTGTGCGCAATAGTAGGTCAATTGTCTCATACTTGCTGAGCATTCGCACTTTCTTTGATTGAGGTCTTCGATTGTAAGGTCATTCAAGACTATCTCGCGGCACGCATATTTTGCAATTGTCTTCAAGTCTATATTCATGTGGCGGTTGTGACAATGTTGTGATGTTTCGTCATCACAACTGACAAGAGATGGAAGGGTACTCCGATAAACTTTGTTGAGCAATGTCACCCGACTTCATTGATGCTTGAAATAGAAGGCTATACACAATCTCACCATGGAGAATGGCTTTGGTATTTTCCATCGCATGCAGGCCTTTGTGAAAATCGCCATGAAAAATCACGATTTTACCCAATCACAGTCAATAAGGCATGGAAGGGTGCTGCGGTAAATTTTGTTGAGCAATGTCACCCGACTTCATTGATGCTTGAAATAGAAGGCTATACACAATCTCGCCATGGAGAGTGGCTTTGGTGTTTTCAATCACATGCAGGCCTTTGTGAAAATTGCCATGAAAAATCACGACTTTACCCAATCGCAGTCAATAAGGCATGGAAGGGGTACTCATGTCAACCCCTTGACAGTCCTCATTCCTAATTCTCCACATCCTGGCTCATAATGCCATTTAAGATGTCTCTGGCAAAGGTGATACGGCTCCCAGACGATCCTGTGGACATTTTTTCTCCACCATGAAGTCACGGGAGCCTGAGTAACTTTGGTACACATATCATTCGTAAAAATGCCGTGACAGTACAATGGTGCGGGTAGTATAGTAAGTGAGCACACAATGATCAGCGGCAAAGAAGTTCAAGTTGAAGGTGGGTCACATGTTATTTTAGAAGGAAAAATCATTGAATTCATCCCCGTCATCCTGTTCCTCGTCACTCGGGCTGGACCCATATTCACACCCTTCATCTCTGAGTTGATCCTCTCCATCTTCATCTAATTCTTCAAGCCCTTTGTCGTTGTTATCGTGGCCATCGCCAAGCTCGTCACATCCTTCAGAACATTCATCATCACTGCCCTTTTCACTGTTTCCATCATCCTCGTCATTCACAACGTCCATGGCATCAGCCCACGCCGCCAACAGAGGGCCAAAGCAGTCCCTGGCTATTCTTCGCAATGCTAAGGGATGTCCTACGCCTAAGTGGGTATATTGCATGAACATGTCTCGATCAACGAATCTGGCTCAAAGTAAGTGGGTTTTCTTCACATCTAGAATATGTGCACTTACATTCCAACATAGAGCTCCTCCCAGTCGTCTAACTGCCCCTCAGGTCACGCCAATGATTTTCCTTGTCGGAGTGAGCTAACACCATGTCCAGAGGCAAATGCGGGAAGCAGATGGGCGCCTCAAATGACTTGCCCTGAATCGAGAAATCCAAAGGAATCCAGGTTGGACTCCTCAACGAAAGCAATCTTTGGAAGCCGAGCTTGCCTCATGCCAGACCTATGGCCCTGAAGAATTGCTAGCCATCGGACCCAGAGAAACTCAAGGCGCTACTTCAGGAGTTTGCCGCCATTCCCAGTGAGCCATACGTCCACGTGATAAATACCCAACACCCTGGCATACCAGTATGGGTGTCTGGGCGCTGACTCGCCTGAGAGGACCATAACGTCACTGTGAGCTCTGGGGTTGATGGTGTCGTATTCGCGCCTTATGTCGTAAGTTGTGTAGTATACTTGCATGGTCTGAACTGAGTAAATGATGTTGTTGGGAATGATCACCACATTTTGTTTGTTGTCTGTAAAGGTGTGGTCGCAGTGACTAATGTCTAATCCCCGAAGCCTATAGAGTATGTGATCCCTCAGTTTCGGTATAAAATTCTGACAGTTTGAATCAGTAAAGTATGACGCAAGTGTATGAGCTTTGTTTCTACCTTGACAGCCAGATCACCGTCATTTTCTCGGAGAAAAGAAAACAAGTTGATGGGATTATTCAGCGAATTTGTGATATGGTGGTGCATTTTGGAGGACACTGAAGGGGGAGCATCGGCTTGCGATCGGTTGCTTGTGGAGGACACAGTTCCATCTGCTTCCGCTACCCGCCGCAGAACACGTTGTCTGCGCTCATGTTTGGCCAATTGTGCTGGTGTATCTAATTTGTTGGTTAGCGGGTAGAATGCTTTGAGGGCTCTGTGGGCAAGTTCTCCCTATGCGAACTTAATGTCAGCTACACAGCAGGAAAACATGACATACATACTATCTGAGTAGTAAGGGAATCCATGGTCCCGAAGAATCTGATAGTTGTCGCGTAATCTTCCATAGCATGGAATTTATATGTCAGTAAATTGAACTTCTTGGATTTCTCTCTGCGGCTGGACTCTTGAGAAATGTTGCCGCCGTTTTCAGAATGTTGAGAAGCCTTTTTTTGACGAGCTGCTTTTTCTCTGGGTAATTCAACAGCATTGAAGGCAGCACAGGTAAAGTTTCGTAATTTCCGTAACTTGCGAGAAAGCTTCTGAAAAGTTTCTTCAAGAAAGGTGATTGTAGACCTTGAATGCATCCTGAGCTTTGCGAGGGCATGCCATTGTGCAAACTGATAAAGCAGAGATTGCACAATTGCATCGTGGTCCGGGGGAAATAGCCCTTCGAACACCGGAATGGCACACTAATGACAGAGAGTACATCAGCAAATCAAATACAAAGCTTGAACGACTCAGAAAACCTGCAGGATGTCCTCAAATTCACATGCTGCTAATCTTTTCATTTCAGAAGTGTTGTTCGAAAATTTGCAAATTACGCCGTTACCGAAAGTCGGGATCTCTCGAAATCTTGCCAGGCCATTCTAGTCAGCAGGTCGTAGTGCCCTAAATAGTACGAACTTCGCCTACCTGCTATCGAGGATCGCAACGAGCTGGCTACCTTGTGGAAGGGCATACAGAAGCCTGATTAGATGTGTAAACAGCGCTTTCCAGGTGCCCAGTTCGCACTCGTGCATGAGGTCCACAACAAGCATACGGAATGGGTCGAGGCTAAACTTTCCAAGCTTGTGCACAAAGCGGTTCTTGCAACAGACAGTCTGAGTCAATTGAAAAGCTCCAGAGACTATTGCACTCACCAAAATAGGTACCCACGAGCCCTCTCCAAGAGTATTTTCCACCTTTGCGCCATCTACCATGTGTCCCGATGCAATAAAATCATGAGCCCTAGCAACATTGGACATTATGTATGTTTGAAGGTTTGCTACACGGCTTTTCATGTCGCCCGCCTGCCCCAAAGAACCGAACAAGGCTTTCGGCATAAAACAGCAAGGGCAGGGACATGAACCCATATCTTTGATAGTAGCGATCAACACCCTATAAATTGATGTGATTCAGTGGCATTCTTGAAGACGCAATGGTTGAAATCCTTACTTTTCTGGATAGTCAGGTGAGTATGTAAAGATTCGGGGAAAGACCCTCCATAACACACCATCGGCGCATTTTAAAATGATGCCGTGGTGGTATGCCTCGATAACATCTTCATCCAACAAAATGTCCCAACAGGAATGAAACAATTCCCTGCGGCAATAGGTGAGAAGGGATGCTATTCCAATTTTTGATATGTGAGACAGGCCGCTCAGAACATCTTTAATACTGTCAGGAAGCTAAATTTGTTAACAGCAGCAGAGAAACACGCTGGCATCAATAAAACTCACTGAAGGCAAAAATCCTACAAGGTGGCATGCTCCCAATTGGGGTGACAACCGTGCGTACTTAGTCAAATTTCCAAAATACAAGTAGAGCGGCCAAGCTTTTGCGGTTCCGAAGTTTTCTGAGGCTATACTGTCATAATTATTGATACAAAGCCAGTCATTGTAGAACAACAGTTATGCATACTCACCTAGGATCCCCACCCCCCATAGAGTATGCATACAGGGAAGAATCCCTCAAGGAAGCATACAGATGCGGAAGCCTGCCTTCTGGCACTTCTCGGGCGTCTCCGTATGCCCTTATTAGGATATACCAAACTGTTGCTCTAAAAATACAATCAGTTGGAACTTCTCGGGAGTCTCCGTGTGCCCTAATTAGGACATACCAAAACTGTCTCTCTAAAAATACAATCAGCATGGTGGTTCTCTGGGTTCTTTTCCCATTTTATGTGATCAGCAGGTCCCAAACAGGATGGCGGCATAGCTGCATGTGTTTGTTTTGACTTTGCAAGTATGAATGAACCAATATCATGTGATGTGTCAGTGAACTTGAAATTCACACCAAGTCTCGCGGATGAACCAATATTGCGTGATGTTCAGCGAACTTGAAATTCACACCAAGTCTCGCAGTTTTGAGTTTGCGAAGTATGAATGAATGAATATCACGTGATGTCAGCGAACTTGGATTTCACCCCAAGTCTCCCGAAAATTTACACTAAGTCTCGCGAGTGACTTTGATGAGCCTGGGTATTCAATGGAGCAAGAAAACAACGTGTATTTTGAGGGACATTATATAAACATGTGAATAAGGTGAGTACTACGCCAGTGTCATGCCATGAAGATTGTGCGCCACAAACAAAAAGGACAAGAAATCAATCAGCAGATAAAATTTGGTATCCGCTGCTCAAGGAGCTGACTTGCATGGCCTGGATCAAGACGTTATAGTCCGAATCAACAAGCAAAAAAATAAACTTACTTTTGTGCCCTTTCGTGAGTGCCAATGCTATTGGCTTCTGCTAGACGTGTTGACGGCACATGTGTGCGACTGCTGCGTCACACAGACTGATTCGGTATGTCCTCAAGAGGCATCCTCATACATGGCGAGGATGTGATAGCTGCTGGTACCTGAGAAGCCTTGGAAGCAGAAGATGTAGTCTTGGTAGGCGCGGCAGGAAGAGATGAAGTCATAGACGTGGTCAGCACAGTAGGAAGAGATGAAGTCGCAGGAGACGTAGTTAGCATGGCAGGAAGAGGAGATGGAGTCACAGGCTCCAGCAGCTGCACAACAGTAGGCGAAGAAGCCATGGCAGAGGGAAAGGAGGTAGTAGGGGGCAAATCAAATGCCACCGGAAGTGGTGGAGGTATGACTTCTGCCAGAGAAGGAGTTTGGGTGGCCCGAGAAGGCACGGGAGATGACGGGGGAGAATCACCAAACCTGTCATACATAGATTTTGATTTCCCCTCATATGGCTGAGGATGAGGACGATGAGGACGATTCACACTGCCTGATTCAAGACGAGCCATAGCGCTACGAAGACGGGGAGGAGTAAGTTGGCCGGGATAAGGAGGCAGCATTGGGAGTGATGTTTGCCACGAGTCGACATGCTCTTCTGGTCCGATTGTGTAAAGCGTGTCATCAGACATCATAGGAGGCTCAATTGAGGCTCCCATGCTACCCTCATAGAGCGTGTCGTCGGACATCATAAGCGGCTCTAGCAATGCGCCGAGGAATCCCAGGGAGTTGTCGAATGACTCATCTTGGCGGATCTCATCGGGAAGCACATTAGCCGCTGGCAGAGTAAGGTCAGGCGAGGTAGCGACTGTGGAGGAAGTGTGGGTAGCCACTGGCAGAGTAAGGTCAGGCAAGGTAGCAACTGTGGAGGAAGTGTGGGTAGCCGCTGGCAGAGTAAAATCAGGCTGAGGTAGCGAAGGCGCCCTTGAGGAACATGGTGAACGGTTCGACAAGACGCGAGTGATGGTCTGGGAGTGCTTCACGGAAGGTGAGGCCAGTAGACCCCTTCCCGTGGTGAAAGCTGTGAAGAACATTGTCAGTATCGATGTGGTAGGCATGCTGTGCATCCCTACCTGAAAATGCGAACATCTCCGGCCACACGTGGGTCTGGTCCTCCAAGGTAAATACTTCCATACCAGCCAGTAGTTTCTTGAATAGTCTGTAGAAGCTGCCCGACTACAGCACTGAGGCCTTCGATGTACCTGCATGAACATGAACTTCAATATAATAGCATGTTTTGGGAATGTACTTACTGCATACATGCCAACTCATCAGGATTGCGTAGTGCCTCCAGTTCAGCCTTCGCCTTCTCAGCACGGTGCTCACACTCCATTTTCTTCACATATTCTTGTCCACGAGCACTCATTGCCTTGGCAGCTTCCACGCGAAGTCCGGACATGTGATTCTGTCGGGTGTATTCACCATTCTTCAAGTGAGCCTGGATGTCTTCCTTGACCGAGGACCCAGACTGATATTCAGTATGAATGAAGTGTTCAACGGCGGTTGGCCCACGTGTGCGCTCGGTGGAGGAGCCCATCAACTTCGTGATGGTTTTGGTGAATTGTGTGACTCGTGCTCGCCCCACGGCTGAGGCATTGCGGTAGAAGTAAGAACGTAGTTGCTGATTTTGGTATAAGCGATTGAATATGAAATTATAAATACAATACACTTATGGCCTTACACTGCTTAAGATGGTGTCCTAAGCTAATGTGTTGCTCTTTTGAGAGCTGTTCTTCCGTAAGTACCACACCAGTTTCATCCTTGAAGTGCACTGCGGCCTCGGGCCACTTTGCGAACCATTGAGCATTTACCTCTGACAAGTACGTAGAAACATTGCCCTGCAGCTGGCTCAATCAAAACCCATCCATCTTCTCTGACAGCCAAGCCAACTGTTCGCGCAACATCCACGAGGCTCCAGGCATCTGATCAACCGATATTAACCTCAAATGAATGACATAAGTCTGTATTTGGTACGTACTGTGTGTTTTTTTACTCTTGACTCCATGATGGTGACCCAGAGTGTGGTATGCAAACACACCCGGGTGGGATTTGAACCTTAATAGGTCATCAACCAATGAGCTCCCATGGATAAGTGGAAGTTACCGATGAGTATTAAATCTGCCCATCAAACAGCATCCAGAATTAGTTCGTTACCCACATAATGTTTACCCGTCAGTAATACTCCTGCTTTGCTCATTCGTTTAAAATGAAGGTCTTCCCCCACTTTGGCGAGGAGCAGACATTCAGTCTTTCCGAACTTGCAAGCGCAGTGGAACTCATCCACACTCAAAATGGTATGCCCCAAGTTTCTCAACTCAACCCCTGCTCACTAATGTCCTTGTAGCCATCATGGATGCCCACCACGGGTAGTGAGACTCAACTCTTGAGTGGGTGCTGCCCTACTTGTGGCACCGACATCCAGATACCTTCACCTCCAGAAGATGAGAGTCCAGCGCTCTCATCTCCTGCTCCTGGCGTTATCGTCAACCCGACTCTGTCTGCTACATTGACTGCCATTTCCACTATTCCAGCTGCTCAGGCTCCTTCCACTGCTCCAGAAGTTGGAAGTGCAGCAAGCGCTGGACTCCCTACCTCTGCTCCGGCCGCTGTGGGCACCAATCCCCCAGCTGCAGCTGGACTCCCTACCGTTTCAGCCACTCAAACGGCTTTGGTTCCTCAGACCGCTCCAGTTCACGAGACTGCTGTGGTTTGCGCTACTGCTGCTGGCACATCTTCCTCGCTGGTACATTGTCACTGTGGGGCGCGAAACAGGTGTCTTCCAAGGCTGGTGTGTACATTCAATTTGGCTAAGTCAAAGTTTTTAACATCTTCACCAGGCACAACATCCATCAGCATGTGATTGGTGTCCCAGGCGCTTGCTTTGCATGCCACTTCAGCCTTGCTGCCGCTCAGGCTGCATATTCCAAGGCCGTCAACGATGGTGGGATCATGGAGGTGCCGCTCTAGTAGATACATACCAATACCACGTCGTGCTACATACCCATTCATGTACCGTTTTGCCATCTTGTCGTGTTTGCTCTCTTGAATGTTATTTGCGTACTGCACGTTGATTCGTCACTCTCGGTTATTGAGCTATCGATTTGTGTTCAAAAATGTGAGATGGTATTAAATAATAAATGTCCTGAAGTTGTGACGGTGACGCTTGAGTGACAGTGCTTAGCTACAAGCACTTTGTTTGGCCAGGTAGAAGGGTTTGAATTTCACCTTGAACATATACCACTTTATTCCACATTTTCAACATTGCTCTACAATTTCATGGGACGACATCGTAAACCCTCCGAACGTCAGGCCACACAAAAACACTCCAAGCGCTTATATTATATGTTGTAAGGCTCTAGCATGTTGCACTGTCGTTTGTTTAATCAACTATTTGCTAGGCATCTAGGGGATGAGAGAATCAAGGCAAGACTAAGGTGGAGACGACATCAAGGTGCTAACAAGGCAAGTTCATTTATGATAGCTTCAATAAGTTACGCTCATTTGAATACAGGCTACACTAAACGCCTTTCAGGCGATGGAAGATATGTGGACTTGCACGTATACAGGGTGCCGAAATCATAATGGGTGTCGGGATCGTTTCGTCGTGGTTTCTCAAGCTGTGGATGAACGGGGCTGGGATGTAGTTAGACCAGAGTTCATGGGGGAGCTAACTGTCGCTCAGGATTTCACAAAAGAAGCTGAGGCACTATCCACTTTGGTTGACAATCTCAACGGACCTTGCACTCAGCAGCTCAAATCAGAATGCTTGTGTCTGCTTCGTTTTGCTCATTTGTGGTTGACCTCAGAGGAGGAAATTCTTCATCTGATGGAACAAGGGCAAGACATCCTCGATGAGGTGTTCTTTGCTGAGAAGTTGATATGGCAGGCAGGTTGATGAGTATTTACTATGTACCATATTAGTCATAAGGTAGTTCTGTTTATTGAACATTGCATTTGCACTTTTTTTATCAGTGCCATGGTCAAAGGCCGTTATGGGTGCAAGCTCACCAGACTGCAGAAACAGTTCTGTGAAGAAAATGGTGCTCGACACGCTGCTCAAGCTGCTGCTGCTCAAAACCCAACTGCAAAACGCCCACACAATGTTGACAGTAGCCACGATCTTCACGCACACATATCTATTGATGTTACGAACATGGGCCATCCCTCTGTCAGAACTGTGTACTACCCAGCACCCAAAGTCACACTAGCAACACCTGCATGTACAGAGGCCGATGGAAGTATCTCAGAGACTCTCAACTTAGAAACCAATTTCGACGCTGTGGACGACGCTTACGTTGACTTTCTGGCGGAACAAAACACAAACGCTGAGCCTGTGAAAAGCAAACAAGATCGTACTCCAGGGGTGGGTGCATTGACCAATCTCCTGTTTACTGATGAAGATAACTTACCGCATTCCAGGATGATCCACAAAAACTATGGGCATGGGAGAGAGATAGTTTCTTGAAGGAATTCATCAGGCTTGAGGCACGAGGAGATGCTCCTTGGAGCCACGCATGTCATGGCCTACCAGACTGTGCGAACGAACCTACAGTTTGTTGCAGAGATTGCGAAGGGCTCCAACTCTATTGTCAGTTTTGCATTGTGTCGCTTCACAGTGCGATGCCATTGCACAATGTTGAGGTAATTTTCCCCCATCCATTATCACTCAAGTTCACAGTTATCATATAGATTTGGACGAACACATACTTTCAGTGGATTTCCCTTCGGGTTTGGGTCTATGCATTCAACTCGGCCACCCAGCAGGCATCCAGTGCGACAATCCTGTTCACACATTCGACTTCACAGTTTTGGACATAAATGGTATACATAGTGTCTCGCTCTTTTTCTGTAATTGCGCAACTGCCAAGACACGTACAATCCAAATCTTATGCTCACGATGGTACCCTGCGACATCAACTGATCCACGAACTGCCGCCACCTTCCGTCTTCTTGACAATTTCCAAATGTACACCTTCGAGTCCAAAGGCTCTGCCTTTGAATATTGGCAGACTCTGTCTCGCCTGTCAGACAATACGGGAACAAATCCGCCCAAGGTATGTATTGATATATATTATTTTTCCATCCATCAACTTATATTAATTCTAGGACCGTTATGAGGCTCTCTTGCGAATGAGTCGACAGTACCGATATTTGCTAGCTCTCAAGCGAGCTGGTCGTGCGCACAATGTCCGTGGAGTACTGGGTACGAAGCCTGGGGAGCTCGCTGTCCCATGCCCTGCTTGCCCTCAACCTGGCAGAAATCTCCTGCCAGGTTGGGACAGTGCTCCTCCAAATGACAGGTTAGTTATTTTCCCCTCTGTGTATGCTGTCAGCTTACCTGTGTATAGATGGTTATTTGCCTTGTTTCCTGGAATTGATGCAAACTTCCGAATGTGCTGCCGTAATAAGTCATCAGAAGAAGCAGATCCAAGCCTGAGCACGGGGTGGGCATACTTCATAGAGGAATTGAGCTTCAAAGGGCTGTTGGCCGAGCATGCTGGACAAACTCAAGAGGTAAGGTGTAATGGTCTCGTTAATTCTATTGGAGTTCTAACTCTATGTTTTAGAAAAGCTCTTGTGCTAGCCACAATGCGGTGAACTTCGCGGATTCCAAGAACATGCGCGGCCTTGCAGCAACAGGCATTGGTGCCTGTCGCTGTCGTCTGTGCGAGGCACAACTTCAAGCAGGCCGTCTGCCGTCAGAGATCTCCAAAAGGGCGAGAAGTGAGTATTGTTTGTATTCTGTTCATGCTCACTAATGAATTATCAGATACGTGAACATGGACTTTTTATTTTTCTCAACATTGACACATTCCAGTGACCTGGCGGTTTTTAATATATCATACGATATTGTGTGCCAGTGGAGCAAACACCTCTGGACATGCATGTCACGCTATCCTTCGACGCTTCATTTTTCTCCTGGCAGCAAGATGATCACATTTCTCAGTACCCAAGTTCCACCTCCCAGCACACATTCCCGCTTGTCAAACCACCTTCTCATTCAATCTCATTAAAGGCATGGCCAGAACAGATGGGGAAGCACCGGAGAGAGCATGGTCAAATATTAATCCCGTGGCAACCAGTACCCGTGAGATGGGCCCTGGCTCGAGGCGGGATACCCTCGACGACCATTTCAGTGATTGGAATTGGTGCAAGGTCTCCAACTTCGGTACGCCCGCTTGATTTCTTATATTCCCTGGTATCTGACCTCTCTGACAGGGCCCTTTCTCTTGCAAAAGTTGAAGGAAGCTATCCCACAGCAGGACCAACATGTGTTGGACCTGAGGGACTTTGAGGAGGCCATTCCAACAGAGAGCCTTACATCATGGCATCAAATGGTGGAAGAATGGGAGGCTGACCGCTCCAAACCTAATCCGTTCGAATCAGGCCGCTGTCCCTATAACTCAAGCTTCTGTCTGCCTTGAACTTTCGCAAGCTGAAGCAGATCAGCTCAAACTGTGGCTTGGATGTCTCCTTGCATGCTGAAGTGTCGCCAAGTGTCTTAATAGCAGCTGGAACAGATCTGGAAGCGCAGCAGTGAGTACAATGTTCATTACCTGGACAGGACACACAACTAATCAATGATTTATTAGATGCCGCCTTGCCACTGATAAGGCAGTCATTGGTATGCACTCCACTGATATCCAGCTTTCAGCCTTACAGCAGTGGACAAATACGTTGCACCGCCGACTGGAGCACTGGGCGAAAATCCAAACTCTTTATATGCCGTATGTTGCGCGACTGCGAGAGACCTGACGACTTGGGCCCCGGGTCTGAGGAAGAAGCAGTCCATAACACCAAGTTGTGGCTACCTTCTGCAGTCCTCAGACTACTCATGCATTGCGACACTAACCTCACACGTATTGAGTGGCAGCTCCATGTTGCTCAGGCTCACGAGGCCTTACATAAACTTCGTCAGAATTTGCATCTCAAATGCCACCTTACGGGATTCAAGAGAGATTGGATTACGGGACAGCGCACTCACACACGGTCGCGAGGTATCATTGACACCGTTCAAAAGAAGATCGATGCTGCCGCGACCAAGTATAACATTGCTTGGAGTGCACTCGAAGTTCTGGCTGAGGCGCTCTTGGAGGTAGAGTGGATGAACCAGTTCCCAAAGCTGGAGAAAGATGATATATGGGGAATGACAGAAGTGCAAGCTGCCAGTGAATCCCAGACTGAGGGACGGAGACTGGTGGCTATCTCATGGATATGGAAGCAGTCCCATGGTGCTGGGCAAGAAGAACTATCTGACGGTGAGTGATCTATTCGAGTAAGTTTGGGCCCTTCTAAGTCGAGGGTTTTCTAGCGATGCATATAGAATGGTGTAAGGCGCATGCATGGGCCAGTCGGTGGTCTGAGGAAGTCGAGCTCCTCCAGGAGGAAATGCAGGCGGGTGTCTGCCTTCTTGGAGTGGCAAACAGGATTGGTGGAAGGACCAGCGCTACCCCAAGGACATGGCTAGATGAGATGGAGAACGAAGGGGCGAGTGCATATGCTCATCAGCAGGCAGCCAGTCCATCAAGCAATGCGTGCACAATGCATCTCCATCTGGAGTGTCGTGCCTGGTCTTGTTGCTTTCTCTTCAGTCATTTCACCCACGTAGGACATTTTTGCATATGTTTTTGCTATCTCAGTTGTGTCGCTATTATCTAAAGGAGCAATATTGATATGTTTTGCTATCGTCAGATTCACTTTTTTTGCCCTTTTAGGGTATGGATATGATACTCAGGAACACAGAAGGTAGTACTTCCAGGAACACGGAGGGCAGAAGCACAGGGCGCAGTATAGTCAGATCTCCCTCTCGATACGCAGGTTTAAAATAGCACGCAGAACATAGGAATATGGAGATCTCCGATCCAGGGAGCACTGGAAAGGGGCGGGCATTGGTTCCCCAGCAGAGTATGCATACAAGAAACATGGGGGATGGCTACTGAGTATGTATAACTATACTTCTACAATGGCCAGGTAGTATTAATACTCCTGCCAGGGTGTGGTGGTTTGCTTGATGGGTGGCATCAGAAAAGAACATCAGCCCAGCGACGACATGCTCCAGCGAACAACCAGGTTCCTTTGGAAGCTTCTGAAGGTTATCCTGAGCTTCCAACCAGGCATCCAATGTATAGAGCTCATCATAGATCCGCTCCTGATGGCCCTCCAAAGGGTCTTTCCACAACCGTTGGAAAGGCATAAGATGGAATGCCCTTGCCTGGACATCCGCAAAAGCCATGCATATCACGCCAATAAGAGGACAATAGTGCAACCCAGGAATAATATATGGTAGAGGACCATCCTCCCGTGACTTAGTTGGGATGTTAATGGTGACGCTAGACCGAATCCAATCATCTTGGAATAAAACACCATCCCCGTTCTCCTCTTTATCTAATTCTCGTAAGCTTCGCCTCACAGAAAAGTCCTCGAGGTGCTTGCGGTCGAAATCCTCTACCAGTATAACATCTTTGACCAACTGGGAGACTTTGGTTTCAGATACTCAACTGCTACCAGAGTTCATCCATGTTATGAGCCAATAGATGGTCATGTTGGCAAAAGGAAAAGGCAGCGCTAAGGCATTTGGCGAGGAGCCTGTTGTTCTGGTAGCTATGGGGGATGTTCTTGCAAGTAGAGTGGAGGGAAGAAATTTATCTGGCTCGAAGGAAGGGCATTGAGGGTATAGTCTGCAGAGTCCAAACATGTTGAAGGTGGTCTGTAGTGTATCCCTCAGCGTTAATAGAACACATTGGATTCTGAATCGGGCTGGTTGGGAGGGAGAACTTTGGGCTGTTGAACTGTCAGCCGCCTTGTTGGAAGGATTAAGATCGCCATCTGAATGCTCAATATCAGTGACAGTTCTTGGAATTTGTCTCGTCAAGGGTACATTTTCCTCTGGGATGGTTTGAGCATTTATGCATAAAAAAGGATCTTGTTTGGCTGGAAGGATACACGTCTAATGCAATAGAATGAGTATCAATGGGTATCGCTATGAATGGGTGCTATTATGGTGCTATAGGGTAGGGTACTATCTGCTGCTCATCCGGGTCGCCAGCCATCCTGCTCACACCATACCGCCTACTGGAGCTGCTATCCATGCTCCTCACATCCACTCACTGGCAATCCACCTTGGGTCCATAGACCACAGACACATGGACTAATCCGAACTGGCAGGAAGACCTTGAGCAGATGACGAGGAGTTTAGCTGAAAAGGTGCGTATCAGTATGAGATCCAGAACGAGAAAACACAACGCTCACGCGGGCAGTGGCCTTGCGCTTGTACACCTATGATAGTGGTAGGTTAGAGAATATGGTGGACATGAATATTGTAATAGTCATGCATCTCTTTGTTGGCATTCGAGAGCTTATGCCAATAAGTTGCAAAAATGCTCGCGGGTTCTGCTTGGTTGGCCATTTTGTTGCCAGTCGAGAGCGCACAAGTTCCTGTGGAATGAGCAGCGTGAGTATTACAAATTTTCATGTCAATAGCGGCAGACTTGACTTACTGTGCGGTGATATTCGCAGTGACTCACATTGGTTTAGAGCTTGGTTGTCGTTTCTTGGGGGGTTCTCACTTGTATAGCTCTGAGTCTGTCGTCACGAGCTCCTTCTTGAGAGTGAGTGAAGTTGCGTTTGTAGCCAATGACATGGGTGGCATTACCATGGGGGTGCGCAAATTGCTGCTGGATGACGGTAGGTGTGATGATTTATTGATGTCAGTGGCGGGGAGGCTGGTATCGGAACTTGATAGTATTGACTTGGAGGGAAGAGTTGTAGCGCTATAAGCTGATGATGAAGTAGCTACAGGTTCAATAATAAGCCCGTCACTGTGAATAAAAACATGAGCAGTGTGTTGAGAAGCTCGAAATAAAAAGTCCTTACAGTGGGCTCCTGACCTGTTGCAACAAATGATAAAGGTTAGAAAAAGTTGTGAAAACCATTGGAAACACTCTCGGAGTCTCAGACTCTCATATGAATGGATAGTATATGCCAGGAACATCTTTGCGTCACTTTCGTTAAAGGGAGATTCTGGGTCGGGTGAGCCAGAAAGTCTAGGAGAAGCAAAGGTACTGAGAGGGTGATCCGGATGCAGGGAACATCCTCGCTGTTCCTAGAAGACTGTGCCAGTGCATGATCGATAGTATGGCAGCAGCTAACTAAGGAGAAATGTAGTCATAAAGAAAAGTCATGGAGAAGGAAATGCACCAAACCATCCCCCATACGTCGATCTACTCGGAGCTCTCGTTGGTGGGATCCATAGTTGAAGTCAATCATCATCGTGCTATCATGATGTACTCAGCTCGGGACATTTATTGTCCTGCTCTGCACATCAATTGTCAATGGGAGACTGACCTTTTCCTGAAACAGTGTGTGCAATGAAGAGTTTGATCTTGAGTACTGGGATTGATAGCGGTACTAGCAGAGTCCAGTCGGACATAGTACTCAGAGGGTGGTATTGAATGTCCGAAAAGGGATACAAGCAAACGATGACAACGCAAAAAAAAAAATCAGTCACGTGCGTCGATAACAGAACGTGTTTGATACACATTTGAGATACATGTAAGGGGTAGATGTAGTTACTGTACACTAATCATGATAATTGTGATGCGGCTGTTTCTATGGCTCCTGTGTGCTTGGTATGAGTATAGTACAATCATTATGAACATGTAGGTAGTGGTAGTAGTCTTGAGATCTTTAAGTCATAGACAGCGCGTCAGTGATTTGTTCTCTCATAGTATCTGTGTGAAAATTAAGATAGCTTGACCTTCAGTATAGACAAAGACATACCCTGCTTCCGACCGAGGTAATACGGTTGGCGAAACGCACACAACTACCCTGAGATTGCGCAAAGTCGCCTGAGTGCCAACGCATAAGTGCGTAAGGCCGCGTCTTGTGGTAGCGAACACGCTGTTCACGTGGGGGTTGACCAATGAAACACCCGGGTTATTGGTAGGTGTTGTTGGACTCATCACGCCGTGGAGGAAATTGCGCTGGCACTTCATCATGTTAGCAAATAAAAAACGCCAACGAGTTAACAAATACTTACCGCAATGCGATCTTCTGCTCGTCTGCGAGTGCCGATACTTGATGAGAAAAGAGTTTGTGCCATATCTGTTTGAAAAGATTATCCAACATTAGATCGCTGGGAAAAGTGGTTGGACTTACAAGGTCTATCATTTGGTCATGGTGATGGAGATGATTAACAATGTAGTAGTAATTGTCCAGAACCACAAAGTCTGGTGAAGTTCACAAACACAAGTGAACAAAGTGCACCCCAAAATCAGTCAATCCACAAGTTGAATGAAGCGCCGGAGCAGGTTCAAATTCGCAAGGAAAATAAACACATTGAAAATATATCTGTAAAATATGATTTTAAGTCAGTTTCTGCGAAGAGACAAAACGATGCAAACTGACCTAGTGTAAAATTCTGTCCTCCTCCATTCTCCAATCATCATAGTTCTGCCATTAGTCGGAAATTTTGAGTTTTACTCAAATCACACACCAGGGTGAGCCTTCTTCGCTGAAAAATTGTCCTCCAGCTCCTGATAGTCCTTCAAGTTGTAATGACTTGGAGGACCACCAAATTCGCCCCACCATGCTGCTGCAGCGGCCATTCCCAACACCACAAATATCATGCGCAAACACCCAGCACACGTCAGCAACTGCTGGCATGGTTCAGGCAAACATAGTAGATGATGGACGAACAAACCACCCATTGCCTCGTTTGCAGCGGCTGTCTTGAGATCACCAGGGTGAACCTTCTTTGCTGAAAAATTGCCCTCCAGCTCCCAATAGTCCTTGTAATGACTTCAAGTTGGAGGGCTACCAAATTTGCCCCACCATCATGCTTCTGCGCCCATTCCCAACACCACGAATACCATGCGCAAACGCCCAGCACATGTCAGCAACTGCTGACATGGCTCAGAGGAATACGGATGATGGATGAGCGCAGGAGAAGGGAAGAAGATGAGAAGATGGACGAGACAAGCTGGAAGATGTAGAGTCATGTGTAAAAAATATAAATTGCTTTAAAAAAACGCACCATGGAAATGAGGACAAGTGAGAATGAGAATGAGAGCTGCAGGCGTCGAAAATGGGTGAACATCGAGCGAGCATGGAGAATGAGCAAACATCAAGATTTGAGAATGAGTCGGATGATTTGCGAGTGATGAGAATGAGCTAACATGAGCTCAGTGAACAAGCGGATGTCGAAAAGCCTGAGCAGACGTCAAGAAGAATGAGCGCCTAGTACTACTAGTGGTCACAGTAATAAACTCACCGAGAAAAGCCTTTAAGGCATAGACACACAATTATAAACCAAGTAGTGACATGTTCAGCTGCAGTATGGCAGTAGCCAGTGTCCAAAATTGACCTACTACTGGCAGGCCCACTGGCAAGCCTTGTGCGGCCGCCGCAGACCGTGACTTGAGCAGGCTTGAGACTCGCTGTCAGTTGAAGATGATGATTATGCTGCAAATCAGCATAGTCGCGGTGAAACTCACCATGAGTGTTTAGCAAGCCTATCAAAGCCGTCTGAATCATTCTTCCAGCCTCACCACCACGGCCATGCCAGTGTGACTTGCAGGCTGACCGGCGTACAGTGACTTTCAAAGGATGCCGTGCAAATTATGCCAGTGAGTCACGTGCTCGAAGAAGCCTGATCATGCATCTCATCATTGTGTAGTGTTTGTAGGAAGTACAAACGAAGTACAAACCGTCAGATCTTCAGAACTAGTACTAGTAGTAGGAGTTGTTTACTATTACTGAGTACCGATCTCATTGTTGTCGGGCACAAGGCTCGACAACCATATACCATGTGTCTTCCTGTAATTGCCTGCAAGCCGCGCCTATCCAGTTCTGAAGGTTGTCTAATTGATTAGATGTATATTTTTTAATATTGCTTCCTGTATAAGTTTTCTATCTGGCTGTGAGACACGCGACAGAACAAAATTCCAGTGAATATTTACTGACCGTCGAAGCATCGAAGTAATACAATACCCCTGAAGGATGTACAATTCCTTCCCAGATGCCATAGTTTTGATCCCTGTAGAAATGATTGTACATTTAGTAATCTTTAGTGGGAAACAAAATATTTTTCCCATTCAAAGGGATCCACTTGTTTGCACTTTATGAAGTAGTTGGCACCAAGCGCAGAATCACTAAATTAACAGATCATAAATGATAAAGATTAGTAGAGATGACATGACTGGGTGCTCCATGCCCGAGCCAGGCTGGTACCGTGACTGTGCTGCAATGGACTCGCACTACGTCATGGTGACTCTGAGTCAGGCTCAGGCTAGCCTAGTAGTAGTACTTGTAGTAGTACTAGTAGTAGTCGCACTAACTGAGCCTGGGCGGCTGGCCACAATGATTCAAGTTAAAGGACTTACAGCATCACAGCTTGCGAATACCGTTGTAATTCTGATGGCCATGAGGGTATGCCTTGTTTCAACAAAGCAGTGTCTGTAGTAGGCATACTAGTAGGAATGCTAGTCAGGCTCGGAGTTGTTGACATGTTGGTTGATGTCACAGTAGACTCAGACTTGGACCTTGGCAAAATTTGGCAGCATGTGACCTGGCAAAAATGCTGACATAATGAGTTTTCCGTTCTATCATCCCCTTACTGATATCTAGATTCTACTAGTACTAGTAAGAACGTCAAATGCTCTACTCAAAAACAACTTGAAGTCCTGAAGTCGCCACTCTTTCAGTAATCTTTCTGCCAAATACACTTCCATCCACACCTTGGCTCGGAGTGCTACCCACCTTTGCAATCAAGGCAGCCGCCGCCGTGGCAGCCTGAATTCCGCAGGGGGCCGCGCCTGTTTTTTTATCCATCTCTTCTGACGAAGAGAAGATTCTGTTCGCCCATTCATCGCACCCTCATGCGCAACCCCTCGATGTTTGGCTCTGAATCCCTGTGTCCACCATGACAGGCAACACCATCGCCTCTGAGTCCGTCACATAGTACTACTACTATTCTGTTGTCGTCTTTCATTGGACGTCCTGCTGCTGTATCCTCTGCATCTCCTGTGATTGCATTTCCAAGTGTGCTTCATTTTCCATGTCCTCGAGTACACCTGCTATGCCTCCGAGTGCTCGCTACCCAAACATAGTAGTATCCCCGCATGCTTCGTCGTGCTGCATGTTGCATCTCATCATGGTGTAGGAGTTTGAAGTCTGTGAATTATGTTTGGTTTGGCAAAAGTGGGATGCTTGCACTTGGGAGTGCATTTCAGCTTGCTTGATTTCACTTTCGATGCTCTGGTGTGAGCACAGACATCTATCTCATCTTATATTATCTTTGATGGCTCAATCCTGATCTCCCCGCCCCCTCTGGCCTCATCTTTGGATGTCGTGGATTTGATGCACTTTGCGATCACTCTATCTACATCATCTGATGAGTTCTTCTGGTTGCTTTGTTTTGTGTCACTTTTGTTTGGTGTTCACAGGTTAGCAGGTCACTTCTTACTTATGGTCACCAGTTCTTTTAAACTTCTTGCTGTCGCCTTTTGAAAGCTGGTTTTGGTTTTTGGTTTGCGTTCTTTCTGTTCATCTTCTTCGCCTCCACCCACACCTCCCTTCCAGGCTCACTACTAGTAGTACTATCTCTTCCACCTATTTCGTCCCCACCCATCCCTGTGCTTCTGACCGTTCTTTGTCGTTTTCCAATCGTCAAATGTATTTTTCTCATATTGTTCACCTTGCATATGCTGATTATCCATATCTCATTATATATTTCTTAGGACGCCAACACTCGCTCCTTCGTTCACCGCTTCAAGCAGCTAATGTCATTCTTGCTCTTTTTCTTGAACTTATCGACATCAGTCTTTGTGTCTCCCTAGGATGGTTATTTTTGGATAGAAGAAATCCTTCCTTCAACGAACAACAGATTTTCTCCGATTCTCCATCTGGCAACTGGCTATTCAAGCTCGTTGACGAGCTTTATCTAAGACTCGAGTTCATTCAATCCTGCCATTTCGGCTTAATTATGAGCTACCAAACTGAACTCTGAGTCGTCAGCACAAAGTTGTCGACTTTGCATTCAAATATGTACCATCACCGCCTCTTTGTCATCGCTTTCATTCTCACTGCCTCCATTCCTGTCCACTGAACTTCCTTCTTGAACATTCTTTATTTAGTGCATGCCCAATGCCCACCGAGGCTTAGTATTCTTGTCTCATCGGACAAACTTCGGCAAAGGTACATATTATAAGCGGTCCGAGCAAATTATACTCAGTTGACCACCATCAACCTTCAAGCCTACGGTTACAGTACAGTGAGTTAGCGCTTGGCAAGACTTTGGGTCGCTAACTTCAGCATGGTTGTCACAAGTACCTTTAACAAACCACTATTCTTTCTTGAATCTTCCTAAGCGTCAATACACAGTGCCTAACTCAAACCCTAACCCTACCCCGAAAATGTCTACCAGTTCAGAGATTCCATTAGCGCCCATGACACGTGTCTTTGATGTAAGTGATGAAGAAGACGAGTTCTTTGATTGTGAATAGATTAGATTAGATATGATAAGATAAGATATGGTCACGTGATGCTTCTTTAATATTCTACGATGTTCTATGGTACGATTCCCTTTTCTATTTTATGATTGGCTAGTAGTTGTAGCTCAGTTTCAATCTCCGTCTCAATAGTTGTATATAGGTAGCATGTCTTGGTCGATAGTTCTTTAGTTCAAACCTCTTGTATCTACACTGTAGCAATCCAAGACATACCTGCTCAATATCTTTTCTTGTTGTGATAACCTTAGTCTGAGTCCTAGTCTCCGCCCAGTGTTAATTCGTTATTGGGTTGTGACAATGGTACTCTTAGACTTGCTTCAGACTTAGGCCAACTTCAAGTTGAACTAATCAACCATTTATGAAGCTCTTGCGCCGAGTCTTACAGGCACACATTCGACAGTAGTATGTGCCTTCTATTTGATTGATTTCAAATGTTGAATTTGTATAGCACTCAGAACCTCCAAGGAGTCAGGATGGCGCTATCATTCTGCATTGCAATGGAACTACTACATTCCGCTTGATCAATGGATGCGTGGATGGGTGAACTAGCACATGTAGAATCAGCGAGTTTCAAAGCCAACCGTGACAATATGGCATTGAGCTCGTCGTGCAATTTTTGCCACTTGAAGCCAAAGGTACTCAGTATCTTGTTGATAATTTCAGTTACTTCATGCTGTACTCATGTTGATTTTCAGTAGTTCCAAATGTATGAATCATCCGAGTCATCTCCTACTACGACGAGTGGGACACACTGTGAACACTTGTACCTGAACCTTGGTCCTCAAGATGGATCATCGAGTCAAGCTTCTCACAAAATCGTGGGGGGTCGTTATGCATGCGAGTGCGGTAGGTATTGATACCATGTACATAACCTCCAATTATTTTTGAAGACCACTTTTCAGAGACCATCAGTACGGATATCCACATTAACCCCCAGTTCGAATTACCACCATGATGTGCCGCTGTCATGGTGCTCATCAATCATATCTGAGTCACTGGATCCTCATAATCATCATTAGCCTTGACCATAAGTTCTAGCAATTATTTCCCACTGTGACATGGCGGTTGTAGTACTAACTTCGAGTCATAGGGCTTGAGGAAATCAGGAAGGGTCATCATTTTACCATGACGACGTCTCTTCTGTGTACAAGTTTGAGCATTGAGCTGGAGGGTCCCATTCAGCGGAAACCCTCTCCTCAAGCGCCAGTGAAGTTGTTTTAATACCATCACAGCAGTTTTCCAGTTTTCAAGATATTCAATTCATATTTAAGTCAAGCTCTACTATGATTAACGCTTGTGCAATCATGACACTGGCGAGTAGTCAACTTGATTTAACATGATTCAGACTGAATACTAATGATACTGTGCTTAAGCTGCCCACCAGCACATCATAGTAATCACGACCTTTTCAACTTGTCCAAATATTCCACATGGTGGCATCACTCTTGCTATCACATCCATCATGGTGACGGCCCCATCATATCATCCGTTTCTGCCCCCATTTCCCTCATAACCATGGCTGCTCGTTTTTCTTCACCATACTTGACAACATTGAAGACCGACTGCCAGTCAGTACCCGTCTTCTCCCTATGGATCATGACGCGCTTCACTGTTGGCACAGGACTGGCACTCCGAGTTGGTGAGACTACTAGTAGTAAATCCTTGTCAGGCTAAAATGTGAGCAAGTATTACTGTCACTGCGGAAGCTCATTTGCAGTGGGAACTTACTACAACTTCTTGATTCGTCCAAGTCACGTTCAGACTCGCTGAACACACAGACTGTGCCTTTGATTTTCAAAGTGCTGTCAGATTGTCATTGTCACGGTGTGACTTGGAAGTGGGGGAAAGAGCAGTTTGAGGGGAAGTTGGGGCACGGATACTACTAGTACCAAGTCTTGGCGGCAAGTTTGAGTCATCTAGGCTGGTGTGACCTGGATAGTCACCATTGATTGCGAAAGGGCTTTCTCTCTGAGTCCCTCTTGTTTGAATCGGACTCATCATGACGACAGATTCCAATGAATGTGACGGTCCAACTTGAGTTTCAAGTTGTCCAGCGGGCTCAACCGACTCCGAAGAGTCAACTTGTGCGAACCTCCGAGTCACACTGGTTGACTTAGACCCGGTGAGTGCTACCAGTAGTACTAGGTCTGAGTCGGCTTGGACATCATGATGCACCATCGTGGACATGTTTTCCAAAGGCTCGAGTGATCCTGGGCTGGCAGACTCGAAAGAGGACTGACATACTAGTACCAGTGGATGATCAGTATGATGATGATGATGATGATGATAAGACATAGTACTAGTAGGAAGGATGCTCTGCTAGAGGTAGTAGTATTATACCATTCAAAAAAAGGCCAACAACTTGGAGCTCTTATACCAGGGTTCATGCGGTGACCCTGACAATGTACTGCGGCTGTACAGTAGAGTATACGGCACATGAAGTGCCCTCAGGCTATTGGTATCACACCAACTAATATTAGTATGTGTGGCAGACTACAACCTCATTGCATATTGAAATATGCCATCGGCACCATAGTTGGACATGTTGACAAAAATGGTCAAAACATTTAAAACTCTGGACACACCAGAAATGGAAAAGTAATTTATCAATATTGTGAATACATATAATTGGGGGTTCTTTGTAATAAGGCAGTACTACTTACAAAAACTTCATAGTGACCTGATCATGATACACCAGTCTAAGCGATCACTCAGCTGGACATTTTCTCGCTCGTCTGATGCCTGACTGGGTGAACAATGACTGATTAAGTGACACCACATTGGTGGAGATCAGCGAGGGAGTGCTCTTTAAACTCCAATTGGCCTATTAAACAATTACCTAGTAACAATCACGTAGTCACCAAAGTCTCTCAAAAGCACAACCCCACCCATGAACGAGTTAGCCGCTACTACTCCCTATGCAGAGCCAACTTCAAGTCAGGTTCATTGCCCCTATTATCATTTTGTACCTAAGGCTCCTCCGAATCAAGCTGGCCTGAGTTATGACAAGTCAAAGCTCTCCGAGTCTTTTCCTCTAACCTCCGAGTCACCTCCAACCTCACCCCCAAGCTCTCCACCCTCAATTGGAACGTCAGGTATTAATGACTCCTACTACATCATGATATTTTGTAGATGAACTCAAACATGAATATTTTAACTATTGCAGAGCCCAGGAGGACTATGATGATGGTTTCAGATGACGAGGATGATAACTTTTCTATAACACCTAATTCCAAGTGGTCTCGGGCTGGTGGTAAACGCCGCGCTGCTGATGCCTCCGCTCGCCAAAAATTAAGTCACATTACTACTACTAGTACTCCTGAGTCAAGGAAGCCTGCCAAGTTCTACCATCCTTATCACAACCAGCGGTCGGTTATATCAGGAGAGAGACATCATGATCGTGCTGAGCACATCTTGCGCAGACATTCACATAACCAGTACTTGGATGGTATGAGCATTGAGGTACGCTGCATATTGAGCATGTATAGTCCCCACATATATATAATCATTGTGACATCTGTAGGATCAAGATGCATTAATAAAACACATACAGTGTATGAGCACTCACTCCTTCCACTGCGCCATTCACTACAAAGAAGCAGTCCATGAGAGCCTACCCATGGAATACTTGTACAAAGGTTGGCTGCTTGAGTCCTCAAGAAGGCTGAACATCTTCAACGCATCCTTACATCGTGAATCTGAAACAAAGTTTGGAAAGGCAGACCAAGAGTTGACGTGGCTAATGCAAACACTTATTGACCATGGGCCCGGGGGACTGTCACGTCCAGTTACCCATCAAGACCATGATGATGTTCAATATCTTGCTGCAGCTCGAGAGGGCAGCAGGAAAGCTCTTGATTATGTTGATGCAGAGATTGCTCATGCCTCGCTACTTTTCATTTGTTGTATTTTAGTTTGCAGTTTCATAAATGAGCTGTTGCCTATCGCAGAATTCTGCTTTGGTCTGATTTCAATCTCCACTACTAATTTCAAGACCCTCCTGAACTCTGACTACTACCACTAAATGTTCATCTTGATGTATTCCAGCAATGGTGACTTGGATTGGGAGGGTATGTTGGGACACAGAGGCAATCCGAGTCAGGAGTCGGATGTGCCTCCAGCACCAGTTGCGCTGCCATCTACTATTGAACCACCCTCCATCATGATGGCACCAACTCAGCTGAACACGCTTCAGCCAGTCCCATCCCTTAGCAATCATGATGATGATCATGGCGATGTCACTCACCAGCCTCCATCAGTCATGGCCCCATTCCATCATCCACCTCCCATCAGTCAGATGTACACTCCTTCAACCCTCAATGATTATCAAGGTGATCGTACTGTACCGCTGAATCTACCAATCCCATGTGATAGTTCACGTTCAATGCACACAGCTCAGCCAACTCTCAGTACTTTCCTGCCTCTATCAGTCCCATCTGGTCTAGTAGATGATTCAGGTGCCCAAGTACCGATGTTCACGCCCGTTCCAACCTTCCACAACATCCATTAGGGCAATTATATGTCTCCATCAATCTCATCCAGTCTGCATGCAGGTGCCTCAGCACCGATGTGGGCACCTCCTCCTCTGCCACTGACCTGGAGCAACTTGAACTCCTATCAAGGCAATTGGCCTTCAACATTCCCATTTCATCTGCATCCAAGTGCCATGGTGCAAATGCGCGCACCTCCACCAACCCACAATGATCATAACAGCAGTTTACCTCTACCACATGTCATAGTCCCATCTCAGCATTACCATCCAGGTAATTTGGCAATACCAGCCCTTTCCAATTTTCAGCACACTTTTCCTCCACCAATCGTGTCTATGGATGGTGTATCTTCAGTACCGCCAGCAGCACTGGCTGATGTACAACCCCTCACGATGCTGACGCCTCCCCCCAGGTCCGACATTGGTGAAATATCTCTTAAATGCAAGGTTGACTGGCAATTTATCAAGTGCTCGTGTCAGCGACAAAAAGGGTTCAGAGCCCCCCGGGTAGGTGCTCTCAATTATAAACGAACATGAGAGTGTTCACAGTGAAATAGACAGCGCCTTCTGCAACACACTCAGGTCCGCTCCCCAGTCACGGTGGCTCTATGCAGCCACCTTTGCTAGTCTCTAAAACTCATACCCAAATTGATCTGGCATCCGAAGAAGGCACGACATGATGTCCATCTATTGTCGACCTTCCCCTTCTTGAGTATCAACATGCTCTCCCAATACACAAAGAATTCTTTCTGGTTGCAGAGGAGCGGCTTCTCAGCGATGCAGTCAACAAATGCACAATGATGATGCCTTTGGAGAGGGAGGACTGGATTCAGGTTGCGCTAGCAGATGCAGTTCAAGAATGCTTAGAAAGGGTTCACATTCAGGCTCTTCGGTCTAACTCAGCCAAGTCGGTGAAAGATGAGCTTAAAGGTAAGTCACATCTCGAAGTTGGAGAAAGGGTTGATGTAGGTCAACAGATTTTAGTCGACAGTGGGCGGCAAAAAATGCGGGATCATTGGACACACAGCTCTCAGTGCCATTCGACCTTATAATGGAGACTGCTGATGAGGTAGCGTCCATCGTCATTGATCGAGGCTACGATCTATGTCCCTCGCTTTGGTCCAATATATTGGAAGTAAAATCGAGGCAAGGCAAAATTGGAGCCCTCATCAATGACGCAATGTGGCCTCTCAAATTCATTTACAAGAAGGATGAGACGACCGGCCAATGGATGGTGTTCGAACACAATGCAATTCTAGACATGGTTCTTGGCATAGTGTGGAAACTCAAATACCTGCTCAATGTCACTGACCTCGATAACCTGTACTGCACGGCTGTAGCTGCAGTCTACTGCGTGTTATTGCGACTTTCTTCCGGAAAGTTGAATCGTACAATCCTCTTCACAAGCAAAGCTTTCAGATTTATGTACGACATATCGATGAAGCACATTACTGACGTCATCGAGAAGGACAGTGTCTTAGGAAAGCGATGCTTAGATGTAAAAAACTATACCTTCAAAAGGCTAATTGATGTGGCATCACTGTGATGATATGCGTAGTACTACCACCTGCTGTTACAAGAACATCTAGACGCTTGGGCCCCTACTATTTTTCTCCTGATCCTCCTCGTATCAGCCCTCGCATCATACCCTTACCCCGACCTTGCCCTTGTCATCCTCGTCATCCTCGCATTCCCTTTCGCCCTCTACCTGTCGCTTCAGCAAAGCCAGTACATTTGGCCGGATCCTTTCGCTGACGAAGCATACCCATGCTCCGTTTCACCACCTGACTGATCCTGCGGACAGTCCCCTTGCCCTTACCATCTGGATGGTAACCTATGACACGATGCATGACGCATCCCCTTTGCCCTGCTTTTCCTTTCTTGATCTCTGACTCGGTGCGCAGTCGCACATGCGACTTATACTTAGATCCGCAGTTGCACGATCGTGCCCCTGCGTGTTTCACTTCTCATTCTGATCTTTGACTCACTTTCTTATCCAGCACGTTCTACCTAGATCGAACGTGTCTTCCTATTATGGTCTTACCCTTTACCGATTGCCTCTCCCGGTAGTACGAGTTATCATCCACTAATACGTCTCCTGTCCTCTATATAAACTCGCTACCATGTACCATATTCCCCAACTTGAATCTACTTGGTTCTTGACCTCCTACTCTCACCAGAGTGATCCTTCTGCCTCGCCAGCAGTCTATATTCTATCTTCTTATCTGCTCTTCGCGGATAAGCCTATAGTCTCGACCTTTGCTCATCGACTTCGTCGACGAACAAAGCCCCTGTTAACTAGTCGGACCTCTGTCCTTCTAATTAACGACGATCCTTACGATTAACCTTCGGGTGTCGTAAGCCCAGGCCGATTTAGCTTATCGTCTCGCATCCGCGTGACATAAGCTACCCGATTTGGACATAGGCGTCAAATCGTACTTGCCGAAGACACGCCAAGTACGACCCCTAACCTTGGGCTAGCCCAAGGACGTCCACAGACCGTTGACGACACAAGCTCTGTTTGAGCGTCGCCAACAGATACCATCCAAGTCGTAACACCTGCTAGAACTACTACTAGTACTCACTACATGAAGAGGTAGTATTATAAGTAGTGCCTGGGATTTATTACCTCGTCTGACCGGTTAGCCTGAGGCCTTCAGGCTTGTACTTACTACTACAGTAACACTACGCAATGATGAGATGCATGATCAGGCTTCTTCGAGCACGTGACTCACTGGCATAATTTGCACGGCATCCTTTGAAAGTCACTGTACGCCGGTCAGCCTGCAAGTCACACTGGCATGGCCGTGGTGGTGAGGCTGGAAGAATGATTCAGACGGCTTTGATAGGCTTGCTAAACACTCATGGTGAGTTTCACCGCGACTATGCTGATTTGCAGCATAATCATCATCTTCAACTGACAGCGAGTCTCAAGCCTGCTCAAGTCACGGTCTGCGGCGGCCGCACAAGGCTTGCCAGTGGGCCTGCCAGTAGTAGGTCAATTTTGGACACTGGCTACTGCCATACTGCAGCTGAACATGTCACTACTTGGTTTATAATTGTGTGTCTATGCCTTAAAGGCTTTTCTCGGTGAGTTTATTACTGTGACCACTAGTAGTACTAGGCGCTCATTCTTCTTGACGTCTGCTCAGGCTTTTCGACATCCGCTTGTTCACTGAGCTCATGTTAGCTCATTCTCATCACTCGCAAATCATCCGACTCATTCTCAAATCTTGATGTTTGCTCATTCTCCATGCTCGCTCGATGTTCACCCATTTTCGACGCCTGCAGCTCTCATTCTCATTCTCACTTGTCCTCATTTCCATGGTGCGTTTTTTTAAAGCAATTTATATTTTTTACACATGACTCTACATCTTCCAGCTTGTCTCGTCCATCTTCTCATCTTCTTCCCTTCTCCTGCGCTCATCCATCATCCGTATTCCTCTGAGCCATGTCAGCAGTTGCTGACATGTGCTGGGCGTTTGCGCATGGTATTCGTGGTGTTGGGAATGGGCGCAGAAGCATGATGGTGGGGCAAATTTGGTAGCCCTCCAACTTGAAGTCATTACAAGGACTATTGGGAGCTGGAGGGCAATTTTTCAGCAAAGAAGGTTCACCCTGGTGATCTCAAGACAGCCGCTGCAAACGAGGCAATGGGTGGTTTGTTCGTCCATCATCTACTATGTTTGCCTGAACCATGCCAGCAGTTGCTGACGTGTGCTGGGTGTTTGCGCATGATATTTGTGGTGTTGGGAATGGCCGCTGCAGCAGCATGGTGGGGCGAATTTGGTGGTCCTCCAAGTCATTACAACTTGAAGGACTATCAGGAGCTGGAGGACAATTTTTCAGCGAAGAAGGCTCACCCTGGTGTGTGATTTGAGTAAAACTCAAAATTTCCGACTAATGGCAGAACTATGATGATTGGAGAATGGAGGAGGACAGAATTTTACACTAGGTCAGTTTGCATCGTTTTGTCTCTTCGCAGAAACTGACTTAAAATCATATTTTACAGATATATTTTCAATGTGTTTATTTTCCTTGCGAATTTGAACCTGCTCCGGCGCTTCATTCAACTTGTGGATTGACTGATTTTGGGGTGCACTTTGTTCACTTGTGTTTGTGAACTTCACCAGACTTTGTGGTTCTGGACAATTACTACTACATTGTTAATCATCTCCATCACCATGACCAAATGATAGACCTTGTAAGTCCAACCACTTTTCCCAGCGATCTAATGTTGGATAATCTTTTCAAACAGATATGGCACAAACTCTTTTCTCATCAAGTATCGGCACTCGCAGACGAGCAGAAGATCGCATTGCGGTAAGTATTTGTTAACTCGTTGGCGTTTTTTATTTGCTAACATGATGAAGTGCCAGCGCAATTTCCTCCACGGCGTGATGAGTCCAACAACACCTACCAATAACCCGGGTGTTTCATTGGTCAACCCCCACGTGAACAGCGTGTTCGCTACCACAAGACGCGGCCTTACGCACTTATGCGTTGGCACTCAGGCGACTTTGCGCAATCTCAGGGTAGTTGTGTGCGTTTCGCCAACCGTATTACCTCGGTCGGAAGCAGGGTATGTCTTTGTCTATACTGAAGGTCAAGCTATCTTAATTTTCACACAGATACTATGAGAGAACAAATCACTGACGCGCTGTCTATGACTTAAAGATCTCAAGACTACTACCACTACCTACATGTTCATAATGATTGTACTATACTCATACCAAGCACACAGGAGCCATAGAAACAGCCGCATCACAATTATCATGATTAGTGTACAGTAACTACATCTACCCCTTACATGTATCTCAAATGTGTATCAAACACGTTCTGTTATCGACGCACGTGACTGATTTTTTTTTTTGCGTTGTCATCGTTTGCTTGTATCCCTTTTCGGACATTCAATACCACCCTCTGAGTACTATGTCCGACTGGACTCTGCTAGTACCGCTATCAATCCCAGTACTCAAGATCAAACTCTTCATTGCACACACTGTTTCAGGAAAAGGTCAGTCTCCCATTGACAATTGATGTGCAGAGCAGGACAATAAATGTCCCGAGCTGAGTACATCATGATAGCACGATGATGATTGACTTCAACTATGGATCCCACCAACGAGAGCTCCGAGTAGATCGACGTATGGGGGATGGTTTGGTGCATTTCCTTCTCCATGACTTTTCTTTATGACTACATTTCTCCTTAGTTAGCTGCTGCCATACTATCGATCATGCACTGGCACAGTCTTCTAGGAACAGCGAGGATGTTCCCTGCATCCGGATCACCCTCTCAGTACCTTTGCTTCTCCTAGACTTTCTGGCTCACCCGACCCAGAATCTCCCTTTAACGAAAGTGACGCAAAGATGTTCCTGGCATATACTATCTATTCATATGAGAGTCTGAGACTCCGAGAGCGTGGCGGACTTTGGTGCGCTCTCATCCATCTTATACAATGCCGATGGGATTGACATGTATACCAGCTAACTTGGCACAGTTGAAAGAACGTCTTTGCAGACTGAAGTTTATCATTCTTAAAGGAGCCAAGGACGAAGTATGCATGCACGCCGCGGCTACTACTAGTATCGCACACGGCAGACTTCGAAATGTGCGATGCTTCTGCAGTGCAGATTTTCCATGACTTGAGTTGTTGGAGACGTGCCAGGTAAGCTCTTATGCAACTTTGAAAGCTTTATCTCATTCGATCAGAGTTGTCACATAGGCTCATGGCCACCGTATCTCACGTTCATTCTGGTCCTCAAGGTTCGAGCGCGCAGAAATCAAGCTAGGTTCTGAGATATTTTTCAGTTGTGGATATGACTGCTCACAAAAGGGCCTCAGTTCCTCCGTCATTTTTCGACGTGTTTTTGATACAACGTGATACTAGGCCTTTCATGAATGCTGGGCTTGAACGTGGCGGCCCTCTATGAGATCATGGTACATGAGGAACCTCTGATATCACAGCTAACATTAATGCTCAAAAGAGGGCATCCTTCAAGCGAATTATATATTGTCATTATATATTGTCATTTGCTGTTCTCCCAAATAGGTACTCACTTATGTGCACCGACCAGCATATAAGACCCAAGCTTGTTGGCTGTCGGTCCCCTCATCTCACAATACTCCCTTGAGTGGTCCCTTCAATCATTTTTGCCGTTCTCACCTATCCCCGCCTCCATGTCGAATGCCGAGGGTGACACGTTGCCCATGGATGAATCAGCTGGGGGTTTGGACAGCGTGTCACACGTCGACCATTGGCAGGTTGAGCACACCGCGTCAAGCATCGAACCTCAGCAGGCTGAGGGCAGTAATGATCATGCAGATATGGCTGTGCAGGCTCAACAGAGACGCAGAATTGCGCAACTGGAGGAGAAACTCGTGGCTCTTGAATCTGGTCGCACCATCAAAGAAAGGTATAACCACCCTTGCATTATTAAGTTTGGCTTCTCACTATCATAATACAGGCAATCAAACTATTTTGTGGCTCAAGGACGAGCAATCAGGCATGTTGTGGCCCTATTTGATAGCCTTGAGGATCTAATTACTGAAAATGACCAAAGGCATGACGTTGAAGAGGATGCTGAAACCACCTGCAAGTAAGACATTCCCTAGGTTTGTAGACGCTACTCATGATTTGGTGTAGTCAAGATCGGTTGCAAATAGGCTACTTCACACTCACGCACACCCTCCGGTGGTTTCATTAAAGAGCTATGGAGCAGGAGTACGAAGAATACGCTGAAATGCTAAAGATGGTTGATTTTCACAATGTCAGTTATTGCCTTGGTTTGACTCAACTTTTTTTCAGCTTCGTCAAGGGGCTGACGCTGCTTGAGGGGACGATACATCCAAACTGAAAGTCCTCATTTCCGAGTGGGTCAACCATGAATTCAAGCCCGATCCCCCAGTCGATCCGGATGACAAGCATGCCCGTGGGTTTACCAACGATGCATGCGGTAGCTTACTTTGCCCTTCGGAACTTGATTGGAACAATCCAGAGTAAGTGGAACTTTCATAATCCAGAACAAAATCACTCACATATCACCAGTGTAAAGGCAGGCATTTGGGATCGTGCAGATGGCTACATCGTGACCGATCTCTCCTTTCCGGCATTCTTATATAAAAAGTACACTGCGAAACCTGATGATCTGGAAGAGGGACTCTTTAAGGGTAAATTGCTTCTGCAGGTGCGGTCCAGCAGCCTGAGTAGCCTGGAGTTTATTTCACTGGTTTTCTAGGCCTATAAAGCAGTATTTACATCACCTTCCTCAGCTAAAGATGTCGAAGGCGACGGCAATGGGGCGGATGTCATTCAAAACAATAGATGAGGCAGGAAATCATTCAACACAATCAAGGTCAAGAAGCATGTAGCGCAGATCATTAAGATGGAGAAAGTTACCCCTCGGTCAATCACGTACATAATTTGCCAAGTGGGTCATAGAGTTAGTAAGTCTGATGGTATCTAATGATCAATTTGACAGGTTATAGAATTTTCGGCAGCAGGTAGCACGGTGAATTTGTTGCAAACGCGTAAGGTATACAAAAATATCGCTACTGTATGTAATCACGGCGAAATAAAGTTTAAGCCACAATCGGCTCGTTCCAAGTCGAAACTCGATAAGGAAATCTAAATAATCTAAATCCAACACATCCCCTCGAGTGAAGACTTGAACAGAATAGTAAATGAAAATAAAATGCACCCCCTGAAATTAAAATGCAAAAGTTTGCTCTGCCACTGTTGCGGCCCTCTCAGCGCCTTTCCCACGAATTGGGGTCTCATTGCAGAACACCCGAATGTGTCCTTCTTTCCCACACCGAAAGCAGACACTAGGTCCGCGCCCTTGAGCCGAGCTGACTAATGCAGTGCGCACCTCCTCAGTAGCGCCGCTGCCTCACCGAATGTCTTCATTGAGTAAGCGGTTGAGCACATGATCGAAAGTAAGATCTGCAGTGGCTGTTGAGTCGAGTGAGATGACAAATGAGTCATATGATTTGTCGAGTCCAGTCGTAAGCGCAAGAATCCGGTCTTCATCGTCCACAGTAACATCAATATCCTCCAAATCCAGAGCCATACCCTTGACACGACTAATCCAGGCAGACATAGCCTCTCCCGTACCTTTAGTCACTGTCAACAACTTCCGTCACAATGCCATCCTGGTACCTAGGCCACGTGCACGATGGACTTGGGCGAGCGTCTCCCAGATGACCTTGGGATTGTGATCACGCATATGAGCAAGCTGGTCACACTCAACGCGAAGGATGATTTCTGCCCTCACCTCTGCCATCTTCTTCACTGACCTCCTAACCAGCAACTTCTGCAACTCTGCCTTCACCTCGTCATCTGTCTTTCCATCCACATCCACCTCAGCAAACACCATATCCCATAAACCCTTTTGGATAAGCTCTGCCTCCATTCAGATAGACCACTCGCCATAATTGGTATCTCCAAGAAGCGGGAAGCGCGAAATGCGGTCCAAGTTGTCAGTCATGGTGATGGCGCCAGGAACATGAGGTAATAGAAGCAAAAGAAGCACGAGTATTAATGAATAAGCCCAGAACCGTTGATTCCGAGACTTCTGCTGGTGATGGAATCACCAAATAGCTCCGAGATATGACCACAGGGAGCTCTGCCTGTTTGTGTGACATGTTTGTATAAAATTTTCGGCAGCAGGTAGCACAGTGAATTTGTTGCAAACGCGTAAGGTATACAAAAATATCGCTACTGTATGTAATCACGGCAAAATAAAGTTTAAGCCACAATTGGCTCATTCCGAGTCGAAACTCAATAAGGAAATCTAAATAATCTAAATCCAACACAGGTCTGATTTGGGCTCTCTTCGGTCACATCCTGGCGGACTGTTGACGGGGACTTTGACTATGTCCAATTCTGGCGGACCATTGTAGATTTCTTCGAACAGCCTCCCGGTCGAGAAGCTCGGCACAGGGTAGACAAGCTCCTAGAGTGGTGGACTAGGTGCACTATTGGCTATACCAGCAAGCCTGAATTGAACCGGTCGTCTAGGAAAGTTTTTGGAAGGAGCCGCCATGACGAACTGAGCCAAGCAGCAAATAATAATATGTCTGTAAATGCTCTTACAAGGCAAAGGGCAGCACGCGCTGATGCTGTTCTCGACTCGCCATAGTACCTTACCATCATTATTCATTACAAGCAACCTGTGACATCCTTACAATTCTTAATATTTGCTCCAATGTCATATGATATTTTGAATCTGCTATGTGTAATAAGGATACTCATGAAATGGATCTTCTGGAGCACAAGGTTTTGCAGTTAATGACTGATCTCCAGAACACCATACAGGATGCCACAGCTACAACTTTTTGAGACAGTGGTGTATAGGCCATCACCGATATATGATGGCGCCAAACAGCAATTTCTCCGTCAGATGGAGGAGTTGTACCACCAATATCTCAAATACACGTATACAATATCCCTCTTCAGGGCACACAAATACAGAAACACGATGATATGTAACACAACACACATCATCTTCCTGTCATTAGATACTAGCAATTCAAAGTACAATTTTTAGATTCCTCTCATTGTGTTCGATACCCTGAGTCCATCAAGTAAGACAGTGACCTTTGTCACATTCGTATTCTCTATTTTCATGATAATAGGCTATCACACATAGATGTCAGTGCCAAACGGCAAGGTCATCGTTGGATGGAGGATTCTCACCTCGCGAGATCCCGAATACATCCATCCAGAATTGCCATGTGGCGCGTAAAGAACGCTAAATCATAGTGTCTGCGACAAACCCCATATTGTATCAGTGAACGGTAAGTGAGATAGCGAGGTAAGCCATCGGCCACTATTGTCAAAACTGGAGCCAAGGTACTATACCATAGAAATATAGCATCGGAGTCAAACCGCAACTTCTTGGGATGGAGGCGCAATTTAACCACACCTGCCAGTCATTAGATGCTCGCAGAAAGTTGGGTAGAGACTCGAAGCAAGATATGATTCAACTGTCACTCACTCGTAAATACTCCCTAGTTGCTGTGGAAAGGTGATGCGTCTTTGCACGTATTCTGAATTGAAATATATACTATGAACATTACATACTCACAGTCACAGAAGGTTGTGCAGTGACTCGAAGTAGAACATAGGTCAACTTGTCGTTAGCTCATAGGCCAAATTCAGGAAAGACAGTGTGGTCATAATGATCTCTGTATTTGTTAGTCGTCATGCCAATCACAGGACAAAAATATGAACCTGTGAGATGAGCACAATGAGAAGACGTCGCGAATTCAAAGGCCCACCGATGATACTGTAGATGGTCGAGTAGAGCCACCTGACTGTGCCAATCAATAATACCATCACGACATCAGGAAACTGAATGACTAGGGTCCCAAATCAACAGACAGCGAGTTCCTCCTAAAGTGCGAAAAAACACTTGGAGTGATGATGCTGTGACGCGGCACACATGATGTTGGCGATCTGCAAAGGCAAAGCTTATTTGCACGGATTCACAATTCATATATTATGTACCATCATTACAAATCTAAAAGTGATGGTGTCAAAGTTAAAAGACACTACAACTATGTATTTTTGCTCACACACACATTGGGGTTGTCAATATTTAGGATAGGTTTACATGTTGTACGAAATGTGAAGAAAATATTTGAAGTTTGAATTGACATAAAGAGGGACATATAACTTCAAAATTAATCATTGTTTTGGACGACAATCAAGATATGAAATATCCATGGCCATGTTGTCACTGACTATACATCAACTTAAACAAGAAATATAATCTGATTTCCGGCGTCTGCTTGAATTTTAAGTTTAATTATTGCATACAACTTCGTACGAAACTTGAAGTTTGATATGCTTGCCAATGTTTTAAGTTTTGTCGAACAATAAGGGGCTACACAAAATTTGAAATTTACACTGGCAGCAAAATGTGATGGCCAAACTTCAAGTTTCGCCTTCGGACAAAATAAATCGCCTGATCATCGCCCGCTCATCACTCAATCGTCGCCCACTCATGAAGGACAAATGGCGATCTGACTAAAATTAATGTCTCATTATCATACAAGTATGGTATGGTAAAACTATGTCTGAGTCCAAGCTACGCAAAACTTGTAAGTATGAATGAAAAAGGAGTGAGGGAACTCTTACTTGAAGCTCTTGTCATGAAATCGTAGCTCACTGCCGAAACGTTGCACATGATCTTGTTAGTAGCAGGTTGAAATTTGAGGGAGCGCTTCCATTATGTGGAGGTCATTGGACCATTGGCGTCCTTGGTGAGCGAATGTCGCATACGAGAAACCCCTTCTCGAAGATTGCCAAGATGTCCTTGGAACCAATCTTCGCAGCGAGCCGACCAAAAACCAACATTTAAGCCCAACGTGTTCCAAGCATTGGGCCAAGGCCACCATCAAACTATCTCTGGACCATCACCTAGAAAGTGCGACTGTTAGTACTACTGATGGGACTGAACTGACCTGTAAAACTTACGGTGGTCTATGTAGTACGTTCCACACATGAAATCAATTTCCTCCTCTGACAACCCATCATCATAGTAAGTCTGATCGCCATCGCCAATCAATTGCTTGCCAAATGGAACAGCTTCTGTTGAAATACCGTCGAGGACAGACGGAAGGTGGTTGAAACCAAGGCTGTGCAAGGCCAAACGCCATATGAGTCCTCCATGCAGGAATGCAGCCCTCGCCTGGGGACGATTCATGAACTCGTGGCGGAGCTGCTCATATATGATATAATCAGCGTATAGGGGATTGAAAGGGGGCTGTCGATGCCCTAACGTGTAGGTACGAAGTTCAGAAAGGGGGCAACAATAGTGGGGCGCGACACTCATGTTCTGTAAGGTCCTGAATCCAATGCCTCTTTGAAGCAAAGTTAAGGCAATCTGCCTCATGTCTGAGCCCCAATCACGGCGCAAACACATAACAGCAGTGATGGGGTTGAGGACAGCCAGAGTCCAGAATACAAGATTTGGGGACTTGCGGGGCTCGATAATATAATACCGACATTGCGACAGCTGCACACGCGAGATACGAATATAAGGATGTGAAATTTGTAGAGATGGGAGGGGTCCAAGATCCCAAAGGTCAGGTGGGATTGTGTTCAAGTCAGACTCTTTCATGTTGACAAAACATGCAATGAACTTCGTGATGCATTGACGTTGTGGCTCCGTGATCGAACCCGTTTCTGCCGATGAATCACCAAGAAGTTTGCGAAGCTGATCCCATTTGGCCGTTTTAATCCACTCATTCGCTGGTAGGAATGATATGGTGGGAGCAGAGGTAGGGGCAGTGCTTCGATATCCGAAGTAATAATGCAATACAGGAACGAATCCTTCGATGTGTGTATGTCTTGAAGAAAGTGAAACACCGCTCCCGAAGTATGTGTATATATCATTGGCAAAACTGGAAGGGGGTGGAGGCGGAACCTCGGAAGGGGAAGCTACGGGGAGAGAAGGCATGATATCATCGTCATCCTCGCGATCATCACCATCAGGGATGCTAGTGGGGTTGAGTGCGAGACACAAGTCCCATTGATTGGAAAAAGAATCAAAGACCCTGGTGAACTTATTGTAGTCTCCCCAGACCTCCTCAACCCTAGCCTTCGTGATGTGAGTGCGCAACATGAAATCATTATAATCGTCTTGGGGTTGCCATTCGAACACCCACATCCTACTGGACTTGCCAGGAAGGCTGTGATTCTCGGCCGAACGTTGATGACTCAGACGAGCCTGTCGTTCAGATGGGGTCTCCTTCTCCTCCTTCTTCGCGTTCTGCAAGGCTTTGCGAGCAAAAAACGCCTGCCAATCTTCGCCATGTCTCTGCCCACTATTTTTATGGGGAAGGGGAAAACGAGAGAGGTCTTGTTGAGGTTGAGTGGACAACGGTGCTGGCTGGCTCGACTCAGGGTCACATATGTCATTGGGCTGGGCAAGCCAAGAATGAGAATGGGACTGAATGCCCCAAGCGTCGTTGTTCTGCAGTTCGCTTGAGGTAGCGCTAGTTGCTCTAGTGAGATCGTCTGCTGAGGGGCAATAGAGCTTCCATATCCTATTGCCGGAAACACCAGGAGGCCAATGCACCCAGATCGGAACTTTATAGTGCTCAAACATGATCACGTCCGTGTCCCAGGCCAGACTATAAGCGCCATTAATGATCATACCATTGCATGGTACGGCATCTGTAAGATCCCCGACAAATGTACGAGAAAGTTCCATCACCCATGCAGATAGGATAGGACATCGAGGGTCATTTGTTAGGAGGGAAGTCCAGGAGGCAGAATTATTATGAGGTCGATACCGGCGAGCCATAATGAAATACGTGCAAAGAGCTGAGATCCCTGAAAACAGACACAATCAGTCATGATCAGCGCGCATATAGATGAAAAATATACCTAAAAATGCATCGCGAGATCTCAGGGCGACCTTCTTTGCAAGCCTTGCATCAGTATGGGACCTCAGGTATCCATAGTCTTTGGGAGGTCTTGGAGCTTGGCCATACCAAGGAAAGTGCATGTTCACTGCTAACTGTTGCAAACACCACAGTAACTTTTGCTCTAGGCTCTCCCATTCTCGCCGAACGTCTCCACGCAACATATAGTGGCCATCGGGTGTGGACTCTACGGGCAAAGAGTACAGTGAATGGTTGAGACATGCAAAGACAGCTCCACTAAAATCAGGGCTTGTTGCGATGAGGGGAAACCATGGGCGAGTCTCGTAAGCCCACTGGGTGGTCAGAGCGTCTTTGATGTTATCGGGCGAAGAATCGAATTCGAGTGCAGGATTCCAAGGTCGAGGGATAGGAGGGATCGTGGCTGGAAGAAAGGATGCATTTAAGGACATAAAAATTCGCCCTTCATGCGTGAATACGCGGAGCTTGGGAGTCACCATGGGCGCCATAGTGAAAGGACTGGGTGATGGAAGAAAGCTTGCAACAGTACAGACTATTGCACGTGAAAGGCCGAGAATGGGTTCAAGAGAACACAGCAACAGTACAGACCATTGCAGTATTAAGAGAACGCGGAGAGCAACAGTTGTGCACAGCCGGTAAAACCTTGCAGCGGGGTTTAAATTGCACGTAGTGTACGCCGCACAGAGATAGTAGCGCAGAACACGCCAATGCCTAGCAGTACAGACCACTAGGTGATGATCAATGAGAGTCCGAGTCGAAGAGAAAAGAGAAGACTCAGCAGTACAAACGGCTGAGCCTAAATATAGATGGAGTTTGGGTTGACCGAGACCGACATTGACAATGAGATTTGCTTTGCATGTGACTTTATTTGCGGATGTTTGTACTTTCTGATTCAGCCTAGGCCTTTACACTTAGTACTGATATTTGCACATAGCTTATAGTACTTACTCCACTGGCGCAACGGTCTGTACTGTTGCATCATCCCTTACCCCCCCCTCGTTCGACACAACAGTGGACTTTGCCTTTGACTTTGACTTTGACTTTGACTTTGACTTCAATGCGACGGTCTGTACTGTCGCGTCTCTGGACTTCGACATGACGGTCTGTACCGTCGTGTCTCTGGACTTTGACTGGTGGCGACGACTCGACGGGGATTTGACGATGCAATGGTCTGTATGGACTTCGACACGACGGTCAGTAATTGATTCAGCCTTTACACTCAGTACTGATATATGCACTTAGCTTATAGTACCTCAACCTCTACTGGCGCAATGGTCTGCACTGTTGCGTCAACCCTTATCCTCTCCTCCTTCGACACGACGATGGACTTCGCCTTTGGAGTTGCCGACACGATGGTTTGTACTGTCGTGTCATCCTCTCTCCTCACACACAGAGGACCTCAGCTTTGATTTGTCGACATGACGGTCGCGTTTCTGTACTTCGACTGCATTATTACATCGTTCAGCACTATGCTACCGCGACTCTCAACCAATTAAACTTCTCATCTGAGATAGATAACCTCTCAATTTGACGTTTTGTCAAACCCGCAAGCCATTCCTCGTTGTACAGCGCTTTAGGCAAGCCGTCCATTTCTGTTCTGGATGTCTTCGGATTACCAGATGAGCGTATCCGTTTCATCGGCTTTGAACCTTGAGGCGCGAAAATATCATGATCCAGCATTCTTTGGTGATCAATAATATCCAATTCCCATTCGATCACATGGCGCCAAGTCATGTTCTTGACACGAAGAACCGTTTCGATATCATTTTCGATGTCACTCTCCTCTGAACTCATGCCGGCTTCTCCTAATGTCCTGACCAGTTTCTGAAGCCACTGCCAGGCCGGGAGGTCTTCCTCATCCTCGTCAGTCTTGTACTTAACGAGATGGTCAAGAACCGTAACTCTGCGACTATATTTCTGAGAAGGCATCAGTATTCAAATAATAACAACAATAATAATGTAAACAGCTCTCAAACATACATTTTTTCGACGCGTTGTCTGACGAGTCACTTTCAAAGACTCATCCTTCTTCATGATTAGCCTTTGTTCTACCTCTGCAGGAGTCTCCAGTCCACCCTTTGCTATAACCTTTGGTTGTGCAGCCATCCAGACTGTACAGAGGCGCTTGTAGCGGTCTTGAAGAACTTCCTTAAAATACGCCTCTGATCTTCGGAATGGCCAGCTCTCTTGGTCACCCCTTCTATGCAATTCTTCAAGGAGCAAGCCAACGACTTTATCGTTCCAGGGGCTTTTGGGGCTGCCTTTAAGATCAAAGGCAATATGGTTGCAGTTGGGACCTGGGCCGTCTTTGTATTCATATGCACAGACATCATCATGACTAGCTGGTTCATGGAGCATGAAATCGCTGTCTTGAGAAATGCTGAAAACGTCTTTGAAGAGACGTCGCACTTCTCCCTATATATCACTGTAAGTCGTAGCTTCCATACCATGTTTTGGCTTACCAAAATAAATTCTCTTTCATAGCTTTTCTCAGCCACCTTCTCTTGCCGGAGTTCTTTCTCCTCTACCCTTTTCCTCCAGGGACTGTGCTTGTGCTTATTGGTGAGTGGAAACTCTTTGTCAATTAGAACACATCTGAGTGCGGCTTCTACACCTCTCGCAATCACATCTTCCATCGCTGTAGCAGGCTGTGTATCGTGCTGTGAAGGCAGTGGTCCATTGTCTTCGGAAGAATGTTGTTGAGGCACTTCCTGTCCGTCGTTACTACATAAGTTTAAATCTTAATCAATGGCATCGGGCGCTTACTTCTGATCCTACCGATACAAGGCGAACTCTGTGCGTTATTCCACGAGTTTTCTTTATTCTCTTAATTGCATCCAAGGACGAGTTACCTGGTCGTGGCTTTGCGCATGGAGATGGTTGTCCTGCATCTCCTGGCATGGGGATGTTCATATCTACATCCTTGTCCTGAGACCTGGGACACCTGGAAAATCTCTGTTCCATCTTCGCCAGCTCACTCTCTTTTTCTGCCTGGTAAGTATTTCAGCATGTTTTCATTTATATACGAAACATGTTCTCGCCTTTAACTTGAGCACTTCTTGCTGAAACCTTTGGTCCATCTCCGTGAGTATCGCACTCTCGCGCTCTCAAAGCTGTTTATTGTTATCACACCATTTTCATGTCGGATTATCCGCCTCACCTCTTCGTTTGTCTTTCTCTTCAACACTTCCTCACGCTGGGCTAGTGTTTCACACAGCTCTGCTTCTCACTGCTCCCGTTCTCGTGCCAACTGTTGGACACGGGTCCTCTGTCACAGTCATCAGCGTATGTCTGGTGGTCACATGCTGCAGCAGGACTTACTTCAATTTCTTCCTGGGCTGTTGCTAATTGTTCTTGCTGCTCTCTGAGAGTTGTATCCCATTGCCATTTCATCTCCTTCATGTTTTGCTCGTGTTCATTTTTTTGTTTTTCCACTTGCTACAGAGGCCACATGTCAGATGTTGACAATGTCATTGAAATACTACGAACCGTCTGCATATTGCTGAATCAGTTCCTCCTGACTGTACACAGTTTCGCGTAGTTTCTCTGAGTAGTCGACTTCTTTGATGCGATGCCTTGTCAGGCAGCACCTGATCAAACAAAGTCTAACACCATTAACTTTGAATCATGCAACCTAGATGTACCTGAATTGGCGGCTCGCTTTTCCCCCCTGTCAGGGCAGAGTGGCCCTTGTTGGGGGCTGGCTTGCGACATCCAAGTCCATTGTGGAGTCCTCTTGCGATACCTAGAACTGACACTGAGCCTGGCATGATTCATCAATCGCTCGATGACTGGATGTACTACGCATTTTGGTGTGTCAAACTGGAATCTGGTCTGACTCTCATCTTCCATTTCGTCGTCAGTCAAACAGGTTCGTATCGTTGGCTGTTTGTATGTTTTCTTGCTTAATGCGAGCATGGACATGGTGCGGTGTTTCAGACATGATAATGGGATTCGGCGTCCTCTGATGTTTAAATTTTGGGCTTAGCTTGGATCCTACTTATGTGGGTTTACCATTATTGTGTTTAGACTTTGCGGTCACTGGTATATTACCCTGACGACGGTGCTGCATTATCCGTTTTCATGATCAGGCCCCTGAGCGCTATTATTTCGGGCGCTCCATGTCGTAACTGCAAAATTGAGGACACAAAAGAGTCCCAAAAGCCTAGGCATACAAAACATCGTAAGATTATATTTATTGTTCTGGTCACCACATTCTGCGAAACAAATAAGACAATAGATATGGTGTATGGTGATCGATTCATCGGGACACTATGCACTCTTCTTTGGGACACTCTGCACACTGTGCAGTTCAAAGGTAAGCACCACTAAAAACTACTATAAGATCGCCCGCTATCATCGCCCACTTTCAAGTCACTCCTTATCCTCAGCGCTGGTCGCCTATACTCGTCATCAAATTTTCATTTGTCATTCCTGTGCAATGGTCAACACTTGCAAATATATCTTCCCTGCGTCATACGTAAGCTATCATCTCGCTGTTCTCTTGATTTTTGCTGACCACTACAAAGACCACCGAACTTCATTTGCGGTGTAGGCTGTATTCTTCATCATGGAGTAAACCTTGCCAGGTCACTATGTTGACACGGTGCTCTGATCGCTCACGCAATGGGAAACACTTTCCTGTTCCCGAGAGCCTCCTCGATTGTGCAAGCGTGCAGCCTTATGTGCATAATTGTCTTGTCACCCTGCGTGAAGGAAGACACATATATCAATTTTCTGTTTTCTTCAAGTGGCACTGCCGCCTACGAACCAATCCGCTTCTCAGCAGTAGTGACAATATATTCCGAGGTGATGCAGTTGTTATGAGGATTGGTGTTAGCACTGGCTCCATTGTGAACATGCGAGGCAGGGACAATTCACTTGCAGACTTCATCATGCATCGGTAAGCACCATCACTGGAAAGTGATTCCAGTCCTCATTGATGAAACATTCATTAGTTTTATATGAAGTATCATACACTACCCTCAAGCGAAGCTCCCATGTACTCTCACCATTGTGAAGCTGTTGAGTACTCGGGTAAACCACTGGTTGGCTTCCAGGATCATCAGCAGCTTGGCAGCAAGGTAGTTTGATATGAAGTAATATAATTATTTGTATTCAATACATTATAAAGTTTGCTGTGATGGTGCTGTTCTTGTCACCAGCATCGTGAAAGAATAGATAAATTTAATAGCAGACAATAAGTTTAAGTAGCAGGCAAAACTTCGTCGAGACTTCTTAAATAAGGTCAAGGGTTTTGCCATTCCGTTAAAAAATACACGAGTTGCACATCTAGCTATGTGTCCTTTGTCGAGACTTTAAAAGAAGGTTCATTCTGTTTAGAAGATACACATCCATATTCAAGTAAACGTAGTACATGGGGGTATAGGTGAATCTACTGTAGATTAGATACTTTCGATGTATTTTTCTTGGTCTTGGACTTGCCCACGACCATCCTTGCCTTCTTCTGCCTAGCACGGCCTGATGTATATTTCAAACGTATCATGATCATATCATTTAGCGGCCAAAAGCCCTCATAGTTTTCCAAGTCCGGAAAAGCATCGACAGCCTGAAAAATAATAAATTCTCGGACAATTGCCATCTGTGGTCTACTTACTTTGTCACACACAACTCTCAGGAGTGCATGGTCTTGGGAAGAGGCACACTTAGTCGTATTGAGATGTTCTTCAATGAGATTTTGCATAAGTTTCTGGCGCTAATGAGCAAATAGGATGTTGTGTGAGAGCACATTACTCACCTTGAACTTAGCATATGCCCTTGGGTTCCAGTCTAAGGCCTCATTAAGTGTGTATCATCCATGCCCTGGACGACCTGGTTCACCAGGGGGCTTTGGTATCTTCGAATCGTCTGATAGACTCTCATTTGAAGTTGATGAGCAACTGTCCGACATCGACTCTAGTGAACTCAAAGACTCCGAGGGCATGGGTGTCCGAGAGTTGGAACGTGAACGCTCGAACAAAACTTTCTTCGAGTATAGCGAGGAGTCAATTTAAATGGCCGTGCTGCAAGTTTGGACTCTGGCACCACCGTGTCCTTGAGTTGTGTATGAGGAGGATCAAGAGCACTGATTTTGGAGGGAAGAATCTCAGTCAGCAACGAGCATAGTTGAGCTGGTGAGCGCTGTCAAATAGTTCAAAGTTGGTCCGTGAGCATAGGAGGGAAGGGAGGTGGAGCGCCAGGCTCTTGATCATAAAACTGCAGAGACAGTGAGAGTTTTGTTAGGCATGTTGTGGTTTTGGTTATGGTGACGTGAGTAGGGATGACAAGGGCAGGGTCAAGATATTGGGTATGAACTGTAATAACCTCTGACATTTATGACCAACCTATACCATTCAACGTAATTCCCAATAAACAATAAAGACAGTCAACAAAAGAGTGGCTTAATGGGATCGAACAAATAAGTCCTGAAATAACAGAAATGTTACGTAAAGTAATATGAACTCACAAAAGAACGAACACAAGTCGGGAACCAACAAATGGCTAGGAAATTGCACCATAGAATCAACGAAAAAGTTTCTAGTATAAGTAGGCTGTGAGCATGTGAACTGGCAACTAAAATCAAATCACAACAATGTCTTTTTTTGCTTCGTCACTCTGGGCAAAAGGAAAGCAACACTTCAGACATCAAACCCGCCTTTCTACTTACGGCAGGTCCATTCACGCCCATGCAATATCTAATGATAGCCAGGCTCTTGCATGCGGTGGTAACTTGACACGCACTTTGTTATGTGAGGCTGCTAACAGATGGCAGGAACCGAGGGCGTTAAACTCTGGGATATCAAATCTCGAAAGAACTTACATGCTCGACTCATCATCATGAGTCCCGTGGTACGATCAGCTGCGCTGTCTGGATCACAACAAGACAGGGTATGGCAGCAACCCTTTGTTATGGAACTGGGCTGGGTTATATTGTATTTTTACATTCGTAGCCACATAGACGTAAGAGGGTCCTGGTATTATTGTCGAACCCTCAACTAACATCCGATAGATGCAGTATCAGGAGGCCTGCGCTAGGAGGCTTGGATCGGGCTTCGAGATTACCTGTATGGTGTGGGATTCAACGTCCTCCGAAGCAAATACACGGATTGCAGTGGGAACAAGGGACAAGATAGTTCAAGTCCTTGTTCTCAACCCGAATTCACAGCTGCAGGCTGTGTTTTCGGTGAGACTCGACAACACCATGCCAAAGTCCGTAGCATTTTCAGATAATGGATGTGTATATGTCTTTGGACTATACGACGGAAACTTCATCAAGCTGAGAGCTGATGATGGCGCAGTGATAAAGGAATACAGCTGCCAATCGGTCATGTAAGAATCTACAGCGCATTATCAACTGATGTATTACTGACCTTCTTTCAGCGGACACGCAGCAGTGAACCAGAAGAGGGGCGTGTTCGTAGTGGACAATGCCACTGACGGTTTTACTTTATATTGACTTGAAGGTGACGAGGAACCAGTTCGAACATTTGTGACTGCTGTTCCGAGTGTGTCCGTCCCCAAGCAGGTGGCATTTGGGGCAGAAGGAAGATTAGTCATCAGGGGGAGCGACCATGGATCAGTGTATGCATTCGAGAGGAAATCAGGGAAGGTATTCGAGACTCTTTGCCACTCCAATACAGGCTTGGTACAGACAATAGCGGTGGGTGACAGATTCAAAGGGTGGGATGGGCACTGATTATTTTCCACAGACACACGATGTTGACGGGCGCTGTATAGTCGCCAGTGCTTCACCAGTGCTAGGCCGCGGAAAGGCTACAATCAACTTATGGTCCTATGACTACGGCACAGTGAAGGGAACTCTAACCTCGGAACAATACTGGTCTACATCGCGTATTGTTGCATATGTGTTCAAGATGCTGGTTCATTTTGGGGCCTTGGTGGTAATCATCTGTTTTTTGCTAACAAATTACTTTGTAAGTCAAACAGTGGCTCATCAGCAGTTGAAAATTCATACCTTCACAGAACACAGCGGAAACATGGTTGGGAGACCTCACCCAACATATGATAATGACTCAAATGCTCCCCTTTTCAGATAAAAGCTTCTTTCGCGGTGCTAAGGTATTCAATGAAGTACCAGAAGCCCGATGTAAAGAGTAGATCTGGTCTGGGCTCCACTGAATGTGAGTCCCTAGTCCTGAGGGATGCGAGTATGCTTCGTCCCAAGAGACGACCTAAAAACTACCTTGATAATGCAAGGGAAGTCTTACACAGTTAGAGAGTAGACAATATATTGGAAGAAAACCTCTTCAATGCTCGTCCGTAGTTCCGAGACTACTTCCGAAGTACCGAGAAACTTGTCCGATGCGACCGAAGGTCGTCTGAGGCTGCGAAAGTGTTGTCTGAAGTAGCACGATGCCTTCCGAGGCTTGCGAAAGCTGTCCAAAGGTCTATATATGTCGGTGTGTCGATGTGTCGGTATGTCGGTGTGTCGAATAACAGTATAAGACTTTTGCACAATGTCCGAAGTCCGGAACAATGCTAATCTATCGGGGCTCGAAGATAAACAAAGTGCGAACTGGGCAGTGGTTTAGCCAGACAATCATTCCGAATGAACTAGGATCAATTGTGCAGTTTACGATTATACCGAGGTGACTCTACTAATTACTACTCGAAGTACGGGAAGTGAAGTGCCCTATCAGTAGCCAGCAAGTGAGATTATATCCTACTTCCGTGAGAGGCCAGAATATGTAGGCGAAACTAGTAGCGAGATAAGCAAGTCCGAACCTATGTAATAAGCCGCGAGGCGTGCAAGAATACAAGTATACATGTAATAAGCCGCAATGCGTGCTGCTTATACGTATTCCAAGGCTCCTGACAGGATGCCGATGGTATTGTTATCCATGTAGTACTAAGATGTAGTCAACATATAGTCAGAATAAAGGAAAACGCACCAGCGAAGTCAAAAGGACAAGGATAGGACATGGTATGGTAACTTGCGAGGTTCGGACGGGTCTCGGAACATGAAAAACTGCCTGCAGAAGGTTCTGACAAGTGTGCACGGCCTTCGGAAGGTCAAGGGAGGTCGGGGAATGGTATGAACATAGGTATTTGATTGCCTGGTTTCGAGCCCAGCGCCACGGCCATCGTTACACCGACACAAAGTACCAGAAGCCTGACATGAAGTACCAGAAGCCCGACACGAAGTACCAGAAGCCCGTTACGAAATACCAGAAGCTCGTCAGGAAGTGATCGAACAAAACCAGATATTGATGTTGCATCAACTGGCAGGGAAACTTATCCAAGTCATTAGGGAAGCTATGAAAGATGGGGATGTGGGTGAGGATATTGATATGACGCGACACGAGGAGATTTCCGCAGAAGCAAAAAGGGTATTTTTTGATGTCATGAAGGAGAAAACGACGGTATCGGAATGCGACACTATTCAGGGAAAAAAGTCTTTCACTTGCGACGTAGAAATTGCAGAAATGTTGTAGTCCTGTAGCATATTAATGTCAGCTCGTGTTTGTTGTAAACCCCTCCGCGTATAACGTGGAGGGATGGGTGGAAACTAGCAACAATCACCTGAAGGGTGGAACAGCATGTGATGGGCATAATAATCCTACCAGATAACAGAATGAGCATAGGAATAGCCAAAGGCCAGAAAGAATCGCCTGACAGGCAAAATGGCAAGAGTTGGGCGAAGGGATGTCCAAAAATCAGAGAGCCTCTAGGGTGGCATGGGCACTGAGCGCCATAGCGCTTTGCAATTGGTGAGAGGACTGGACGATGGAAAAAAGCATGCAACAGTACAAACTGTTGCACGCGACAGGCCGAGAATGGGTTGAGAGAACACAGCAACAGTACAGACCGTTGCAGGATTGAGAGAACGGGGAACACGCCAACGCCTAGCAGTACAGACCAGCTAGGTGATGAGAGTCCGAGTCGAGGAATAAGCAGATGGTTGACTTTGACAATGAGTCGTGTCGTTGAGTGATACACATGACTTTGTTTGCGAATGTTTGCGAATGTTTGTGCTTTCTGACGCTTCGCACTCCTAGTACTGATATTTGCACTAGCTTATAGTACCTCAATATTCAACCTCCACTGGCGCAACGGTCTGTACTGTTGCGTCATCCCTTACCCCCTCCTCCTCGTTTGACACGACAGTGGACTTCGACTTCGATGTGACAGTCTGTACCGTCGCGTCTCTGGACTTCGACATGACAGTCAGTACCGTCGTGCCTCTGGACTTCAACTGCCAGTGGCGACGATCTGCACTTGCACTGTTTTCGCATTGATCCCCATTGATCCCTTATCTTCCCTCCTCGACGGGGATTTGTCGATGCAACTGGTCTGTACTGTTGTTGCAACTATCCTTTGCCCTCTCCTCCTCCGATACGACGGTCTATACTAGTTCGAGACATGAGTTGGTATGTATCTAGTACATCAAGCATGTCACTATCCTGACTCAATTCCACATTTTTCTTATAGTGTCTCCATGTCACTCATCTATGTTTAGTCGCAGTTGTATCTGGGTGGGTACCTTGTACTTCGTCGCCACCGTTTCTTATTAAAATAAGATTGCAGTTGTTCTCTTTTGTTCATACCCTCAAATAAGATTGCATTGCTCTCTGTTCTCTCGGTCAATGTCGTAAGTTACGTTTCTTTCCCCTTGTACTTCTCCATTTAAATAATCATTTCAGGCTCTGCCTGTCTGCAAGACTCGCAACACGACCCATAGACGACGAATGGTTCATACTGTCATCGCCGCCAAGCTCATTTTCGCTCGATGCCCACATCTCGTGCAGCGCTCACGCGGTGTGTGTGCGAGGAATGCATTAGAAAGGGAGGATACGACGAGAAAGGTGCACCAAGAGGGGTGCTAATAGCAGAACATTCAATCTCGGCCCATCTCCAGCGTGTAAAGGCAGAAAGCCTTTTGTCTACCATCGCTGGTGAATCTTCCATCTCCTCTATCACCCATAATCTCGGACATTTGTCCCTTACTGCGGATCATTCCCAGCCCCCATTGCTCACATCTGCGACGACAGCATCAACCAATCTGGATCACCCAGGACCATCCAATGTTCCTGCTGTTCCTGTTGCCGCTCTGTCAGATAGACTTGAGTGGTTGAAGCTGTCAGATTCCATCTCAGCCCTGCCGATAAAAAAGGCTGACAGAGAGACTACATCAAAGCTGAAACACAGTCAGCGCACATTGAAAGCATTGCAGATTCTTGCAAATATTGATTCCCAGATTCAACGGGGCTTTCGCTTATCATTGCATCCCTACAACCTTGATAACATTGGTCGCGAGCTAGCTTTGCTTCGCACAGCCATCGAAAACGTCAATGGAGGGGCAGATGTTGTAATTGCCCAAAAAAAGGCAATTGTAATGCAGATGGATGACTTGGCTACCCAGCTCGCCAGCTACCAGGATGTGCGGCAAGTACCCCTCGAGATCAATACTGGTAAGTCATCAGTACATCAATAATGATTCCTTGCTGACCGTTTAATAGACGCTCTGCAGCAAGCCCCAGTTGACTGCTCAGATGAGATCAGCCAAGTCATCTTATTTCTTTGTGTGGCATGCAGAGTTGTCATGGGGGTCAGCAGGCGGAGCTGTGATTTCATTATAAAGATAATTTCCATCATATTGTTCCTCTCGTTTCGGAGGTCGGACGGCAGTCTTAGCTCCCTACACTGAAAATATTCTCAAGCAAATTTCCCTGACCTCGGAAGGTGCAGAGACAAAATTTCATCTCAGCGGCAAAACCATCGTGTACGCCGTCTGTAACTGTCATTGCACCTATCCTCCAACGTATGTGCCAGGCTCTACGACTGCAAGATACCCCGAACATTGTACGCATTGTCCTACACCCGAGACCGAATGTGGCGATGCTCTACTTGTTGGCACTGAAGGAGAGCTCCGTCCGAAGAAGGTCTTCTTATATCACGACTTCAAAGATTATCTTTCGGGTCTCCTTTCTCATAGAGATGTGGAAGCCGTGATGGATGAAGCTTGTGATGATCTTATGGACTCCATTAACTCCCCTCCTCCACCCTTCATCAAGAATCCATTTGAAGCCCAATTCCTACAGTCAGTTTGGTGGCCCTGAAGCCTGAGACGCTTTTCATTCAATAGAGGAGAGGAAGGACGCTATGCTTTCACCTTTCATGTAGATTTCTTCAATCCCGAAGGGATGAATGTGCGGGGAGCTAGCACATCTTGTGGAATCATCTCCATGGCATGCTTGAATCTGCCTTTAGATATCAGATATAAGCCAGAGAATATGTACCTTGTAGGTATCATTCCCAGCCCAAAGCAGCCATCTCTCGAAAATCTTAACCACTATATCCAACCGCTCATCAATGACTTAGTAGATGCATGGGACTGTGGTATCAGATTTTCCAAAACCACATGTTACCCTAATGGTCGACTAACTCGTAGCGCTGTCACCCTCATTGTTTGCAATCTTCCTGCTGCTCGTCATGTCTCTTCTCTGGCTGGAGTCAGTAGTCATTTCTACTGCAGTGCATGTAAATACCACCACAAGTCTACTTATGGAAGGGTGGACTGCGACAATTGGGAACCTCACAATAGAAACGAACTTCGAAAATATGCAGAGCAGTGGCGAGACGCTGCTATGACCTCTGAGCGTGAAAAGCTATTTAAAGCTCATGGTGTGCGTTATTCCGAACTTTGGCATCTAACATACTGGGACCCTTCACGGCAGCTAATCATCGATCCAATGCATTGTCTATTAGAAGGTCTAGTCCCATATCACATTCACAATCTCCTCGGTTTGACTTTGCAGTCACATTCATCGACATCGGCCTTGCCCGCATTTTCGCATAACTTTGGTGAAGTACCTCTCGGGATGATGTCGTCCAAGGAAATGACGCAAATATCCACGATTCATGCCCTCCTTGTTTCCCAGATTGTTTCAAAGAATGGACAACTGGACGAGTGTTTTGACGCATTGAAAAAATCTTTGCTGCACAAGAACATGGGCGCGTTGAAGTTCGTTTGCAATACTTTGGGTTGTGTTCCGCAGAAAACTGGTAGAACACTGAAAGTTGATTTCATTAAAGCCCTTCTTGACTGGGTAAGCTCTCCATTCACCATGTCCATTGTTCTAAGTTTCTAATGATTTTATACAGCGTTGTGAACAGCCTTTAGCTGTCCCCAAAGAAGAGCATCACTTGGGCATGACAGAAGTACTTCGACACATTCACAATGTCATCTGAGACACATCTATCCCTACTTGGTTGGGTTCTGTTCTGAGTAATTTCGGTGGGGCATCGGCTGGGACACTCAAGGCTGATGAGTGGTGAACACTCATCATGGTCTACCTTCCCATCGCCCTGGTGAACTTGTGGGGGGCCAGTACTTTGCACTCCTCTCCAGAACTGGCTGCCCGCCTCCAAACTGTTCTTGACCACACCATGGAGCTGGTCTCTGCCGTTCATATTGCATGCGCACAAACGATGACTGCAAGGAGGGCACAGTCTTATTGCTCATACATTGTTAGTTATGTCGGAAAGTTGAAGGAGGTTCATTCTACCTCCTCACTGTGTCCGAACCACCATGCAGCTTTCCATATATACAACTACCTTCTCCTATTTGGCCCCTGCCCACTCATGGTGGTGTTTTCCTTTTGAGCGCCTGATTGGAATTCTCCAGCGGCTTCCCATAAATCACAAATTTGGTAGGTCACTATCAGAATACAGAATGGGCAAGTGGACTAATGGTCTCTAAGGGGAGTTCGAGAATACAATGCTTTGTTCATACATCAAGACTACAATGTTTTGCCGCTGGCTTGCTCGACTGGATTGTCCGCCTGCCGTTCAAGAGTGCAGGGACATCTTTGACGGCGTATATGCACCCAAGAGTTCTCAAAATTCCTCCCAAGAGTTCGCAGAGGACCCCATGAATGATACTATTCGAGTGCCTGACTGTGCAATGACTAGTGCTGTGCCTGATGACCTATATACCCTCCTGAGACGACGAACAGCAATTCTACGTGCGACACTTAAATTCGACAGTGTTATATACAGTAGGGCATCTACACACTTGGGGAACAGCCAAATTCTCTACTACCCCCGAGGAGACCGGACATTGACCCCTGTCCCTGCCAGCATCAAATACATCTATGGCACGCTGACAGGAGAATTGGTGTTTGCTGCACAGAGACATCTCCTGCTGGATCCTCATTACAACACGATCAATCCCTTTTCATTTTATCCAGACTTCCCTGCAAAAATGTACTTGACGGGGTTGGAGAGTCGCCTAGAAAATGTTAAGGTAACCTGGGTAGTCAGTCATTTTGCGTGATGCACAGTTTCCAGCCGTCACACCGTGATTCTAGCTCTATCTCATGATTAATCAGTATGTAGTTCTAGTTTGTACATAGTTCTAGTTGTGTACAATTTGTACATGAATATATATGTTGCTAAATTTCGGTCTGATTGCCATTTGTCCTTCATGAGTGGGTGACGATTGAGTGATGAGTGGGCGATGATCAGGGCAATTTATTTTGTCCGAAGGCGAAACTTGAAGTTTGGCCATCACATTTTGCCGCCAGTGTAAATTTCAAATTTTGTGTAGCCCCTTATTGTTCGACAAAACTTAAAATATTGGCAAGCATATCAAACTTCAAGTTTCGTATGAAGTTGTATGCGATAATTAAACTTAAAATTCAAGCAGACGCCGGAAATCAGATTATATTTCTTGTTTAAGTTGAGGTATAGTCAGTGACAACATGGCCGTGGATATTTCATATCTTGATTGGCGTCCAAAACAATGATTAATTTTGAAGTTATATGTCCCTCTTTATGTCAATTCAAACTTCAAATATTTTCTTCACATTTCGTACAACGTGTAAACCTATCCTAAATATTGACAACCCCGATGTGACAGTGAATACGTCATTATACTTCACAAGCAGAATGCAGCTGCCATTCATTAGAGAAACACAATATATATTCAGTCTTGCTCACTTGGCCGACACGCCGCCGTTCACTGGAAGAGAGTGTCCTCTTATTCTTGTCTCGTCATCGTGAACCATACTTCGGACATGGCTGTTTGAGTTCAGATTGCATCAACTTTTCAAGCCAGTACTTATGTTCAGTCTTGCTCACTCGGCCGACACGCCACTGTTTACTGGAAGAGAGTGTCCTCTTATTCTTCTCTTGTCATCATGAACCATACTTTCGGGCGTGGCTATTGTGCTTTATCTAGCCTGATCATCAGCTTTTACTCGACTCTCCTTTTAAGTGTGAATTTGAGCGATATGAAGATCAATTCCTAATCATCAATCATTGTGAGGGGATGAGGGAGTGGCCTTGCCTTTACAAAGCCAAATTCCCGCTACCTTTAGGTAGTGGGTCTTTCCGGTCAGGTTTTTTTGTGATTCTATGGGGCATTGTGTTTTGGAAATTGATCAGTATACAAATGGCGATAAATTCACACAGTGGTTCATGCATGCTTGCGCTGTGTTGTTCCAGTTCTATACCTTTGCCTGTTTGATGTCCATATTCTATTGTTACGTCCCTTACTTTCAAGGGTGTTGACATCATCGCCTCATGCAATCATTCTGTTTCGTTCTCTTCTGTAACTGCTGCAACTACTCACTCGGCGCCTTCGACGTAGCAACATCATGCCAGATGTTCGCATTCACGCTCTCATCTTTATTACCGATGGCATTATCAATCTTTCAACAGATTTCTTGTTTCTTGTTGTCAATGATGCATGCAGTGATGTTGTTTTTGGTTGCGATTGGTTAGAATATTGTTGGAATATAAGTGACAATCATCGCGATGTTCAACTGCCTGAACATCCGTGTTGTTTTTGTTTGTTCTTTTCTTCTCCGGTTCACAATTTACTGACATAGATGTAGTATGTTCAGACAATAACGGTTTAAATTACGGGTCATTCATGCCAGTGAAGGTTTATACTCCCAGTTTTAAATCTGCTGATTCCGTTAAAGGAGAATATCTCGTACGAGACATGCTGTTCTCAGCTTCCACAACGGATGCTACTCAATTATTACCTCTTCTGCGGAATCATGGACTCGAAAATGATTTTTCACCAGAACAGATGAACATTCAGGTTTTGCGACATCTCCTTTCTGGAGTCTGTATCCACGCGGGAGCAGGGCGAACCGGTCCCAAGGCTTGTAGACTCATTTGTCGAGCGTTTTCGGATGTTCATTCATTGCTTGGTTATATAGTTCGAGAGGTATCGCTTTCATTACCATCTGTATTATCTGTCGCATCTCTTAAAGATATTGTTGGTGCTGCGGGAGAACAGAATTCGCTTATTCATGTGAATCGTGCCAATTTGATTTGATTGCTATTCCTTCGATGTGTGAAGTCTTCGGAAGATGATGTGCTGTTCAAAGAATTGTTTCTCGGTTTCGAAACTTTATCTCATTCTTCTTTACATGCATATGCTACACTTCATGGCATACAATTTCAATTGGCAGATTCATGGGAAGCTCTATTACAGATGTTGATGCAGCATTTGTCTGATGGCAGTTGTCTGCGTGGAAAGGATATTTACGATATATTTGGCTAGGTAGCGGGCTTTGTCACGCATGTGGCCTTACACAACTTATATAATAATGTGATGGTTGATAGCAAAATTGGGTGACTTCCTGTAGGCAAAAATAATGCGGTATAGAATATAATTTCATGCTTTAGGAAGATGTGCCGCGATGCCGGGTGTCATTTTGTTACCGTTTGAAATTCAACAAGGGTCTACCCCCCCCCAATAAACTTTAAATCTGGAGGGGGGGTATATCCCCCCCTACAGATTATTCTAACAAGAATAAAGCCACATTTCGCCTTTTTGGACTACTCACACCAGCGATATCCGCCGACATAATCTTACCGCGTCTTACCGTGTGGTACCTGTGCAGGCTGCACCGTCCTGCGCCGTTCAATACTGCAGCTCTCACACATCACAGATCCCTCATAGGCTTTTACATACTTACCTTGTTTCTATAGGCATTGGCTTGGATAATTTGTGGGCACCCCAACTACTATGAGCCTGACACTAGCTCTCACCACAGGGACAGCCCTGCCACCCTGTCTCAATATCAATGTACGACGGACAACTGGCGTCCAATGCAAATGTCCCCTCAAGAAATTTTCATTCTCCAACCCTGCCTTCTGTGTTTGGTTCACCTTGTTGAACGACAACCATTTCAGGGCCCTTTGCATTGCAATATATTGGCATGCAAGCCCAGAACGACGACCTCCAATGGACGACAGACTCCTGGCATATAAAGAGACACTGTCGAGGAGTACAAGGTAAGCATTCGTTGATCTGGGTCCTTCCTTTCTCTGATACTACACTTCGTTGAAGTTCCACACTCATGACTATCAACAAGTTGCACTACAATGGCGCTGGGAATGCGTACAGTCGTGACCACACTGGAGCATGGCAGCTACACCCTGGGATCGCACAGACGGTTGCACGTCTCGCAACCTGATCCTTTTGCACACACTGGGCTGAACAGTACTGTGTCACTCACTCCGAGGACCAATGGAACTTGCCCCCAGGGTTATCAGGTATGTTTCACTTATCATACCATATGTTTGACTGAACGTGCAACAGACCCAGCCCACTCCGCCATTCACCTATCCACTTGACACCCCAGCCCAATTCTCTGCCCAGCGTCGGCACCACCCTTCACCTTCACCCATTGCGAGTGGTTTGCAACTCACTTGGCGTGAATCTGACCATGATACCATTGACCCTGCCCTCCGGCCGCTGCCTCACAGTGCCGATCTGGACTTGACTGACCCAGTGGTCATTGCCAAGGCAAATGGCTATACTGCTGCCTCGAAAACGGCTGGTGCCCATCAAAAGGCCCACACCACCAAAGGAAAGGGCAAGGGAAACTCACAACCCATCAAGTGTGCCCGTGAAATCACAGCTGATGATGATGGCAATATCAGGGTCAAGTGTGGGTGCCCGTCAGGCTCTAACAATTATACTACTGCTGACATCAATGCACTTCTCGACTTGGTCGAAAGGGAAAAGCCACTGTTACGACTTGGATGGTATCTGTTGGCGACAGCTCAAACAGAGCGTGTGTCATCAACGGTCGAGGACGTCCTTGGGCTAGCCCAAGGTTAGGGGTCTTACTTGGCGAGGCTTCGGCAAGTAAGATTTGATGCCTATGTCCAAATCGGGTAGCTTACGTCAAGCGAATGCTAGACGATGAGCTGTATCTGCCAAGACTTACAACACCCAAAGGTTAATCGTAAGATCGTCGTTAATTAGAAGGACAGAAGTCCGACTAGTTAACAGGGGCTTTGCTCGTCGACGGAGTCAATGAGTAAAGATCGAGACTATAGGCTTATCCACGAAGAGCAGATAAGAAGATAGAATATAGACTGCTGGCTAGGCAGAGGGGATCACTCTGGTGAGAGTAGGAGGTCAAGAACCAAGTAGATTCAAGTTAGAGAATATAGTACATGGTAGCGAGTTTATATAGAGGACAGGAAGCATATTAGTGGGTGATAACTCATACTACCAAGAGAGGTAAGTGGTAAAGGGGATAACCATAAAAGGAAGGCATGTTCGAGGTGAGACACGAGTGAATCCTGAACGTGCGGATAAGAAAGTGAGTCAAAGATCAGAATAAGAAGTGAAACACGCAGGGGCACAATCGTGCAGCTGCGGAGCTAAATATAAGTAACATGTGCGACTGCGCACTGAGTCAGAGATCAAGAAAGGGAAAAGGGCAAAGGGGATGCGTCGTGCATCATATCATAGGTTACCGTCCAGACGGTAAGGGCGAAGGGACTGTCCACAGGATCAGTCAGGTGGTGGAACGGAGCATGGGTATGCTTCGTCAGCGAACAGATCCGTCCAGATGTACTGGCTCTGCTGAAGCGACAAGTAGAGAGCGAAAGGGAATGCGAGGATGACAAGGATGACAAGGGTAAGGTCAGGGTAAGGGTATGATGCGAGGGCTGATACGAGGAGGATTAGGAGAAAAATGGTAGGGGCCCAAGCGTCTAGATGTTCTTGTAACAGCCACTAGGCCAGCAAGGCTGGCAGAAAATTCATGTCAAGTTCTCAGAGTGGGCAACAGAACAGGGACGTCCTGATTGAAAACTCAGTTCCCTTGAAATGAAGTTTAAACAGGTAAGATCCCAACCTCCCTTGTTCAATCTCTTCTCACTGTACCCTCCTTAGCTTGTCAAGACTACCAAGCCCACCGGAGATGGTGTTTGCCCACCTGAAGTCACCTGTGCACACCAAATTGACGCACTCATCAACAAATGTGCAGGCATGCGTGATCTCAATGATGCAGAGTTTGACAACGAACGTGACGATGACAACACTTACTCTAACTCTTCTGGCCCAGACGAGCCACAACATGTGGCTGTTACGAAGGCTATTCGCACTGAGGCTCCAGTGCCACGACAGAATGCATGTGGTGCCACTGCTGCAGAGTTGCTAACATGTCTGTCGGGGGCATTTGATCCTGCCACACAGCGAGCTCGTGACGAAGAACGAGCAGATTGGAGTCTCGCTAATACTCAGCTACTGGCACAGGCCCAGCAGCTACGAGATGCACAGGCCAGAATTGACACACTTCACGCACAAGTGTTTGATTTGCGAAGCAAGCTATATGACTCTCAACGTGCCTGTGACATGGCAGATCTGCGTGTCGAGATGCTGCGGTCTCAGACATCGGGATCGGGTGGTCGGCACCATAGGAAGATGCGTTCTCCACCTCCCAAAAGGAAGTCAATGATGCCCGAGTATTACCCAGATGGAGGCCAGTCAATCAGGTGGTTGACAGACGAGGAATTTGCACCATATGAAGACTTGTCTGCTGATGAAAGACAGCATATTGGAGGGCCAGCATGTAATGCGAGGGCAGCCAGACGATGCTTATCTCACCGTCTGGCTATGGGGAAAGCCAAGGACACCATCATGGGTGATGAGCCGCGCAGTAAGGATGGCACTCTGGACTCCATGGAGATATGAAGGACATTACTTTAGATGATGCCGTCTCGTCATACATTGGTCTCAGTTACTCACCTACGCCCACAGAGTCATCACTTGGGGATTGCACTATTCAGATGACAAGTTTCATTTCATTCTACTATCATCCTTTAATTGACTTGACTATGCAAGTCTCGAAGTTGTTGTTTTTCCTTCATTACAGTTTTACGAGTCCTTTACACATCTCATAGTTGTTCATGCCCCACAAGTCATTCTATTTGTTTGATTCTCTGAAGCCAGTAGTTAGTATTCACTGGTACTCTAATGTTACATAAAATCTAGTGACCCTGTCCTTCTGCCTTTGCTCGGAGAATAGCATATTTTCAAAATCACCCCAAACCTCAAGATCTTCGTCAGTGGCCTGCCAATGATTCATATATACAGTACGTATTTGGTTGATGCCCACCCTCTTTGCACGCAAATTGTGCAGACGTACACATGTTTCGATAAGATCAGCATGGGCCTCTGTGTCTGATATGTCAAGTGGAACACGGAAACAGCCAAATGCACCTTGGAGGCCTTGCATACCCCATTCTGCTGTCTGTCTATATGAAAGCAATTCGCGGTTGAACACCATGCGTTCCTCTATGTCCACTGTGGAGCCTCGTAAGGTTTGGCCCTGTTTGAGAGGGGCACAAATGCGGCCATTGATATCATTGCTTCCACAAGGAAAGGCAGTGTCAGCTACAATATAGTAGCCTGCGGGAGTGTCATCTCGAAGGGCTGCATTAATTTCCTTTGCAACACGAGAGTCGTGCCAGCTCCCGGGTGCATTTGTCCTCGCTGCTATGATTATGCCTGAGATACATGTGATTAGGACAAATTTGTTGAAAAATGAATGAGGTTTACCTTGTGACAAAAATGTGAGAACCAAACTGATAAAGTGTTCTGACAACCAGCCATTGAACGTGGCATTTTCAATGTCAGCGTTGTCCAATGTTTGCACAGGAAGTTTCAAGCCATCTATGCTACCGAAAGCTCCTTGAAGTCGTGCGTGACGTGCCACAACTAGAGCACTGCATTCTTCAAACTTGTCTCCATGCAACCAACGAATCTTGGCATCAGCCATGTTGCGCAGAGTGAGGAGGAGTATGCGGATGCCAAATGAAAGATACCATGAAACCGTCGTTGGGATGAGTGCAAAAATTTGTTGCAGACTAATTTGATGCATTGTTGAGTTCAGATAGTGCAATACGAGGCCAAGTGCACCTCCAGCATCAAGAGATCGATGTTCAATGTGAGGATTAGCATACTGACTGATGTCGTCACGCGGAATGGGTGTATGATACCAGTGTTCCGCGAAGCCAGATGTGAGCATGAAGGTGAATGTTTCCACGTCAAAGCCCATGGTTGTAATGAAGGCTCGGTCATTCTGGCTTGCAAATAAAGTTTGCCATGGGGTACTCAACCATGGATTAGGAAGTAGCTGCGTGCGGCAGAGATAAAGTCGTCGTGGTTGACGTCTGTTACGACTTGGATGGTATCTGTTGGCGATGCTCAAACAGAGCGTGTGTCGTCAATGGTCGAGGACGTCCTTGGGCTAGCCCAAGGTTAGGGGTCTTACTTGGCGAGGCTTCGGCAAGTAAGATTTGACGCCTATGTCCAAATCGGGTAGCTTATGTCAAGCGAATGCTAGACGATGAGCTGTATCTGCCAAGACTTACAACACCTGAAGGTTAATCGTAAGATCGTCGTTAATTAGAAGGACGGAAGTCCGACTAGTTAACAGGGGCTTTGCTCGTCGACGAAGTCAATGAGTAAAGATCGAGACTAAGGACTTATCCGCGAAGAGCAGATAAGAAGATAGAATATAGACTGCTGGCTAGGCAGAAAGGATCACTCTGGTGAGAGTAGGAGGTCAAGAACCAAGTAGATTCAAGTTAGGGAATATAGTACATGGTAGCGAGTTTGTATAGAGGACAGGAAGAGTATTAGTGGGTGATAACTTGTACTACCAAGAGTGGTAAGTGGTAAAGGGGATAACCATAAGAGGAAGGCACATTCGAGGTGAGACACGGATGAATCCTGAACGTGCGGATAAGAAAGTGAGTCAAAGATCAGAATAAGAAGTGAAATGTGCAGGGGCACGATCGTGCAACTGCGGAGCTAAATATAAGTAGCATGTGCGACTGCGCACTGAGTCAGAGATCAAGAAAGGGAATAGGGCAAAGGGGATGCGTCGTGCATCATATCATAGGTTACCGTCCGGACGGTAAGGGCAAGGGGACTGTCCACAGGATCAGTCAAGTGGTGGAACGGAGCATGGGTATGCTTCGTCAGCGAAAGGATCTGGCCAGATGTACTGGCTCTGCTGAAGCGACAGATAGAGGGCAAATGGGAATGCGAGGATGACAAGAATGACAAGGGTGAGGTCGGGGTAAGGGTATGATGCGAGGGCTGACACCAGAAGGATGAGGAGAAAAATGGTAGGGGCCCAAGCATCTAGATGTTCTTGTAACAACGTCTGTCGATTCGTTCTTGCCGAGTCTGCTCAGCTCCCACCAGTACAACAGCTGCAACAATGAGTGCAGATTCTTCTTCGTCAATTGCTTCCATCTCTATCTCATTTTGCAGCGTGTGATACTGGTAAATGATATCATCCATGATATTCCACTGGCCTACGGTTTGGTTTTTCGTACAGATTATCTTATTGGATGATTTGGTAACTATTTTTCAAAGTCCGGTATATGATAGTCCACATTATTTTGCCTACGGGAAGTCACCCATTATGCTAGTTCTTTTGATTACTATCCCTTACGCTCTATTCGTGACGGTCCACAATTTCGTGAGTCACACTCAGGTCACGAATAGTAACGGACAGTCACACTGGCCGAATCTACAGTCCGCTCGGCAGACGTTAGAATCTTCGTGATTCGGGATTCAGGATTCGTGAACTTCAACAGTGATTGATTAGGACGCTACTTATAAGTCTGTGAGCTACAGTATGTACCGAAAAATTATATAGAACTAAATGCAATCATTAATGATGTGTAAAATATTGCTGAGGGAATGTATGTGGATGTGGGTATTGATGCATACTAGTAGATGGATTATGAAGTCCGTGACTCGGACTCGGATGCGCGGGTTGAGCAAAAAAATATGGTGGATGTGGTAGCCCAGCTCAGCGCTCGCTACTTGCTCACGCGCTCACGGATTGCAGCTGCAATGAAACACGCTGTTAAATTCAATGTCCGACGTCGGCAGCCTCGGCAGGTGACACTGAAATCGTGATTTTGGCTGCTGTCACGCTGAAAACACGATCTCCACCATTTCTCAACAGATTTGTTTCGTTCCACTTGGAATATGCTAGTATATAGTATATAGAATATACTGAGTGAAGTAGCTAAGTAATTACATTGAAGTTGAGTGCTGCAGACAAAAATCACGAAATTGTGGACCGTCACGAATAGAGCGTAAGGGATAGTATGTACTATATATCGTGATATATTCCCTTCTAAAACCTTCACCGGTTCACTGATGCACGCATAGAGTGGCAGAACCCGGCAGAACTCCAGGGTATGATATAATATGCGAGACTGCGCGGACATGTTGGAGTGGGCTCTGCTAATGCGTTCGCTGGACTCGACAAACAAGTGATGATCCGTACTACTCCTTAAGGTTTCGGCTTTTTCGAACCATCAGTCACATGCCATCAACCCCAACATGCAGTGCTGCAGCTGGCTGCGGATTGGGCACATCACGTCAGCCCACATCCGAGTGACACATACTAGTACACGGGTGGACTGCGGACAGCCCGAGGCCATTGCTATAAGCAGATTTGACTATTGCGAAGAGCAACTTCATCCATTTTAGCATGGCTACCTATATCCTTTGGAACCTCGTTCTTTCAGCAAGCTCTGTAATCGTTGCGTTCGGATGTTGGAAGTTAGGACAGCGAGTCTGGCGCAACCTTAGGTCGCCACTGCGCGCACTACCGGGCCCAAAAGGAACGAGCTGGCTATATGGAAACGTAAAGGATATTTCCAACCTGGTATAGTAATCTATCGAACACATCGTGCCGTCACCCTCATTGAAACTCGCAGGATAATCCAGTCCTTCACTGCGAGCAATGGGTGGGGCAGTATGGGACAACCTTGAAATACAAAGGGTTCCTCTTCGTATGTTCAATTCCTCCGCTGCAAATCTTACCACATCTGAAATTCGTTTATCAGTCAGACCGATTATTCACGATGGACACCCGTGCACTGAATCATATTCTCACCCATAGTAACGATTACCAGAAACCATCACGAGTCCGGTATACTCTTTCTAGAATATTTGGTGAAGGCGCGTGCCAGTTGTCTACTGTTATCCCAGAGTATCTGATATTATTTCAGGTGTCCTGCTTGCCGAAGGTGCGATCTTAGCTGCATGATATTTACGCTTTCATTCATGACGGTCTCAAGGGGCTCGACATCGTCAGCAGGTCTGTTTTGACAGGCAGCTCAACATCACGATGCTAACACCATGCTTCAGAGAAGGATCATGGTATAATGTGCCTTTGTTTGCCTTGGACTAATTAAACATGTTTTTTGAAGAACCCTGCCTTTGGACCCGCTCAGATCCGCGCACTAACGGACATCTTTTTCGCCAAATCCATCAAGGTAAGCTTATTTTGCTTCTCACTAGGTGTACATATCAATGTTGCTGTCTTTCAGCTTCGAAATGTCTGGTCTACCATGACCGTTGCTAGTGAACACGCGGCTCGGATAGACGTCATTCCCTGGCTGAGCAAAATGACGTTGGACGTCATCGGGCTTGCAGGTATGTCCTTTCTGAAGGAGCTTCCTAGCAGCACCGAATGAGTGTCATAGGCTTCAACTATGATTTTGACACCCTGAATGCGACTGGTAAATCGAATGAACTTAACCAAGCGTTCTCGCTTCTGCTTTCTGCCAGTCAACAGACTAGAATCCTCCCCAGGCTCAAGGCATGGATTCCATTGCTCCGATGGATCGTAGTAAGTTCACCATTGCAACCTGACATAAATTGCTGCTAACTCCCTTCAGCCCTCTGATCGTGATAGAAAGATAGATGCAGCCCAAAAAACGATAGGTCATATCGGCAGCCAGCTCCTGCATGATGCTAAGGCCGCTGTCACATCATCTCACGGCGATGAAAAAGGTAGTTCCATTGAGAAGAGCAGTCTTAAAGGGCGCGATTTACTCAGTTTACTTGTTCGTGCCAATATGGCGACCGATATCCCAGAGAACCAGAGGATGTCCAACGAGGATGTACTTGCGCGTATGTTGTCATTTGGAATTATATGTGTAGAGAGCTTATGGTGTACGTAGAGGTCCCGACTTTTTTGGTTGCAGGACATGAGACCACGAGGTACGGATGTCACTTGCTGTAGAAGATAATCCACACTTACACATCCGGATAGCGCGGCAACAACTTGGGCACTCTATGCGCTTTGCCTACGCCCGGACATCCAAACCAAGCTCAGGGAGGAACTCTTGACAGTAGAGACCGAGACTCCGTCCATGGACGAACTCGTGGCGCTTTCGTATCTTGACGCGGTTGTGCGCGAGACGCTTCGTTTGCATGCACCCGTCCATGGCGTAATTCGCGTCGCAATGAAAGACGATATTCTCCCGGTGGACACGCCTTTTACGGACAAGTATGGAGTGGTTCATAATGGGATCAAGTACGTTGCCAGCATCCCTTTCAATGATCAATATCTCATCACGGTTGTCAATCAGGGTTAGCAAGGGCGACCCAATTTTCGTCCCCATATTAGCAATCAACAGATCGGAGGCGATTTGGGGCACCGATGCAAAAGAGTTCAATCCTGACCGCTGGGCGTCACTTCCAGAGGTAGCATCGCAAGTCCCTGGGGTCTGGGGACACCTCATGACGTTCATTGGTGGTCCGCGCGCGTGTATTGGGTATCGCTTTTCACTAGTGGAGTATGTCTGCTGCAACCTTACATTTATTTCCGACGATAACAACCTTTTACAGGATGAAAGCTCTTCTCTTTACCCTGGTTCGAGCTTTTGAGTTCGAGCTTGCTGTTCCTGCTTCGGATATTGGAAGGAGGTCGGCGATCGTACAGAGGCCGTTCCTGCGCAGTGATCCAAGGAACAAATCCCAGCTTCCCTTGCTGGTCAAGTCGTATTGCAAGACTTCAGGACTTTTGTAACCCTATTCTTCAATTCTGTAGTAAGTGTTTTGGAAATGTTTCCTGGTAAAAAATAATGATCAAAGTGCAACAGCCGCTTTCTGTGTGGGTAGATGCGCTCGCCAAAAGTCATCCTCGCTTAGCTGAGGATGATAACCAATTGAGATACAGCTACTCCCACCTTTTCTCTTATTCACCTCTATTCGTCATCATTCTCTAACGTTCTATGCCCCACAGTATTTAAACCCCTCGTTTACTTAGTAGTAGGGCAGTTGATCTTTCCCCCCGAATATACTTTAGTTTGGTCAGTTATTCTGTTCCAACCTTAAGTCTCTTCTAAAAACTTCGACCCTCACGTGTCACGTTTGGATTAGGGAAATCGGGTACGTCGCCTCATCGTCATCACAAGAGTCTGACCAGTTGAACACCTCCCTTAGACGGGAAGTTCTTTTGTCGCATAATGTTGAAGAGGTTCGCGAAGGTCTGTATGTTACATTTTTACTGGCAAATGTGACTTTATTGCTGATAGAGTCTATGCCCTCAGGCTCGGCTGCCTCCTGGACGGTTCCTCCATTGCTAGTCAACGGGTTTCTACTGTGGGTGGGTCCCATCTGAGTAGACTCGCTGTCTGCTCCTTGCTGGTCTTGGGTACCAGTCATTTGCGGAGGTTTGGTTGCAAGGTTGGCCATCACGCCATCTTTAGGGACATATGAGCTGTCCCGAGACTCTGCACCCTCGGTTTCTTGACCGAGGGGTCGTGCGTCTGCACTCAAGCTTCCTGACCCAGTCAGGGAGCGAGGAGATTCTGCACTGTGCTCACTAGTGGGCATATTAGACATGTTTCCAATTTTGACGATATCGATGTTGTTGAGTAGGATTTTGGGTGGTAATGAGAATCAAAGTTCCGGAAGTTGATCAGGCTTCCTTCGCGATGACTGTAGTGGAGAATAAACTTTAGGATTTATAACAGTTAAAAATATGTGACGTTTAGAAAACGTGCACATGCGAGAGGCGAAGTTTTTAGAATAGACTTAGGGCTCGAACAGGATAACTGGCCGAACCAAAGTATATTCGGGGGGAAAGATCAACTACCCTACTACTAAGTAAACGAGGGGTTTAAATACTGTAGGGCATAGAACATTAGAGAATGATGACGAATAAAGGTAAATAAGAGAAAAGATGGGAGTAATTGTATCTAAATTGGTTGTCATCCTCAGCCAAGCGAGGATGACTTTTGGCGAGCGTTACAGTAGATTACTCACGATTATATATCCGTCTATTCAATTTCGATTTCTGTATGCAAAATGATTATCATCGCGCATGTGTCAGTTGTAGACTTGTCATGCTTTATCTCCAAGTCGACCCTGTAGTTTTCCTTCATGGTAGCGCTGAAGCCTTTGGAAGCAAGAGCTGCATAGAAGTAAGTCTGTGAGAGAATTAGATCAACCTCCGTAGAGAGCCAAAGACAACTTTCAACGAAATTCTCTTGCAGTACTACAGTGCAGCATAGATAGGCTCCAAACATCTGGTGAGTATTAGTATCGTCTGCAATGACGACATCCAGGGACTTCCAAACGTAAAGAAGCTCCCAGTCATCCTCGTCGAGGTCTAGCCTAGGCTTTGCTTGATTCCTTTCGAGACTTTTTTGCCTTCGCAAATTTCCAGAGCAAGTCTTTTTCGTGAACAATTTTAGTGACGAAAATAGCACAACAGCTTCTGGAACTACCATGCTCGATATTGCCGACCGTAATCGCAGGTGGATTTGGAAAATGATAAACGCTCTCCCAGAACAGGTGAGATTTTTTGAGAGGATCCATACAAATCCAGTATCTCTAGCGTGCTGATGGAGTCCATCATATGTATAGCTAATAAAAGCCATATCTTTAAGCTGTCAATGATATCATGATCCGACACGATTCTCTTGAACTTTGTGTCGGGCTGCCGTGATAGCAAAAACGCACCAAAAGGCTGTCCAACTAGGGGGCCTATCAAACGAAACGCCCGCGATTAAGAATTCGAATAAACTGGCTTGTTTCGTGCAGCAGGTAAATCGTACAACGGAAATGACACGGACCTATAGTATTTCTACGGCACCGACGTCCATGTGTCAATGGAAGTTATGTTTCCGACTTGTGCAATGATGACATGGTCCGCTACGATCCTCTTGGATTGTCCGTCGCATTGCCGCGATTGCTAAATTGGACCGAAAGGCTGTCCAAGGCGAACCATCAACCGCAAAGCTCGTGAACGAGGCTCCTCTTCTACAGGCCAACCGGTGGTTAACTTGTCAGAGTCGTCCATCGGGGACCCGGGCTCAATTCAATCTTATTGTCTGCAAGGTTAGCACCTCGAGAAGAAATTTGTGGACAAACAAGAACATCTAACGAATGAACTTTGCTCGTGAAAACTGAATTAGATTCTCTTCAGTGGTGATCAGCAAGGCATGAAGTTCGTTTGCCTTGATTTCATACGTGTTGGGAGTCTCTTGGGCTAGACCACGCCTATGTCTCATTTCTGTGACACGTAATAAAAATGCAAGTCAGATGCAGTTTGTAGTCAGCGAAGCAAGGAGTTCTCAGCTGTTCAAGCTGGTCATAGTAAAATTTCAATGCGAAATCTGCAGGTACGGGTCGTCGTAGCGAAGAGAGTTGTGTGCGAATATGATCTTCAGACAGAGATGAATGCGATCTCCTGCAGGGACCGCCTGGGTGCATTCCGTTCCTTCTCTCTGAGGATTCAACTCGAGTTCAATCCAAACTGTTCTTCGAATAGTGTCTGGTCCTACTTCGGGTGGACGGACATGCTGCTGACGCAGATCTGCAGGACAAGACAGGCGTTGGAGGGCGTTGGAGGGCGTTGGGTAGTAGTGTGACACAATGACTAAATAAACACTGCCCGGACTTTCAAATAAGTCACAGCAAAGCGGCAAATAGAACCGTAACCTTACATCAATTTCGATAGTGAAACTTGAATGCAGCATTATCCATGAACTACGCACGAGCTTCTACAAAGGGTCGCACATGAATTTATCTCCAAGAGTGCGACCTCTCTGTCCCTCTGGTTGTGTACTCGGAGATGTTGCAGCCAGAGAACCGCGAATGAGGCAATGATATCATTCGGGGGTGGGCGTCTTACGCTGCGGCTACGTTCCATTGCCCACTCCTGCCCAGGTGCAAGAATCGAGGTTGTTCGTCCAAGTGACAGAAATACGCTGAAGCACCAACTTTTGATTACTTCTATTGGGTGCATGAGGTCCAACTTCCCAGTATAGAAGCGCGACCAGCACGGCCCAGGCAGCCATGGCCAAGCGCTGGCCTGTCACGCATGCGCTTTGACTCGCGCGTCGACGACGTGTCTTGGACTTATCCTATACTATGGCAAAACCCTTCTTCAATTACAAATATCCATGGAACCTTCCGAGTCATTCGCTAGCATGCAGCTCGTGAAGACTAGGATTCTGAAGGTGTGAAGAATGTCAGTTTTCTTTGATTCGTGCCTGCCAACATTATGAGTATGAACCCACCAGATCTCTCATGGACACAAACACACCGGGGCCTCCGTGGGCATGAGGCCACTAGACCTGTTCATGGGCATGAACCCGCCAGACCATTCATTAATATGAATCCACTATCCACTAGACCTTTTGTGGCATGAGCTCGCCAGACCTGCCACAGTGCTTGTGGACTGGGAGCATATATAAAAGCTTCGAACAATTTTTTCCAATTCTTCACTCTCGCAAGAGCTCGCAGTATCCTGTCGCGTTCACACCATTTCCCTTGCTACCGGAATTCGCAAACGCATAAGTGAGTTTAGTTATGTTTCGTAGATGATAACACGCGCTCACCATAAATTCATCAAGATCAATGTCACAAAACCCGTTCTCTTTGCAGCTAGGGCAGATGCCTGGGCGAGATCCAAGGAGATTAGCCATACAATCATCTCTTCTGTACCTTGACAAGTTGGATCTTCGTGTCCGTGAAGAAATTCAGGCGACCCGCAGGCAGTTTTTAGAGCTTCTTTACAACCCCCAGTCAAATGTCACGATGGGAAATTTGGACGGATACGATAGTATCCTCGAGTCCCAAGCAGAACTCAATGAGCTCAGTACTGTTGTCGATAATGTTCTTTCAATGTCCTTCGATGCTTTGCGAAAGCGCTTCTTCGTGCAACAACCAGCACCCCATAGCACATTTTTCGGGGTCATGGGAGGGCCGTCAGAGGGTGCAAACACTCACTTTGGTCAACCTCCACAAGGTAAGTTTCGCCATATCCGTAGCCATGCCTTTCAACGCTTACTATATGACAACCAGGCCAATTTCCCGGCAGCGCCTTCGGTTTCGCCAATTATGGGCCCGTTCCTCAACCTTTCCTACCACAGCCTCAGTACTCTGGGACCTTTCCAGTGATCTATGACCCGCATGGTCCGCAACCACTGCTACAGGGTGCGTATCCTGTCGGCCAAGATACCATGCAGGTCCCAGCAGATCCCACGGAGGGTAATGTTGAGTTTCCCAAGGTATGTTGAGGTCAACCGTCGCGACCATCATATTCCTACTTAACGTCTGTAGGATTTATTAATCGACGACTTCTGCGTGCCATCGACGGAACTCCTTGTAATCGAACCCGAAGTAGTCGCTACAAGGATCCGCCCTCGACATGATGGATTCCCTCGTCAAGTATTTGATCCAAAGGACATTGCGTGTCTCAGCTCTCCTATGACACTTCTCAACGACGTGTGTATCAATGGTTGTGCTGCGATCCTCTATTCCCAGTTCAAACTCCCGACTGTGGACTGCGCTATATTAACCACCTATGACCTTCCGCGCGTTCGTACCAATGCATCTGACGAGCTCATCTGGCGCAACATATCCTGGACTTCTTATTGGGAGAAAAACGTGTGGATTCTTCCAATCCACAGACCATCTTACGACCATTGGGTGATCTGTATAATCTATTTCCAAACCAATGAACTCCACCTGTTCGACAGTCTTGCTGAACAGGAATCTTGGGAAGATGATGTAAAGGTGTGTTTTTTCTAATACCAGATCATAACCAAATGACTCAAATGTTCATTTACAGGACATCAAAAAATTAGTTGGACGGTTCCTCGCTATAGCACGTATTAAGCGACACGGCGGCGTTCAGATTGAACCCGAGGACTGGCAAGTTCGGACGTTAAACGTAGGTTATATAACTCACGCTAGGTAACATTGCTTGCTGACCTAGTTGGATAAGGTCAACCCATGCCAGAGCAACGGTTACGATTGTGGCCTTTGGATATTGGCAGCCATGATTGCCGTGTTGCGCGGGCGACATGTTACAGGCCTTCACGAGAATCAAATGAGCGCCTTGCGGCATTATCTCCATAGTCTAGTCTTTTCCATTCCCTCCATTCCCCCAGGAACCTGATACGATTGCGTTACTGTTGTATATTGATTCTGGCTGGGTCCTTGACCAATGTAATTACCTCCCCTGTCGATAGTTCAGCATGAGCCTCTTGAATCTTTTGCCGCGAAAGGAGGTACGATCGCACAGATGTTTGCGTGTTATTGTTGTATACGTTGTCAACAACCACTCTGAGTGGCAGGATTATTCACGGCACTATGAATGCAGGGATCTATGCAATCGGGCCGTGCTTTTCGTGCGTGCGATACAGTCAATAGGTTGCTAAACAACAGGCGTTCAACCCAATGAGAATGAGATGGCATTTCCTCATGTATCTGTATCCTATACCTACTAAATTGACGTTGATGCAAACGGGGCATAAGAACGTGAGTAGTAACCGAAAAACATCATAACCACGTTAGCAGAAACGATATAGTTGTTACATTCATATTCGGAAGTCTCGTGGTTGAGGTCTGTGATGTCATCAGTGGCGATGTGGGAATTGAAACGTTCGTTTTCGCACATAAAGTACAGGTTGAGCACTCGGCGCTTATTCATTAAGTACAGTCGGTAGACCAGCTAACTTCATTTTGACTCCTATTTCCAACAAGTAATCCAGGCACTGATATGATTAAGCTTTTGCTTTTGGTCTAAGTCTAAAATGTGTGACTGACCTCTGTTTGGGTTTTTGCTTTCTGCCAATCATCGCCTGATAGAGGAAGTTAACGCTTAGAAATTGAAATGATTAGCTGATGACATACCCCACACATAAATACCGTGCCGTAAAACGAGAATACCAGCGGCCCTGGGATACTTCTCCATGGCCTCTCTCATGCTGTCCTTTAGGTCTTCTTCGTTAGGCGTATTGTTGATGATTGGTACCTCAAGCGTGTCAAGGTACGAAAGGGTCGGACCATTTCCGCCAATTCGGACGCCCTTGATCATCTTTCCAAAGATCAATGAAGTGTGACTAAAAAGTAAAATCTCAATACCTCCTGTAAACAAGATCAGTATGAAATGTTCGCAACATACTTTCCCAACTCACTTGATGAGAAATTTTGAACATCTTCTCTTTCTCCCAGAGCAGCGTTGCCATCACCGCGTTCTGAGAATGAGTGTGTATACACGAGCCAGCGTTGCGAACCGTAAAAGCATTCCAGAAAAGCGGGGTGCAAGCAGACTCTTTCAAGTTCAACTTGGGGCGACGAAGGAAAACCCTATCGGTATGTGGAGACGGCTCTGCCTGGGGATAAGGCAGGACGAATATATGCGAAGGCTCGATGCGTTCTTTCTGTACGCCTGAGGGGGCGATGTACACCTTATCGCTACCGGAGACTAATCAGCGCGCGTAAGGTGCAGCCGACAAGAAACGAACTCAGTACGGATACAGATACCACCGCCAGTACCGGTCACCCATCCCAATCTGTAGAAGGATGCACATAGTTCTGATATTAGATTTGCAGGCTGATCATCGATGCGATTCGTAATCAGCATCACAGGTCGAATCAACAAATACGGCTCACATGTAGAGGATCAGTGGAAGTTACAAGAGCATCTTCTTGTTCTGTGCTCGCAGACATTGTATCCGGTGGTCAGATGGCAACATCAAAGTCCGACGATAACATAGATTAGATGACCCTAACCCTACAGTAGGTCAACTAAGCTTGCTGTAACCGGCGGCTCGGTGGCTATACTATAGGGTTTACACGTCATACTCAGGCTGTGATGTGTCTGTCCCTCTAACTTCCTGTGCCGCACCTTTCTGTTTCGCACATTATGCATGAATAGTATTCCCAAGGGGAACACTGTCCAGCCCTCGTACTGGGGAAGTCCGGCGTATTATGTACGTGTTCTAGAAGCGGGTCTAACCGAGTCTTCATAGCCTGAGGAGTGCGGATCCGACAAACATGAGCTGTGCTGGAATCCACACCACAGGTGAGCCTGTATCCGCAGCAGCGCCGGAGATAACAGAACAGCCACCATGACAGCAACTTGCAAATCATTACACATTGGACGCGCGAGATGTGTGCCACCTACTAGTACGCACGACCCGGCCTCTGGGGACCATCTGGTGACCGCAATAAATAAGGGTGGTTAGGCTACCATGTTAGCTAACAACTCTGAGTTACGTGGATCGTTACAGTACTTTGCACAACCGATGCAAGATCTATTTCTAGAAGACATTACAATCTGTTATGTATGTCTCTTGTCTCCCAACGGTGGGTACCAGGCACGTCTCGGGGGTACTTCGAGTTAATCTTCCAACCAGTGCACACGAAGTCTCGAGGCGCACCGCTTTGGATTTCACGTTCGGGTACATTTTAAGCTGTATCCACAAGGCTGTACTCTATACCGCCTGATATCTGACGTTCGAGTGTCTCACTTGCATAGCCTTAAGAGCTTGTTATATTATATATATCGATGCGTCACCTATGAAGATATGCAAAGCATACCCCGCCTTCGCTCATCTTTTGCACAATGCAGGCAACAGCAACGCCATCACAACCCGCCCCACCAAAATCATACAATTTCAGCCTAGAGGATATGAAAAACACGAAAATATTCAATAACCAACCGGCTTCTCCGTTATACTCAGTGGTCACCGACATCAAGTCAGACAAGCGGACTGACATCTTTGATGCTCGTGGCAATCGCCTGTTGGCTCGGATCGATAGGAGAGATATCCTGCCAGACACCATCACGTTTCCTAGTAGAAATGGTGGCTCTTCAATAAACCTTAGTAAATGGCTGCAAAAAAGCAAGCTTGAGAATGGATAGTACGTGAACTGGTATGGGTAAGTGCAGTCCAGCAACTGACGTATATACCACAGTCACGTCCACTCCATCGAGACTGCACATGGAACCTACGTTTGGAAGTCAGACGCCGAATACCGACTTGCTGTAAGTCAACACGCGATACATCCCTTGTGCCACTCTTTGACGTTTGCTCTCGCGAATTACGTTCTGTCAGCTGTATCGGAAGGGTGACATGTCCAACCCTATTGCGCACCTCCAACAGGGAACACGAACCCAAAACTTCGCAGTAATCATGCAGGGAGAAGCGGAGCACATTCGCGACGACGTTATCATATCCTTTTTGATTCTCGAACAGCGCCTAAGAATATCTGAGAAGAACATCGCCGTCGGCGGGGGCAAGTTCGAGCAAAATTGAACGGTATTGGGTCATTACGTTGATATACCGATATCCCCTGGGCGTGGTGGATCCACCTCAGGGGTCTGATGCAGAGCATTGCATTTGGTCTGGAAAGCTATGGACGTTCTTGAAGTAACGTGAACTGGTCCACAGCTGAAAGGGGGTAACATTCTTTGGAGTTTTATACGGGGACGTACGCGCAGAATTGAAATAGAAATGCATGCCAGGACTTGATCCGTATATTTAGTGTAAATAACATTATCATCGATCGCCTAAGTTGAGCAGGCGAAAGCGCATCAAGTCCACCCCTATTCATCCCCTCCAATAGTTTGGTTTCGTGAAAGGCATCGGGGTAACGATAGCTTTCCTCATTCTATTTCGGACATCGATGTCAACCTCGGTACCTTTCTTGTGAAAGCCAGACTTCACATAGCCCATCGCAATATTTTTCCCAAGCGTGGGGGAAGGAATGCCTGACGTGACCGCGCCAATCAATTCTTTTTGAGGCGATGAATATATTTGGGCACCCTCTGTGAAGTGGTTATTAGCATCAAACCGATGAAAACAGGTGGCAGCCGCTCTCACGTCGCGCAGGTGCACCATCCACTATGAATCCCACTCGGCGTCTCGGAGGGCCATCTTTCAGATGTTTACGTACCCCTTCCGCTCCAATGAAATCTCCGGTTTCTTTACGTTCTTTGCCTGAACGTGCAGTCAGTTTTATTACATCGTTCTCACGTGAACGGATTCTCACCGATTACCCAAGTCAAACCAGCCTCGACAGGAGTAGTATCCTCATCCAAGTCATTACCATATAAACACATGCCAGCTTCTAGACGTAGGGAGTCCCGAGCACCCAAACCCGTCAGCTGCACTGGGGCATTGCAAAGCAATTCGGTGACCTCCACCGTTTGAGATGGTGGTATCGAGATCTAGAATTTTGTGAGAAAGCAAACGTTAAAAATAGTCGATGTGTGTCCACCTCAAACCCGTCTTCGCCGGTGTAGCCTCCCCGAGCAACGTGCAGGTTGAAACCCTCAATGGGCACAAAAGCAGACTTGCCAAATGTTAGCTCACGTAAATCGAAGGAGGTCAAGCGCTGCAGATACTGGGCAGCTGCAGGACCTGAAACACAGTCAGAAGTTAGAGAAACCAGGTAGGTCACACTGACCTTGCAACGCAACAAGTCCCCAATCCTCCAAGACCTCGTGTTCCACCTTTCCACTTTTTGCTCTATCACTAGCATTCCACTCTTCGAGCTTCTCTTTGAACCATGCGAGATCCCTGTCCCGTCTTCCAGCATTTGTCACGACGTAATAGGCATCTTCTTCGTGCTTCGTGATAACGGTGTCATCAATAATGCCACCTTTTTCATTCAGGAGAACCGATAAGGTAGAGCTATACGGAGCAAGGGACGTTAGCGACGAGGGCGTCAACCACTCTAGAAACGCTGTAGCAGTACGTCCCCGGAAACTTGTTTTGTTTCAGTTTGCAGTGTGGTAATGATAAAGCCAGAATGCGACCCACTTAGATTGTACCATGTGCCCAACATCGAATAAACCAGCATCAGTACGGACATGGGCGTGGCTGGCACCTATGAACAAAATATTCAATGCAATGCTTCTCAAAGCCGACTGTGACCGCACCTTGGCCAACGTTCCCGTAGGCAAGAGGCATTTGATACCCGGCGAATGGCACCATCTTTGCACCATTCTTGATATGAAATTCGTAGAGACCTGTTTTCCTAAGGGTCTGAATAGCAGTGTGTGAGGATAGTGTTGGGCCAAGATAGGTTCGCAACGACCTACTCCTTCTGTGGCGGTTGCTAATCCCCGAGGATTGGTCCAACCTGGCAAGCTACGATGAGCTCGACATCTTGACCCGAATAGAACAAATTGTCGGGCTGTGTATGTCGATAGAGCACGACCGGTCGACATATGATCCAAATGAACGGCAGTCCAAAGTTGGTCTAAGATATGATATTGTAAGCTGGGAACTTGCCTCAGTGAGAAATCGGTTACATGAACTACATAATTAGTACAGTATGACTATTTTGACTTGTACACTCGCTCACCTTCGCAGATTCGTATATAATACTGTGATCATGCTCATGATCTTTTGTACGCATAAACGTATGCACAAATCTGAGGCGAGGCCACCAGCGTCAGGATGACCCTTATTCAGAGCCTAGTCCCTAGACAGCCCTGCATAGAATTCGAAGATTGTTCCTATCAAAACTTCAGTCACTCAGGCTCAGTAACTACGCTCAAAGTCCCCTGGATGAAATTTGTGACACCGTTGCTTGATTATCTACCGTGACATCATGATACGAGCATCCAACGTTTCATCCTGATTCTGGAACTCGATTTTGTTATGGATGTTGGAGTCCGACTCACAGGGCTCTTGCCGGATGATGGTTGCCCAGATCGTCACCTGAAAGTTCTCGTGATGTAGCGAACTGGCCCCGCGGGTACGCGGTACGTACTACTCAATTCAGATATAAACATTAGTGACACTCATCGCTTCTCATGTTCGGTCAGATTCACTGACGCCATTGACGTTTCCCAGACTTGTCTCAGACATCGATCCACCATGGACTCCACAGCGACGCTCGTCAACCCCGCTCTGCCTACACCCTACTTCATAACCAGCACTAATCCAAAGAATGAGACATTTTATGCTCACCCTGGTATCCCACTGTACACGATCAACGACGATGGGAAACAGACAATGATCCGCGACCGTCGTACTCCTGGTCGGATTGTAGCCATCTTCCACCAGCGAGAAATTCTCCCAAATACCATCTCATTTCCAGAACGACATGGTAACGCACCGATCAACGTTCAAAAATGGCTCCGAAAAACTAAACTGGCGGACGGAACGTAAGCCGTGCTTTGCTTGCAGGGCGACCTTTGGAGAATTCATGAGCTAGCTACTGTAGAACTGCTTTTGTTATGGGGACCGATTACGGGCCATACGTGTGGAAGATGATCTCAAGCCATCACCAAAAGGCAAGCTCTCTCCTTCACAAAAGCGCCTTTCCTCATCACTGCCTCCGTCCTACAGGTATACGCTCAATATGACTTGGACAGACCGATCGCATCGTGTTCATTTCATGCTACAGTGTCAGATGGAAAGCCTGCATTCTTACTGGAATATGATGCAGAGCCTTTGCGGGAAGATATTCTGGTGGCTTATCTGCTCCAGAGGCAACGAGTCATGTCAGAGGACAGGCTTATCGATGTCTTTGTAGGATCTCCAGGGGGGTAGACAAGACTTCAAAACTTCATAGGTGCTGTCACGGGGTTTTAGACATCTTCGCAGAAGTATGTACAACTTACTATCTCACTAGGACTTACTCATACATGTCGTACATAATTCAGTCCACTTCTTGAGTTCTTGGCAATAGTCAGGATACCGCCAGATGATCGTGAGACCGACTTGTCTGCCTATGAACTCATCACAAGAGTGTCGATTTACGGGATTTACTAACGTGCCGATATAGGAGCAGGTGCTCAAGCTCTTGCCGAATATTAAATGTTTGGCCATGCCAGCACAACCAAAATTAAAGTATTGAGTGTTTGCAGTCCCCAGCGCCAGTATTCAACGGGAAACATTCGTGTTCCTAATTGCATTTCATACGATCACAGCAGCCTTAGCATCTATATTCCGTCAGTAACGTCAGACCTTGAATACAAACTGAGGCTTCCAGTACTACTATCCCTTACGCTCTATTCGTGACGGTCCACAATTTCGTGAGTCACACTCAGGTCACGAATAGTAACGGACAGTCACACTGGCCGAATCTACAGTCCGCTCGGCAGACGTTAGAATCTTCGTGATTCGTGATTCGGGATTCGTGAACTTCAACAGTGATTGATTAGGACGCTACTTATAAGTCTGTGAGCTACAGTATGTACCGAAAAATTATATAGAACTAAATGCAATCATTAATGATGTGTAAAATATTGCTGAGGGAATGTATGTGGATGTGGGTATTGATGCATACTAGTAGATGGATTATGAAGTCCGTGACTCGGACTCGGATGCGCGGGTTGAGCAAAAAAATATGGTGGATGTGGTGCAGGGACACTGAAACAGTGTAAAAAGACGGATGTGTGGAATGTGGTGGTGGCAACACTGGCAAGTGCCCAGGCTGGAAGGACCTTCTTTCAGAACAAAGTACGGTGACATTGTTGCAACCAGCTGCATTTGCACATTCCAAAATCGTCACAAGTTCTAGATTATCGCTATGTTGACGGTAGAAATCACGGTCCTTGGTTGCAAAAATAAATTTTGACCCATCACCATTCCGACCACCTCCCATCTGATTGCCCTTCTCATCCATATTCCAATTATGCGCTGCGGGAATACCATTATATTTCTTATCGAGGTCGATCCGAAGCGTGAAGTATCCATCAACAGTTGTTTTGTTGAAGTTCTGAGCACGTTTCGGGTCAAGATTCCGTGGCTTGTGAGTAGAAATAGACTTCTTGTGACGAGCGAGGTAACGACGATGCCAATGCTTTCCGGGAACCCTTCCACTAATCTCGTTGACCCGGGCACGTAAATCACGAGGGTGCACAGGGCGTGCGGCACCAGATTCATGAGCCAGCCAGTCCTTGACAGCTTCCTCTTCCGATGGCTGGAGGAGTTGCTGTGACTTGGCAAAATCCCTGCGAGACATATGTAGACCCTTGCTCCGGTCGTTAAGAGTCTGCCGTGCGACCTGTACAATAAAATTAGCACTGCAGGAACTCGAAAAATACACAATCATACCTTTTGTGCCCTTGCAGCTACTGTAATATTCTTGTAAGTGCCATTTGTGACACCCATGAGTGCAGCCTGGATCCTGGACTCGTACTCGGGGTCAGTAGACGCTGCCAGCTTGCCTCGGTGACGTCCCATGGCATAGCGATTGAGCCCAGCTCAGCGCTCGCTACTTGCTCACGCGTCACGGATTGCAGCTGCAATGAAACACGCTGTTAAATTCAATGTCCGACGTCGGCAGCCTCGGCAGGTGACACTGAAATCGTGATTTTGGCTGCTGTCACGCTGAAAACACGATCTCCACCATTTCTCAACAGATTTGTTTCGTTCCACTTGGAATATGCTAGTATATAGTATATAGAATATACTGAGTGAAGTAGCTAAGTAATTACATTGAAGTTGAGTGCTGCAGACAAAAATCACGAAATTGTGGACCGTCACGAATAGAGCGTAAGGGATAGTACGTCTAATTAAAGTCATCCTTGTAATATGGTAATCAAGGTGACCGTCGTTCTTTCGCGGAATGTCGTAAATACTAAACAAGAGGAATATTGCCATGACAATGATATGTAGATGGGCTATTCCCTCCATGCTGCAATTCAGAAATTGAAAATATCTAGGCAAAGGAGTTTTGCAGACTTGGACGAGAACTCGCTATAGGACGGCGCTCATCTGAGAAAACTCAAATTCATCGGCTTGATCAGGAACCCTAACCCCATTTTTAGGTTTCTCTTCTCTTTGCAGAAACATGGTCGCTATCTAAAACGACCATGTCATCCACAGCTCTGCGATCGATCAGCATTTCATGCGGAGACGGCCTCGATGCCGTTGACGGATCAGCTAGATTCTCTTTTCGCCCTTCTTGTTCAGCTCTTGCTTCAGTCAGCGGTCCCATTGCAGCCCGTCTAGCAGCTGAACACCCCGCTCGCGCAACCGTCGAAGTGCACGTCCGTCCGCTCTCATCAGTGCCAGGCACTGCAGAGAAATCTCGTGGGATGGCGATACGAGAGATCGTAGAGCGCTCCTGTCTTCTCGCACAACACCCACGCACTCTCATTCAAGTCGTCGTTCAAGCCCTAACGAACCCAACGCCCGGTTATGCCCTTCTCGCAGCCGAAATCAACGCATGCACGCTTGCTCTTATTAACTCCGGTTCAATCGCGATGCGTGGTGTGGTTTGTGCAGTTTCTGTTGGTAGAGTGAAGAAGGGAAGCGTGATTTCCGTGGAGGTCGACATAGCCGATGATGCTGTGCTTGAAGGAGGTGGATGTTTTGCTTTCCTGTTTGGATTTGCACTGTCAGGGCCGATAAAAGGAAGTGCTCCACCATGCGAGGATGTTTGGTCGACTTACAGCGCTCGTCATGGGTCATCTTTCGATCAGGCCGAGCTTGTGAGGGCTAAGGAGGTGGCACGAGAAGCCGCGGCAGAGGTGTGGCAATGCATGAAAAATAGCATACGCCATCAAAAAATGATAGGAGAGACCCAATCACCAGAAGAGGTCGACGTCAAGATGGAAATATAAGCGCCGGGATGTACATAGGAATTGTGGGTATCCTCTGGTTATTCACTTTGTTGCTGTTTAAGAAGTCAGTTCTTCTCTGTCAGACTTCATATCATGTTGACTTGAAATGCGTCGAAGTTCCCCTGTGCTTTACACTGCACACTTACTCTTGTAATTGTGACATCTTTGGCCCCGCGGCCTTTGTTGCAGAGGGTGGGCATTAAGGCCGTTTCTGTAAAACTTTTTCTCTGTGACTGCCGTATTCCCGCTGCTTTGATTGATCGTCGAGTGTAGCCTGCCAGGTATGCCAAGCGTTTCACGGAGTTCAGTGTATGTTTACTCAGATGGACCGTCAATGATGGTAGACATACTCTACAGTGGTGCTTCGACCATTCTGTCGAGCACTGGATTCACTCCTCTGGCCTCCTCGATGAATTGCTAGGAGTATTCGAATAACACGGAAATTCGCTAATCAATTTGTGTCATGTGAAGCGATGTCCCGTACGACTTTTGCCACACTATTTACAATGAGTCCCACCGTGTCAAGAAACTTGCGCGTATCGGGCTTACCCTGAACTCTGTGGTTGGTATGTATTAAGCGTTTAGATAAGTTGGTGGAATGCGGCCTTTCCTTAGTTCCCTATCTTGCCCAGGTCTGTATTTGGGATTGACATGCCACAGATATTTTTGTAACTGATATCACATTCAAGGACGCAGTCCTACTAGTATGTACGAAGTTACAAATATCTTCAACTTTATTCCAGAGTTTCGTTTCCGAAGTGAGGATAGGCGCAACTTGCAAGGTTAGAGAGATACATACTTGCTTGGATCATCATGACATAAATGGTGGGGTGCATGGATGACAGTTGATCTGAGGATTTATGATTTATGAACACTGCATCGATGCCCAAATCCCGCATGTGTTCTATCATGATGATATGCCGGTATTCATTCATGTTCCATCGCCACAAAACGTCACCCAATGGTGCGTGGTATACGAGAATATCCCTGAACTATCCCAAAAGCATCCATCAGTCTGAAGTGTCTCCCAAGTCTCAAACATAGATGCAAGTAAATCCCGAAGTCGGATATAGGTCACGTAATTTGTTATCAGATACCTCAACATGCATACCCATCGTGCCCTTGACGCTCGTGAATCTGTGCAGGGATGTCTTGGAAAAACATGCTGATGCGACACTGAGGGTCAGCGTCTCTTGGGCAGTGTCGACAGCAATATCACCATTGCAGTATAGAACGGACATGAAGTGAATATGGAATGAATAACACGCAGACTCCAGGAGCCCAAGCTCCTCATCTCCGGTTCGTGTAGCGCGGGACAAGGTTCATAAGGTCGTAACAAGCATGCATGCTCAGAACTCTAGTTCATTAAGGAGATGGTGGAGGTTTTTCATAGTGGGGCGTTGTTGGGGAGCCAACCAGCATTGCTGGATAACATTCCATTGCGGATCATTAACGCAGGAAGTCTCTGGATGTATTGGTTTGACGCCTGTGGATATCGCAAAGAAGACCTGTGTATCACGCTGGAAGTAATGATAAGGGATTTTGCCAGAAAGAACCTAGGGCGATGCTGAGAATACATTCACTGAGACGCAAATATACGCACTTGAAGCATGATACATCCAAAGGAATATACGTCACCTTGAGTACTAGGAAAGCCCACATAATTGCTTGATTCGTCGGGAACTTGGAAAAGCTCTGGTCCGATCCATCTCACTGCCTCTCCAATGGAAGAAGAGAAATAAGACTCGCTAGAAAACTCCAATAGTAGAGCTGCCATCCCGAAGTCAGCCACGCATGCTCGTCCGAGATCGTTAATAAAAACATTCGACTAAAACGAGAAATTAGTGTCGCCCAATAGAATTCAGTGATCCATACCCCAGACAGACTTCCGTGGATAACACCATGATCATGCACTGTCACAAGGTTAAATGGGCGCAAGCAATAGAGGAAAAGTCAATGCGTACGATAAAGTACTGCGGAAATGACATCCAAGAGCTATATAATCCCGTGAAATGGGTCAGCAGTTATGACAAGTGTGATGGCCGCTTACCATTGCCTTTCGGGTTGAGGCAGTGATTTGATGGTGGTTTTGCTCCAAGTAACGTGTCAGAGTGCCATTCGACATCCACGGGCATACCAAGGCTGGTAATGGACCAAATCCAAGTGCCATCCCGAAAATTGGAATAACATTATCGTGATCCAACCCCAGCCATCCTTCAATTGCTCTACTCAGTCTCTGTACTTCACATTGAGTACACCAGCAGGACATCCAGCCCTGAAAGACTCGCCTTGCTCTTCCTTTCCCTGTCTAAATCGCTTCCGTGTATCCTAACAGATTTAACTGCTACCTGTGGTTTGCCTTTTAATATACTCTATAAACGCCAATGAGATATAAATACCTCTGTGGCCCCGGAAACCTTCCTCCAGACGCACTTCCACACATCACAATACCCTCCATATGCTGTAGGGTAGGATTCCGTTCGTTCTACCTGTCCCGTAAGATCACCACTGAACAAAACAGTGTTACATTAGTGTTGAAATGAGCAAAAATGAATGATGCCTTTTCGTCTGACGGTCGGCGGAGTGCACCTAATTCAAATGCAATGCGCGTCAGCATACTGTGAAAAAGGCTACATGCGCCGGTCGAGGTAGGAAAAACAGACAAACAAACAAACTTGCCTGATCTTGCCACCAGCCCGAAAGAGGTAGCCGTCGTAGGAATCTCCCGATGATGGCTTCAACCCATGACCCAACTAAAAAACGGCTGTCGCTTTCAGACATAGATTTCAGGAAGGGCGATTCTCAGCAATTCGGGAAGCAAGGTTAGAGATAAATGCAAATGTACGTTACACGAACTATATAGTTGTCAAGGCGCCTAGTGTGAACGGTTCAATCTTCAATCTCACATAATTCACTGTGACTGTAAGGCAAGCGGCGGAGTATCTCTGAATTCTCCTGGGGCGGCGCAAGCTTCGTATTGCTTTTATCCGCATACGCGTCATGATATGTTGCGATATTTGTCGTCGAGAATGATTCTCAGGCTGGAGCATTTCAAAAGTTGAGGCAGTTTATGTAAGTTGTCAGGAAAGCCGCGGCTCGCTAGTAGTGCTATTCCCATGCCTATTATCACCGCGATTGCCGGCGAAACTAAACTAGCACTGATATGAGTCGAATGCAGTAAAGGATACTAGTACTCAGTATGTACTAGGCAACTACTTGCAGCTTCCCAAACTTCCGTGCGTCGTCTAGCTCCCTTTCGATGAATTCGGCTATATCCTTGATTGTTACAAATCGTTCTTGCTTCTTACGCCAGCAGCGTCTCATGAATTCCCAATGGCGGTCATCAATGGGAGGTTCTGGAGGTCGTGGAGGTTCTTCGCCCTTGAACTTCTCACTAATGACCATGAAATCGGTCCAAATTTCGTAGGGCACGCGGCCAGAAAGTACCTATTGTAGAATCAATATCATATTAGCGATTTGGTACCACAACTTGACTGGCTGACTTGCCTGCATCATCACGCAGCCAACAGAGTAAATATCGCTCTTTTCACACGCACGGCACGGAGATCCATCTTGAAGAGGGATCAATAACTCTGGCGCAGCCCATCGTACATTCCCTGGCTTGCAGGACGTGAGGTATGAATTTCCTGTGAGCTCCACGCCCAAGATGGACAGGCCAAAATCTGCTAAAAGCGGCTCTCCTTGTCTGTCAATAAGTATGTTCGACTGTAGATGAAAATGTCAAATGAATATCAAGATTATAGTTCATGAACATACTCCTGTGATGTCGCCATGTACGACCCCCTTCGAATGAACTAGAAGTCCATGAATCAAAAGATGCCACATGCTTGTTTGAGAATACTTACGATATGAGACTGCTGATACCAATCCTTGGAGCTTGAAACAAAAAATACGTAAGTCGGCCTTGTTTGGTGAATCAGAGGATCGAACAGGTACTTACAATGTGGAATCTCAACCCCAAAGTGAGATTCTTGTGCAATTCCAGGTAAGAATTCAGCGAACCGTTCTCGACCCATGGACAAACCAGGGCTGGAAGAGGACCAAACCCCCATGTAAGTCCAATCAGCGGTAGGATGTGTGCATCTTCCAGGGTAGCCCATATTGTTGCCTCCTTGCACAGTCGCTAGAATGAAATGAGATCGCAGAATCACAGAGGACGCAGACAGCTTACCCTACTCTTCTTCTCTCTATCTTTAACATCAGCTTGAACTCTGATCGTTTTCACGGCAACCTAGAGAACAGTCAATAAGTGTGGGGCTGATGGGCACAACTCAGACAAACCCTCATATTCTTCCCAACCCAGACGCATTTGAATACATCGCTGAATCCGCCAATATTGTCAGGAAAGGCACCCTTGTCCTTAATCTGTCTACTGAGATCAGGAAGGCCATCTATTGGGTGAAGGTATCTGATTCGCCGTGATTTAGAGTGAAATGTGAAAATCACTAAGCCACTAACACTGGTTTATCAACTTCATGGCTCGTGACTGGCTGTAACGCCGCTAGGTGATGTAAGAGGTCCGTCCAAGATTGATCCTGCAGTGAAGGGTTCGACAGGCTGCTCCTAATAGAGGAAGTAGAATTACACACGAGGACATCTGAACCGGGCCTGGAAGGCAGCATACGGACAACTGAATCCCAAAATACAGACCACCCGCGAGTTGGGCTAACCGGTGACTCAGCCTTCGGTTCTGACATTAGGAAGTAGCAACAGGGCAGGAAGAGAATAAGTGCAGTACAACACAAGTCGTATACCATCTTTTATGCGAGAAGACTGGCCCTAGATCCGGTAGATCACTATGGCCAGCACGTTGGCCTGTAAATTCCAGCTTGAGATACCGGTGCCGGAGAAACTCAAAGAATAAGATTCAGATGCAAGGCGCGCTCGCTGTAATTACCATCTCGAACGGAATATCATGCCATTGTTGACGCTCTGGCAATGAGGTGATCGGCATTGAAATGATCTGGGTAAGACGAACGACAGCGCCTGTGAGCAGGGTCTTAGATAGTGGATGATCGCCATCAGAACGATCCATGACAGATATGCAAGGTGTTGTGACTGGCTTCTTCATGACAGATTTAGGTGCTCTGACGACATTCAGAAGCCGTTCAGAGAGAGCGTGGCCTCTTTGCATCAGATATATAATAACCTGATACAGGTAGTTGACGTGAGTAGCCTACTTATAAGTTAAATTATACCGAATGAAAAGTATAATATGCGGTGCTTACTGTAGAGGAAATTCCGAGAATACAGGACTCGGTTCAATTAAATGGTCGTGTTGTACGAGGATAAGAAGTCCAGTCCACATGATCGTCTATGAGGTCACGAGGTGGCAAACTAGACTTAAAACCAGCCCGTCGATGACGCCGCAAACTGTCGATAGACGGAGTAGACGGACGTGCACTGCAGTTAATCTGGGTTTGAATTTGCGCTTTGAAGTCGTTACACGGACTTAGACGTTGCTTAGATAAGTCTTTCATTCCAAATCGTTGGGAGACAAATCTTTTTCACTGTGTCAGCGGTCGCAACTTCCAAAGCTCTCTTCAACTCGGAAGGACTCCAGAATGTCTCAAGGATGTGTCATGGAGACCTCCCAATACCACTGTACCTGGCCAAAACTAATCTTAATCGCTCCGTGAACTCCGACTTTGTCAACAAGTCACCACGGGATCTCCTGCATCAATTCCTACACTGAGTACTAGATGGACCTGCGTGTTCTGGAGACGTTTAAGAGAAGTTCGAATGTGGTTCCTACGAGATTGTTTCTCGCACAGCAAGCTTCAGCCTTCCAATGCTTCGTGGTCAAAGGGATTATGGCAGGCAGTGTCTCTGACTCGACGCTTAGCTTGACTCTCCAAGGTTTAGAGTCATTTTTGCATCAAGACTTGTTTCGAATCTGACACTTTTGAAGCTTCAACACTACAAGTACATGTGGGGGGGGATTCAGGAAAGGTTCACGCGTGAACGCAGTCCGAGGAGCCTCTTTTTTAACCTAGTCAAGATACAATGTCGTCGTTCCCCTTCTTTCTTCTCTACTCCCTTTTCCTGCAGAACTTCCATGATATTATCCATCGTCGGACGATTGGCTGATATCTTATTCAGGCACGGTGAGAACCGTTGATATGCTTCATGACTCTCTATGCCCTTGAAAGGTTCACGTCCCTTCTGCATTGCACCCATAACCTGTAAAACACTTGGTATCCACGCATAGGGCTGATTTCCTGAAAAGATCTTGGACTTTTGTAAGAAGGCTGTCTTCGTATACTAACAAGTCGACACACCTGAAAGACTACGCAGCCATACGAATAGACATCCCAAGCTTTAGTTGGCTTCTCGTCTTTAGCTTCGTCATTGTGTTCATCTCCGGCTCGGAGGGCCTCGGGGGGCATCCAACGTACGTTTCCTGCATGACAAGAGTTGAATGTGGCGTTTCCTTCCTCGGCAAGGATCATCGATAAACCAAAATCTGCGAGACGGAGGCAACCACAGCTGTCAACCAAAACGTTGGTCTGTCGTTAAGTTCAGTTATATACTAGATGCGGATTTGGATGGGAGCTACCGCTGTCAAGTCACCATGCACGATACCCTCGCTGTGCACTAGTGGATAGTCTTTGGTAAATGGTGCGATCGCGACATTTTTTAACAACGGAACGTACGGTAACTAATGCCAGCAGTTACCTGCCATACCTGAAATCATAGCTGAGTATGAGCTAGTGCAGTAGCCATTTGGCACGTACGAGCTCTTGTTTTCGAGGGTCAGACAGCCCGGAAAATTCGCGCTTCAAGTAATCGTTCAGCGATCCTTCTTTCATCCAAGGAGATACTAGTGCAGGAAGTGGACCGAATTCTTCAATCACGCCGTCAAGAGGGAGAATATGGTCGTGTTTCAACTTTATCCAAACATAGGCCTCGCGACGAACTCTCTGGTGAGTAGATGCATCAGCGAGTAGAACTGCATATCAATCCACGCCCAGACCTTGCCTATCGCTTGTAATGACGTCGCATCTGTTGCTGAGGGAACCCTGACAGATTTGACAGCAACCTTGATTATGATAAATGATGAGTTTTCTACCCAATGTACCCATGTCTAAACTCACGAGGCGTGGGGTACCAGATTGCGTAGTCATTGAACATTTCCAGATGTCAGCCAGCCCTCCTCTACAGGTAGGGAATTTGTCATCTCTTGTGATGTTTGTCGCAGGAATATGTATTGGTTCAATTTTGAATTGAACTGACACCTGCCAATGATATTAGTGAATGACTCATCGTGAAAGTAACATTGACTTACTGGGGGGAGATCATCCATTGCGAAGTAAAACCAGATCTCAGAGTCTATATGACAGGTACTAGACAACTGAAATGTAGGAGACGAAGGAGGTGTCCTTATATAAGTACTTACCAACTGTTGAAGAGACGAATCGACGATGCCGTCAACCTAAAAATACCCCGACCAACCATGTGGTCTTACGATCTGTTAGAGTCTGGGCCTGAAATCTAGCATCTTGATAGCAAGTGTGACGGAAAACCCTGACGGCAGAAGACTAGATATCTTACGATGCGCATGTTTGAATATATCAAGCCCAGCCCAACAAAGTTCCGCACTGCGGCAGCGTGTTGTGTGAGTGACGTCAACAAGTTCATACAAGTGTGACTGGCTTCTTCAAGACAGATTTGGTCTGATGGCATTCAGCAGCCATTCAGAGAGAGCGTGGCCTCGTTGCATCAGATAATAGCCTGGCATGTGAGTAGCCCACTAATAAGTCATACCGAATGAAGAGTTGTGGCCATTATTATTATACGGTACTTACTGTAAAGGAACTTCCGAGAATACAGGACTTGGTTCAAATGGTTTTTGTTGCACGAGAATAAGAAGTCCAATCCGTACAGACAGGCATGATAGTAAGCCAGCCTCAAGTAATTAGTCCGGAGATGGTGTATCATGCTGTAAGTGGTAGAGCTGGTCTTTAATATATTCAGCTACCTGCTGAGAAGATGGTCTACAGTCCTTGATGGACCAGCAATCCAGAATAAAATTCCAATAGTGATCAATGATCGCAGGAAACTCAGGACGCAACGGTTTTGTTCCGAGAGAAATTGCGACCACGACTTGTGCGTCTCGCTTGAACTCGGAGTAGGGTGGTTTGCCCGTCAATACCTGATGCAAGGGTGAGACTCAGTGTTCAAGGAACATGATATTGGTCAAACCTGGAAAAAAATACAGCCAAACGAATATATGTCGCTATTTGATGTCGGGATCATGATTTCACCTTCTTCGGGAATTGCGAGAAGTTCGGGTGCTATCCAACGCACAGTGCCATTCAAGGCAGACGTGAAATACGACGTGCCCACGAAGTCCACAACTAGAACGGAGAGACCAAAGTCGGATAGACATGCCCTCCCATTGGATGAGATAAGGACATTGGACTGCAGATGATTATCATCAGTAATAAATTCAGCAAACAATCTCCTCACCCCAGTAAGATCGCCGTGAACAACAGAGCACGAGTGAACTGAAACAAAAGAAGCATTACAATCTATGCTGCAAAGTTGAGCAAGTCACTTGCGGTATTGAAGACCAGCAGAAACATCACTGAGCTGCGAAGGCATGAGTATGCTTTCGGATAGATCATACAGGACATACCAGTTGAAAACGATTGATTATGGACAAGGTTTCACCATGGGATTCCAGATAACTTGAAAGCGATCCGTTATCATACCAAGGGCAAACCAGGGCAATGAATCGGCCAAAGCCGGATACAGTGCCGTACAGTGGGACAATGTTATCGTGCCTAAGTCTCGACCAAACTTTGAGCTCACGGCGAAACCTCTAGAAGAACCAATAAGTAATATTGAATTGTACGAAGCACGCTAACACACCCTGCTTTTTTTCTTCGCATCCTCTTCATCTAGTGCTTGACCCCTGACTGACTTTACAGCTACCTGTGTCTTTGTCAGATTTGAAAATGAAAATTGGGACGCACTTACTACGATAGTGCGACCATTCCTGTTCCATGTGCATCGCCAGATGTCACTCAGACCTCCGAAAGAAGTGGCATAAGGACTTGTACGATTTAGTTGGCCAGTTAAATCCGGCAGGCTATCCATTCTGAATCAAGTCAGCCTCAATGCCGTGGTTTTTGGCTAAGATCTCACTGGTTTGTTGGATCATTTACATTAGAGATGGGAATTGCCTGTGGAGAACTGATGGAAGATACTCCAAGTGACGTGACCCGAAATTGGAGTGTCTGAAGCATTTTGAAGAAAAATTGGAGCTTGTGTGTTCGTTCCACTGGCTTGTGGTGTAAATTTACTGTACCAGACGAGGATCTAGTGCGTAAAACACCACCAGCTGAGTTTTGGCCTCCAGGTGAGGCCAAAGTTCCAGCAGTCTGCTGTAGTATAAATCAATTCTTCTAGAAATCGGCAGAGGAATTGTAATGGAAGGATACTATAAATCACTCACAGACTTGTGCTCTAGAAGCTCATGTTTTTGACGATAATCACGAGATGGTCCATCAACAGCATCGTTCGGAACATCATTATGGTCCGTGTTCGGGTCTTTACCACCTGTGGTTGGAACTGAGCCAGCGAGCCTTCCTGAGAATCGAAAGCATATAATGGACCAACACCACGAAATAAAGGTGGTAAAGGATGAAGAGGCCATACTGCAGTGCTATGCATGGAGCAATGCATAGAAACACACGGTAACCTGGTTGGTGTACATAAATGGTTTTCTTTCATGAATGCAGACGAGCGCTAGGTGACTTACCACGCTGCAATCGAGCCGTATTAAATGCAGATGCATTCCAACGCATGCATCACAAGTAATTGACAGAGTTTTCTTGATACGATAAGCGGTGGCCTTTGATTGGCGGTCAAAAGCATGTTTGGCCATAGGCCAAGGGTCCAAAAACGTGCAAGCAACGAACCCCTTGCATCTAGAGTTTTCCACCACAGCTCCCTAACTGCGATACGAACATGCAACTTCTCTCGCCTCTCCTATACAGACTGTCATCACAGAAGACATCCGTTCCTTCTATACATATTGTGACTTCTCAAGGTCAACCGAACTACGTGGGCATTAATGACATGGGAATGATTAAGATGAATATCAACGGACCTGTTCACATAAATTTCCAAAACAATTTCCATGTGACGCCGAGAGGGTACCGCAGTATATACATAGCCTCGCACATATTGAAGCTGTAACTCGTGTCAAGCCTGACTGACTCGGAGTCTGCCGCATGGGCACAGCACGTATAGTTTCCTGTGACGAAGAGATGAAAAAGAGTGATTTCTACATTATGTACCTGCATAGTGTGTACATTGCGAATTCAGCGCGTCCAGTGCAACAAGGTCAGTGTGAAATTCCAGAAATGAAGTTGATGGGCGTTGAGCGTTGTTGAGCCCGGTTGCCCTTAGTCTAGGGTTAAGGTTACCAATGCCCTATACGAATCGCTAGATCTTCCCACCTACTCTTTAATGTCGCCCACCACTCCATACGTGCAGTCCGGGGAGCCTCTCAATGATTTCCTTCGTTCGTTTTGGCAGCGGCAAGTGGATGCAGCAGAACAAGAGACACCAGATTACAGGCATCCTCCACTCCCTCTCGCTCGCATTAAGAAAGTCATGAAGAGCGATCCAGACGTGAAGGTACGTTGCTCCGTCGTAAAACAATGCCGAGTTTTCGCTAACTAGGGTTCACAGATGATCGCAGCAGACGCACCTATCTTATTTTGCAAAGCGTGTGAAAGTACGTCCGGTGGTATCCTTTCCGCCACAGAAAGTTAACGTTTACATTCTCTTCACAACCTCGTCACATAAAATTTCACGCTGCTCACACACAAAAAGTCTTTATCTCTGAAATAACTGCTCGCGCGTTTATTATAGCCGACTCAAATAAGCGTCGAACACTGTCTCGTGCCGATATCGCCAAAGCACTCGCGAAGTCAGACCAATTCGACTTCCTTATAGATATTGTTCCTAGAGAGGAGGGACTTACGGGATTGACTCAGAGTGGTACAGGGACCGGTGGCATTGCAGGAGGATCTGGGACGAGTATGACGAACTTAGTCGCGGGTGTACGTGTTACCAATAAAACTTGTCGTACCTCTCAATGAACTTCCATCTAGCCAAGTCAAGCTGCTACTCATCAAGATTCTGAACACCATACAAGTGATGAATCTGGCAATTTGCCGTCGGCAGTGGTACTGGATCAGGTAAGGATTGCGATACACTTTGTGGCGTTAGACCCTATTCTATCTCCTAGGACCCTGTTTTCTCCCACTCCTGAGAAGCCCGCTGTGTGTATGACGTTCTTACAATTGCTTTTCACAGCTGCAGTCTCTATTAGCGCCATCGAACGCAATACATGCACCGTGACCCATTCAAGCATCCACCGATTTATGCTAGTAGTTCATATCGTGGATTTGAGATAGGGTTGCGCAGAGTTGCGCAGGAAGGTCTCCATTTTAGCAGGTCTGCCATCAGTGACAGCACATTCGGTAGGATGTTCGGCATTTGCTGTCATACCTACACCGATTAGATTTGGTACACCGTGCTCTGCCCCTAGTGAGGGACTCCCTCAGAACCTAGTCAGCAATGGAAGCTAAGGTCAAATATTCCATGCTTCCGAGTCATGCTATACACGGTGTTGTTTGTTCACATGCAAGCGTGAGAAAATGCTTATAGCTGCGTCTTAACACTTCGTCTTTTCATCCTAGGAAATCAGTACATAATTTCATGGACATTCTCTGAGATCTCGGTCAGTGGTTCAAGTAATATCGTATTCTAGATGACGGTAGTACTTTCAATACACCCACAGATATCTCAATATGGCCTGCTTAGGACTATTGGCCGAAGCCTGATTACAACTTGTAACTACGGGATCATAGTTACATAGGATATTGACGATATGGACTAGCGACATACAGAACCCACTGGTAGCCATGAGCCAAGAGACGCACAAATCTGCCGGGCAGCACGACATCCGCATACGCACTATGATATGGTGATGCATTTCAAGTTTCAACCTTGGGTCCAATCGGTATCATGTCTTGAATGAAGGTGACCGTTGAACATACTATGTAAAAATATCGCTATGAGCCGACTGAGACCCGAACTTGGAGCTCTTTCAGAACCACAGGAGCGGCATAAATACAAGGTAAGTTACATAACTAGCCGATAGTTCTGCACGCAGCTTTGATTTTTGGTGCTGTACGCCATCATCCGAACTATCGGTCATTTGTTCATGATATAGTGAACTTAAATTCGATGGCTTAGCGAGATTCAACGAATCGACGCGAGTGACATTTGACCGATACCCATTTTCTTGGCTTACTCGTCAAAGTACTCGTGTATAACATGGAGTCTTAGGCGACTACGTACGTCTTTCTCAACTAGCTCAGTACTTGATCAAAGAAAGTGTGCGGCTATTGACTAAGTAGTCATGATTCTCCGAGTAAAGGCGATATCACACTGCCTGAATTGAAGAATCACATTACTAGTGCTATGATTTAGAAGTGCTCCAGGTATGTGTATTGTTTCCTGTATTATCAGAACTTACCTCTTCGATTATCAAGACTCCTGACGAACTAGAGTTTCATTCCAGGATAGGCTGTACTTAGACTAGTAACACTGATCGAGGCACTGAAATTTTATATATTCTACGTTACTGCGCGAACTCACCGGAAGTAGCGCTCGGCACACCTTGTATCGCATCTGAACAGGATATCCTCGGTTTGTTGCGACTATGGCTGAGAGCATGAAAGTCCAGAGTCTCTGGGACATTATGCATTCTGACGCTGTATGGGACACAGCTAAGACTTCACCCTGAGAAGACTTTATGGGAATATGAATCTACACAAGATAGCGGTCCTAATTTTACGTGGATTTAAACGGCATTATTCATGGGATCGCATAGCAAACTCTGACGCGTACCAGCGCCCAATTGCAGTGTGAAGTCTACTCTCTTGATATAAAGGCGGGCCCATCTCGCAAAGCCTATAGTAATTATTCTTGTTCTAGTGGTTACCTACCCCGACGGCCCCGGACCTACTACGTAGCTCCGACTTCATTACGTTGTCAGGGCGACATGTTTTTTCTTTCCACCACGTGGGTCCTTAATGTGCTGCCTAAGAAATGGCGGAAGGTCCAACCGGAAACAGAAACGTCGAGCTCGACGCACTTGGTTGTAGACGTCAATGATAATGAGTGAGTAGACGTAGTCTTCTGCAGATTTTCACCTTGAATGAAGCTGACTCATATTCAACCAATCTACTAGACGCCCGATCGACCTTACAAAAAAACTTGTCAAGCAATTGGCGTATGCTACTGCCCAGGGTAGTTTCGGTGATGTATGGAGATGCGTATTCTCGGAAAAGGATTATAGCGTGGAGGTTGGTATAAGTTTCGTGGCAAATTTTGATATCTGATGACTTTCAAGGTAGCGGTTAAATGTGTAAGGATCGAAATCCAGGATGACCATTTCAAAGATATCGTCAACAAGGTGGGCCAATATGATATCGAACACCTGCATAGTGTAAAATATTTGCAGAGGTTGATGGACGACTTCCGCAAGTGGAAACCACTGCGCCATGATAACATTCTTCCTCTGTGCGGGATTACCTACGGGTTCGGTCCAGTACCAGCCATCGTATCTCCATGGATGCCCAACGGATCCTTGAGCACGTATCTTGATAGAAACTATGACATACTCTCTGGAGCCGACAAATTCGGTTTGGTAAGTCTTCTCCCATGATATAGCTGCATCACGACTCACGAGCGTCGCAACAGCTTGCTGATGTAGCTGCTGGTCTTCAATATCGTATGTCATGTCATTTTCGCATTTCATTAAGATAAGCTGATAGGATATGGCCTATAGTCCACTCAAATGAAGTGGCCCATGCAGATCTCACAGGTGTAAGCAACTGTGTTGTATGCATATATGTGACACCTCACATCTTTGTTTCCTGTTAGAGCAATGTACTCATCGATAGTGACGGAAAAGCTCTTGTAGCAGACTATGGGCTTTTAACTACCTGCTCCGACCTGAACGGGACCTCTTACATCAGGAGTAACGTACGATGGGCTGCACCCGAGCTTTTCGAAGTTCCGGACACCGAGGATGTATCTAGCTCACCAAAACTAGAAAGCGATATCTATTCATTCGGATGCATCGCATACCAGGTCTGTCGATGACGTGTATTTGCAACGCTCTTGTTCTCAATTCTGTTAGGTTTTATCTGGCCGGCAGCCGTACAGTAATATTCGCAGTGATCACCAGGTGGTTGTGGCCATCCTCAAGGGTGTCAAGCCCAAGCGTCCAGACATCCCTGTCATTGAAGACTGTCACTGGAACTTCATCGAGCAATGTTGGGTTGAGTTATCACAGCGACCTCCCATTGCTGATGTCCTAGATTTAATGTATCGCTATAGAGATGCTATGTGTTGACTCATGTTTTCGTATCAGACAAGTACTATGGCCATCGACTTCTTGGGATTCCTTGCACATTTAATGAAGGCTTCTTCGATTTAGAAGAACCAACTTGGGGGATCCATAATTTGACCGCCAAAATCCGAGGCTTGCAATATTGCCAATCCATATCTAGGTCGTGTGTTTACAATTGTGGCAGTATGGGCGTTCAATTTGTCTCCTGCAAGTGACATACGGATCATACAGGTTACTTGTGTTCGAGCAACGTGTTATGTCTCACAAAGCACCGCAAAAGTCGCCCGCAATATGGTCATGCATGGTGTAATAATCACGGGCCGTTTTGTAGCAAACAAGTCAAATTACACGGTCATAACGTGCATTTCAACGGAAATTGAAACGTTGTATTCGAGCTACAACGTCACAATTAGGTTTGAAGTTGATTCATGTCCTAAGTGCGACCGTGACTAGGCGGAACGCGCGGAGAAGGTGATACAAGTGGCAGAGAACCGACTATTATTGTGGGTAGTGCTGCTGTAAAGGCCGCGCGATCTTGTTCTAGTGCATGATTCGCTGGCCTATTGGGTAAAATCGGCCGGTAATTGACCCTACATCACAGAAAAAATGGAAGAAAACGGAGGATAGCTCTAGCGTGCGTGGTTTAACGTGAATTTGAATTCTCTGATAGACCAAATTGTAACTCATTTGGAACAGATGAATTGCAAAAAGAGGTACTATTGTATTGTCTCTGTGTCTCGTTATATGGCAGTACTAGTGCCATCTCGTTAAAAAGGCCACAATGCATATGCATGAGACTACTAGTAACCGAAATGATCCTACCTTCCTTCTCCCACTGCAGGTCTTGGCTAGAGAATATTGCGAGAAATTTATTGTGGTGGAGAAACCGGCCGTCTGCCATGATAGCTGCCACCGGCACCAGTGATATAGACCCTGACGACCAGCAAGTCCATAATCATAGTACCTTATGACAGTGCACTTCCTCATGTAACTTTTGATGCAGCCTACCCGACCTTACGGGATTGGTATCCAAACAGTCGCCTCATCCGATAGCGCACGGTAGTTTCGGGGACGTGTGGAAATGCACCTACAACGCACCAAACCGTCAAGGCCAGGAGGCAAGCATACTTCACGTATGGCTGTCCAGCAATCTGAATCCATGACAGGTAGCAGTCAAATCCATAAGGATCGATATCGCAGGTGACGATTCCAGAACCAGATTTACTCAAGTACGTTATCGGCTTCCCCTTTGTATGTGATACGCTTGCCCGAACCTTATGGTTTCAGAGACTCTTGGGCGATTTCCATGCACGGAAGCAACTGCATCACGAAAATCTTTTGCCTCTGCTCGGTTTCAGTCATGAATTTGGGCCACTTCCAGCGATGGTTACCCCCTGGAAACACAACGGCTCGCTCACAACATATCTTGAACACCATTTCATAGAATTGACCATTGAACAAAAGCTTCGGATTGTGAGTTGTCTCTCAGAAGTGCTCATACATCATGGTATTCATTGGAACTTTAGTTGCGGCAAGTCGCTGCAGCCATCAGCTACCGTGCGTGGAATCTTTAATAGTTTGTGAAAATAATAGTTGACAGTATTGCAGTCCACTCGAAGGGCGTGGTACATGGTGACCTTACTGCCGTACGTACTGGTTGTCTGATGGGCCCGCTGTCTAGCTCTGATCTGGAACACCAGAACAACATTCTGATAGACTCGGACCGCAATGCCTACGTAGCAGACCACGGAATTCTCACAATGTGTTCTGAGCTCTCAGGGACTTCATACATCAGAAGCAACGTGCGGTGGGCTGCGCCAGAGCTCTTCGAGGTACCCGAGAACGAAGAGTCATTAGCTCCACAGCCAGCTAGCGATATTTATTCCTTCGGATGCATCATACTTCAGGTTCGAGAGAGATTGCTTTCCCTTGTAATTGTGGTCGTTCGTTACTGAGATGACGCCGTAGGTCATGACAGGTCGACCACCCTATGCAGATGTGCGAAGCGATCATCAAGTCATTGTCCTGATACTGAAGGGTAAGAAGCCTACAAGACCAACAAGTCCGCACGATGCAGATTCTTTCTGGGATTTCATCGAGAAATGTTGGGGTGATATAGGACGTCGCCCATCTGCCGTTGATGTTCTGAACTTTCTAGGATCAGATCATGTCACTGCGCTAGTCAAACATACAGAAAGCTGATCGATCATTGATTTTATTTGTTTATATGTATATATTTTATATGACATACTGTAACATAATCATTCCTATTATGTAAGCCCGAATTTTTTGTACCACAGGAAGTCGCTTCTACTTACCGCATATCAGACTTTTCGTTGTCATATCCACTCAGCATTCGCGCTCGACGCTGACCCAGTGAGCAGTTTTTTTATACAAAAAAGTCATATTTATTGTCCTTTGGGGTCGAAGGTCGAAGATCCTATGTCTGACATAGCCGCGGCCCTATTCGCGGAGGATTTACATCTATCGTGAGTGTGTACCATGTACGGTAGTGACTACACACTGGCACACGCTCAGTGCAATATAGATAAGTAAACGCCTACTCCATCAGAACCAGGTGCGTAGAGAGATCGCGCCTCGTTTTTTCCAGTGTCGCGTTGTGGGTGGTCCTGGTTCCTAGGTTCAGTTTGTACGGACGAGCGTTGGTGAGCATGAGTAGGTTTATTTGCTAATGTTGATTTTGTTTGACTAGTTGCCCGAAAGCTGTACCACGAGGAGGAAGACAGGCAAACGTTCCTTCAGGCACCTCTTTCCAACAGTGAATCTTGTGCGTCAGTTCGTTGCGTGGTACTATTGGCAACTAGTGCCCGGAAATGATCCTGAAACTTCCCTTAGAGCGGCAATCCTGAAGGTACGTACAAATTTATTGGTTGACATGCTGCAAACGTTCAATCGAGGTCTGTGTGCGAGGCTTCGGGGGTTTTTCTGGCTGTGCAGGTGACCCGTGCCAGTCATAGTTGAAAATCGGTGTCTATACGATAGTCACGAGATGCGCGGTCTCGTCGTGCAAACCCTAAAGCTCTAGCTGCAAATATTGATGATTTGAACGTAGGAAAGTATTCATAATTGATCGAGGCGGAGGGCTGACCTGCTCACAGGTTCGGTGGCAGACACCTGAGAATCAATGCTGGATGATCGAATTAAAGAAGATTCTGAACTACGAAACCTTTCCTTCCTCTGTCATGACATCAAGACAATTCTACAGGTTGTGATATGGTTGTGAACTTTGCCTAAGCTAGGCCACCTTGCATCCGCATCTGTTCCGTGTCTTGCGGAATGAATCACATTGCATGAAATCCTCACGATCAAAGAGCGATTTCAATGTGGCCCAATTGCCAATTTCGTTGGTGAGCGCTTGAACGATGGCACATGCGGTTGCGGCGTGTTTTCATCTTACAACTTATCATAATTGGGCAAATTTCTTTCAGATCCTGTGCGAGCGCTAAAGACGTCCTGCACGCCTTATTACTATATCAATAAATGGATCGAAAATTATCGCAGTCAGTCATCAGTTGCGTTTCTCAGTGAAGACTGACTCGGAGAAGACTGATGCATACAAGCCATCAATTCCTTCGATTTGGCTAAAACCTTCAAGAATCTAAATCGACTTTCAATGAATGACTGATTCGTGTTAAGAACGTTTTATAGCTGGCGCAGTTGGACTACCATGACGTCTTTCTCAAAGTTCTATTATGAGCGCTTTACCCTTTTGCTAACAAAGCCGCTGAGAGTAATATTGCCTCGCGCAATTACTTCTCTTTTCAGTGCTGCCAGTGCCCTCCACATCCCTGACGCCTACTGACATGGGCGTCTGTAGTGAAACGGCGGCGTTCATTGTCGATCTAATTCATCCACAGCATTGCTTCGACCAATACCAGTTGTGGTGTCTTCGGTGTGATCCTACGCAGTCTCTTTCTACCGTGACTATCGGTGGGATCACTTTGCGATATGGTCGCACTAGTGATTTCTGCATATAAGACTGTAGTCCATCGGTGCTAGGGAACAGTACTATCTCCCGCTGTGATTTCCTACTGACATGTTCGACCGCTTACAACATTTCCTTCATGGTCTTGTATGTTTGTTCACATTGTCTGTGGAGCCATCCATTCATCTCACTCTAACAGGTTGGCCGTGTTGCATCAAGTGATAAAGCATCTTCTATCCAGCCTTTCGTTGACGGTATTCACACAAGCCAGACCCCGATTGTCGACACTCCGAGTCCCAGTAGAACTTCCGATGATCATGTTTCCAACGGGCGCCTCTCTACTTCTGATATAGAGGACTCGTACGTCATTTCTTTTTCCCTCAGCGAGACTTTTGTAAACATGAAGCAGTAGTAGTATTCTCTGTATCAAACCAAGTGATATCCACAGGCAAACCAGTTACCCGACCGCTACGGGTGGTCTTGGAGATGTTTACAAATGTACATGGAACCACGGTGTAAATTTGGATGAGGTATTTCATAGACTTGCTTTTTCTGCATGTCCTGATTGTGACTTCAGGTGGCGGTTAAATACCCACGATTCCAAAGTTTGAGTGATCCTGAGATTGCCAAAGTCAACAAGGTATAGTGGGACTCAGTCTGTTGACCGCACATCTGAACTTTTGAAACGCAGAACCTTGACCGCGAGATCCGTATTTGGGCCGCGATGAAGCATCAATATGTATTGCCCTTGCATGGCACTGTAGTCGAGGAATTCGGCCCATTTCGCGCGTTGGTTTCCCCCTGGATGCCGAATGGGACTTTGAACTCTTACCTTGATCGTGCACATAAGACCCTCTCGATGACGGATAGACTTCAGCTGGTGAGTTTCATTCTCGAAGCCGAATACGAGAACTTACTATGTTTTCAAATAGCTCAAACAAATTACCGAGGGGCTCAAGTATCGTGAGTGATGGATTGACTATGAATGTGACAAATATAACTTTGTTTTCTGCAGTTCACGACCACGACGTGATACACGGTGACCTTACCGACGTAAGTCTACACGACCCGTGCAACCGAAATGATCTTATGATAATTGTAGGGTAATGTTCTGGTTGCTGCCGATGGATCCCCTCGTCTTGCAGATTTCGGTATCTCCAATATCATGGTACGATCCAACCCTGCCTTTTCCTACCATACCGGTTCAGTACGCTGGGTCGCCCCAGAGCTCCTTGACCCCCCAGAAGATCAACCCATACAATGCGCAACGAAATCTTCCGATATATACGCTCTCGGCTCTATCATGCTTCAGGTTCGTAGTCTCGCATTGGCTGGCTAGTTGCACTAACGTTTCCTGCGTGCAGGTCCTATATGGGAAACAGCCTTATTGGTGGTTGAAGTCTGCCATACATGTCATTTCTGTCAAGTTCAAACGCACAGAGCCCATCGACTCCTCCATCGGGATCCGGCCTGATCACCTGAATTTCATGCGGCGGTGCTGGTCGACGGAGAGCAAGCTTCGTCCGTCAGTAGAAGAGGTAATAAACTACCTTCAAGAAGCCATGTCGAATGAGAATTCGTCTTTATAAGATCTCGGTTTGATGCAATACTTTTGTCTTCATATTCATTTCGGGTGTCTTATTATATATCATAATGCTCCATGTCTTCTCGGTGTTGTATGTTACACTAGCTGTATTCGTATTAATGTAGGAGTAATACTTGTGTGCCAGCGAGCTGCATGCAATATCAGTCATCAGTGTATGTAAAGCAAGGCAGTGACAATATGGGAAATACACAATAACTGCTTTTGGGAAAACCTTTGACACGTGCGATAAAATATAGATTCGAGGGTTCTGAACGCCTGAGAACTAACACAGCAACGTGTTATCATAGGCGTTTAGCTGCAGTCGAAGTTTCCATCGAAGAGAACATCATCATGATTCTGAGCGCCGCATCATGAGTATATTATTAAAGTTTGTAATACCATGGGCTAAGAAAATTATAATTTACTACAAATTAATATATAATAATATATTCGTTCATGGAACATCCCCATCAGGTGACTAACATTGTGATAGGTTTCATTCAGCTAATTCGATGATATCAGGGTATAAGTTACGATACTAGCCTCGTTGTTCTGTATGTAACTGATTCAACTGAAACTTTGGCTGCAGCTAAACGCCTACGATAACACGTTGCTGTGCTAGTTCTCGAGCGTTCATCCATGTTTCATCACATCTGTCAAAGTTTGGTATGTGCTCAAAAGCCGCCCTCACTGGTGTAACCTTTTTGGCTCATCAACTCGGACAGGTATGTCATCAGATGATCTAGTATCAATCCCAGTGAAAATCGGATGGACGCCCTCTCACGCAGATTGACAGAAATCGATGGAATTTGAGATTTTTGGCGTCAGACGTCCGTAAATAAACGCTGAAAATTTCAGCGCTCGGTACCGAGTCTCCGACCATGCACGGAACTTTAGTAAGTGCAGGCGCTTTCCGGTATGTAATATTCTTTATCGAACATCGATGACTTGAGTTATACTCGTTTGGGAGATGTGTTTATCATCTATCTGTTATCTTATGCGTCTTTTATGGGGAATGCTCCTGTATTTATACCCCAGTTGCATTTGCCATTCGACGTATCACTTGGACCCACACTCTCATCCAAGACGAATAAAGATGCTACCACCCAACATCATTTTGAAAACTCCGCTCATAGAGATCCCAAGTGGAGAACTCAGGAAAACTAAGGAGATTCCTAATTACGCCGGTGGCTTTGGTGACATCTGGGAATGCATCTGGTCCACCCCTTCTAGTAATTCCCCTGTCATAGTGAGCCCAGCTCCAATCACGCGGCATGCATGCACATTGATTTGTTTGAAATTTCTAGGTCGCAATCAAGGTAGTGAGGGTCACTGACACCAGTCAAACGGTACCGTTGGAAAAGGCCGCATGGGTAAGGTCTCACATTAGAGCATATAAGCATCACTTCTATATTTTTGGTTGACAGAATATGCGACGTGAGGCCCATGTCTGGGCCAACTTAAAAGACGACCATGTCCTCTCGCTTCATGGAATTACGAATGATTTTGGAGTCTTGCCAGCTTTTGTTTCGTCGTGGATGACAAAAGGGTCTCTCGAAAGTTACCTGAAAGAACCAATCTCGCTTTCGACATCCCAGAAGCTGGATATGGTAAGTGCATCAGTGTCTGAAACACCGCCTGAATCTCAAGCAGAACAGTCACATCAGATAGCATCTGGTCTCAAGTATCGTGCGTAATTTCTATTTTTTCATGCATGATGCAGATTGAAATGGCCCATTAGTGCATGAATGTGGCATTGTTCATGGCGATTTGACACCGGTAGGATTCTCATCGTTTACAGAACTATACGCTTGAGAGATGACGATATCATAAATTCAGGCCAACGTACTCATCAATAGCGACGACAAACTTTGCCTCGCAGACTTCGGTCTCTCGATGATCCTCGTAGAATCTGGAAATCCCACATTCAACTCCTGCCACGCGGGTAACGTGCGTTGGATGGCCCCCGAAATGGTTGAGGAGCAGGCAAAGCCAACAATGCCCGCAGACATATATTCTTACGGTTGCATCATGCTTCAGGTAAGTATCTTTCATTCGTCGCGATTGGTGCATGTCTGACACTCCGAAGCTACTTTGTGGTGAACAACCGTATATCTGGAAAATACAGGCGATTCACGTGATGGCGGCCATAGTGAGAGGAGGAAAGCCGTTCAAATTTGACCAGCTCACCGGTATTGATCAAGGCCAGAAGCAGTATTGGCTGGAATGTCTGTCCACCGATTCCGGTGCTCGACCTAAAGTTCAGGAAATCATAGCGTTCATAGAAGCCGAGCGGCAGAAACTTTGATTATAATCCACATACTCCATGCAGCTGCTATCAATACTTTGTTCGTATCGATCCACGACCTCGCAACCCCCTTCGATCACCTTTGTACCCATTACCCTGCTTTAGAGTTTATTTTCGGAGCTCGTCTTCCTAAAAACGCGCGCCTGTCAAGCGTGACCCTCGCATAAGATAGTAGTGGAAGTTAGCCCCATTCACCGGGTATAAAAAGACAGGTTGATAGCGCACCTCATTTTGTTTGCGCAAATGCAATTACAGAGATGACCATCAGTCGTTAGGCCTCTTCGACAGCTAATGTTATCAACCGTGCCTGAACGAATACTCAGTGTTATCATGCAAACGAACGCTTACTGATCGATGGCACAAACTGCGTGGGATGCTGATATCGGCGCAGTACATCTGAACTTATCCGCAGACTTGAACGAGCAGCATCTCGGTAGTACTTCGAGCTAGGTAGACTCACGGGTGCACTGTTGAGTGAGACGACGGCGCACGTTAACTTTGAAAAATACCAGTGAGGTCTTTTAGTAGTGAATTGACACATTGCGTGGCGATAAACAAAAGTGTTGCCCCATGAGTAAACATATATGCTTGAAGTTCTTGCGCCCAATCATTCAAAATTCCGGTGAGAGCGATACATGTGGACTCAGTAAGCGTAGTATCTGAAAGTCGGTGCCGTTTGAACTTTGCACAATTGAGACAAGATCATCGCCCAGAAAAGTTGGCTTATATCAGCTGTGAAATTGTAAATTCTCTCCTGATCGGAATCTGATTTTGATTTTCGTACCTAATGCAGTATCTCAACGAGTGACTCTGAGACATGCCATGATAGCGTCCAGAGAATCTAGAAAGTCCACTATTAATGTCTGTTACCATCCTGGCATTGGTGCCGTGCTGATTGGGCTAGATTCACAAAGTTTGCTCACGGAGTCATCTGGTCCTTGGCCACGACTCACCTAGCACGAGCAGTGACTACACTGGTACCCGTTTACACTCTACCGGGTGTCGCCAATCCACACACCGAAGGCAGACCAGTGACTGGCACACCTGTCATGGAACTCCAAACACTGAGATACCTACCATGCCTGTCAACATATTAAAAATGAACATTTCATCCGTATGGTCCTTAGCAAGACCATCGTTTGTCCTGACCCGATGGCCCATACCTAAATACGTTTTTTCTGGGTCGCAGAAAAAGATGTAGAATACCCTCACCCTCTATGACGTACGGAAGAATGAGCTCGATCAGAATCGCCTGGAGCAGATGTAGTAGACTTGATGGTACGTCCCTTGTCATGAGAATGTTTTCTATCTTCACAATTGCTTGTATCTAGCATCTATTGCCTACTTTTCCCATCCAGCCTCAACTTATTCAGGCGCTACCTTGTCTTGTCCACAGCTTATCTATGTTTCACGATGCTGTCAATGACTCGATACGTCCGCGTTATTTCCTGTCATCTTAGTTTTCTGTCCGTGATCTTCCCCTTCGTCGAGACAATAATACAATGCTGCGATGGCCTCCTGAATGATTTCTCTGTTCTAAATCTACCAGTCTCCCAGAGTTTCATGTACGTGAATTACTCCCGCAGCCAGCATGCTGTCCCGACGAGTATCAATAATGTTGTCAAACCCGTCCGCCTCAGCACTGAAACATACCAAGCCAGTCCTCGAATTCTCATGATTGGAGATAAGAATGAAGAGCGATTTTTCGACGAGCGCAAGCCTGAGTCTAAATAGTACAAAACAGAACGCGATATGATGAGATGCGTGTTAAAACTCTATACAGTCTGCAGCGTTCAGCAGGTGAAGCTGACGTGTCGAGTGTAGTACATAACACGGGGAAGAGCATCGAAAATAAAGAAACATCACAGTCCGCACCGCTCGATAGTTGAAGCTGGCGTGCTTGGTATCGTACACAGCGGGAGCGCATAGTGTGGGTAAACCGCAGAAAGAAGTGGTAAACTTGGCTCGAGAATCATCTACTTATTTGCTGCCAAGTCCTTTGCTATGGGCAGATGTTTAACTTCGAGTTCGCGACGAAGCGAGGGACGTACACATGCGATTTTCGAGTATGAACTCGAAAATATTCTTCTCTAGTTCCTCTCCCCGATAGCCTTGACGAGAAATCTCTTTCGCTCCTTTCTCCACAGCGACTGCCGTCGGAGATTTCAAGTAATAGTCCACGGCAGACTTGATGCTCTCCCGCTCGTTCCCGCCATTGATCGGCAAAAAGGCAGAGTACTCAAGGACGATAATAGTAGCTGCTTCCTATTATGAGTACTACAACTTGTCATGCAGTGGGAAACTAACCAATACCAGTATGAAGGATTCCGTTTGCAGCAGCAAACGATGATCCCTTCGCAACCTGTTGCACAGCCATACAGCGCCGAAGATCAATGCGAAGAAAAACCAACCTACCAAAGGCTGAAGGATACGGACAATGTGAAGTACATTTGTGCCGGCCTGGTCACAGGTTTGGGTATCAGAATCAACCTCACAGAGAGAAGTACTTGCCTTCTGCAGGAAAGGAAAATCAGAACCAGGAGGTAATAAATTGACATTTGGTTAATAAGAGAGACGCACATTCTATTTCATTAACCGTGACAGTTGCCAATAATCAACCACCAGATTGTAGACAATGACAGGTGTGTACGGGGAACTTACAAACTGTCAAGAGTTGGAACCAGATGAGCACCACTACGTAACGGTGGAAATATGCAATCCATAGACGTACAAGCTGAATAAGATTGCTTATCAGTAGAGTAATATAGGATCCAGACGGGACATGATTCACACACATTCTGCGAACACATCATGGATACAAGAGATTATATGGCTAGAATCCTTGAGCGATTGAAACCTACTCACATCCTACGGAGTGAAAAAACAGTCAAAATGATCAATACATTGAATGCTTCGCAGGAGGAAGGTAAAACGACTCACATTCTGTGTGGGGCAAGAGAATATGCAAGATATGTGAGTATAGAACATAAGCCATCAGGGAGGGGCACTCAACGAACTATGCATTATATGAGCAATCATGATTCAACTTGGGTGATAGAATAGAAGATGCTCACATCAGGCTATGAACACGAGTTAAATTAGGCAGTATCATTTCAATACAAAATATGATAAAGACACCTACCACCTGCCAAAAAAACAAATGTAAGATTTCTGCACATGGATTGAAGGCAGAAAATAACCAAGGTGCTTACATCCTGCCAACAGGCGACCAACAGCGATTATCAGCTTGGGTTGAGGATGAGAAAACATCGAGGCACTTACGTGCTGTCAACAGGGGAGCAGCAGCAAGGGATGGGTAACATGAGCATCGGCCTAGGACTAGAACACATCAGGGCACTTACATTCTATCAACAGGCGAGCAGCAGCAAGGGATCGGGATAATGAGCATCGGACGAGGACTCGAAACCATCGAGGCACTTACTCCCTGTCAACAGGCGAGCGGCAGCAAGGGATCGGGATCATGAGCATCGGACGAGGACTCGAAACCATCGAGGCACTTACGAGCTGTCAACAGGCGAGCAGCAGCAAGGGATCGGGATCATGAGCATCGGACGAGGACTCGAAACCATCGAGGCACTTACGAGCTGTCAACAGGCGAGCAGCAGCAAGGGATCGGGATCATGAGCATCGGACGAGGACTCGAAACCATCGAGGCACTTACATACTGTCAACAGGCGAGCAGCAGCAAGGGATCGGGATCATGAGCATCGGACGAGGACTCGAAACCATCGAGGCACTTACTCCCTGTCAACAGGCGAGCGGCAGCAAGGGATCGGGATCATGAGCATCGGACGAGGACTCGAAACCATCGAGGCACTTACATCCTGTCAACGGGCGAGCAGCAGCAAGGGATCGGGATCATGAGCATCGGACTAGGACTCGAAACCATCGAGGCACTTACATACTGTCAACAGGCGAGCAGCAGCAAGGGATCGGGATCATGAGCATCGGACGAGGACTCGAAACCATCGAGGCACTTACGAGCTGTCAACGGGCGAGCAGCAGCAAGCCATCAGTGTTGTTCATGCTATTTGACCTTCTCAAACTGCAATCTTACCAGCTGTTAACGATGGACAACTACAATGGAGAAAAATTTATCATACTGTCGACAGGTTCAGCACTTCAATATTTACCATTCATGAGCGCTATTGCCAGTGCGTGGTCAGATTGAATGAATCTTTGTCTTACCTTCAGATGTGGAAACCACTTAGCAATTCCATACTGATACACTTCATAATCGATTTTCCCGGATTGCCGTACGCCATCAACGAGTGTTCTAGATCATGTTGGAACAAAGATGTGACTTGGAACTCTGCGACTCACCTGACTGCACACTTGATGCAAAGCTCCAGGTTTGACTGTTGTGTCGAAATTAGGCACAACTGTAATTCTTCGTTGTCCAATGCTAGAGTCGTGTGATCCAGTAAAAGGTTGCAGTTGGTATCCGGTTTGTGCATATCTAGGATGGTGACTAATGTCAACTTTGACATGGCATGAGTCAATACCACTTACTGTCCAAGCGTACATGGGACTTAGGACGCGCACGGTTTTCAGGAGCGCACAACCGATCCAAGACACCTGTGTTTGTAAACAATTCTTCGACCTGCTGAGCGATCCTGCTGGAGAATTCTTCTCTTGATGTCCCTTTCAGTTGTTTCTTCAGTTGTCCGTATGCGATTGGACGTAAAGCTTCGAATTTGGTAAATACCACGACGACGGGAACTGAAGAAGGATCATTTAGTCCGAGCAAGGCATAGTAAAATAGACGTGAAAACTCGCTGTGCCCGGTGTCGCACTCTGAGAAGAACTTCTCCTCTGATCGTTGAAAGGTCCGACAATGGTCGTCCATCGGAATACAGTACCTGATGGAAATCAACAAGCGCTGAACGTCAGAAAAGAGTCGCTTACCATATAACATGAAGTCGCTCCTCCAATTTCGTCGTGTTTGCCCGTTCTGATATAAATTTTTTCATGTTCTCGAATTCTTCTTCAGAACCCGCTTCGAAACCGCATGAGTCGTGGAAGACAAAACTGGGATTGCTCTTGAACACCATCTCGTTTCTGATGTCATGGTTTCCACGCTGATCGTCTGTCAGTGTATGTACTATGCCTGCAGGGAAAATGTTGTAAGCACCTTGATTGATGATTCTACGATGGCCGCATCGATCTATCCACAATTGATCAGTGATAAACCCGTACATCGCATAGATCATCGATCGTACCTTGTTTCCTTCTGTATCGTAAATTTCTGGTTCATCCGTGGTATTGCAGACCTTGTGAAGGATGGACGTTTTGCCTGCATTTGCTCTTCCTATAATGAGAACTCGAAACCGTTGAATCATTTCCCTGAGGACCTGAGCGTCGATGGATGCCATGAGGAGATCTTAGTATGCGTCCTGAAGTAGAGGTGATCTGATTTATGTTGAAAGCTGTTCCGTGGTACAGAACGAGATCGTGGCGAGAGATAACAACGAAGCAAGGGCTCGTACGGCTTATGACACAACAGCTACACACGGCGTCTATCTCGTTGCATTAGGCAAACAATTCCACCTCCCAGTCACACCGGCGCAGTTGCAATTATTCAATCATTTGTACAATAGAGCACAAGGATCATACAACAAACGATGTCGAACGATGCTAATAAGAACGTTGAGAGATATGAACTATAATGAACAATCAGAATACGATGAAAATGACAGAATTTCTCTCTTCCCTACCCGTCAGGCTCAAATATCTGTGGGCGGATCTTCCCGGGTCATCCAGACGATTGATCCTTGAGAGTAAACAAGAGCATGTCGGGATGTGCATGTGAGACACGACATTTCGTGGTACTGGACAGGGTCTGAACATTTCACCCCGGAAGATGGCGTTCTGGGTATGAAGTAGTATCGGGTGACGGAGCAGCTGTCGCTGAGTCAAACGCCGATACTGGAGATGAATAAGACATTGTTGAATGTGTGACGTCTTTCTTTATGGCTGCATCGCGTCGCAAGACACCGTATGATATATATGTTCGAGACGTGGAGTTTGCGCTTCAAGTTCAAGTGTTGTTTTTGATGAATATGATCCGCCAAGTCTGCAGATAGGCCTGCATTTTGTGTTTAATGACAAAGCTGCTGACCGGGGAAGACAGAAAGTTGAGTGACATAAACCAATTTGTGACCACGATGTGTGACGTCCTTGCGGTTTGAAGTCTTCTCCGATGATATAGACCACAACTCACGAACGTCGTAACAGCTTGCTGATGTAGCTGCTGGTCTTCAATATTGTATGCCTGGTGCATCGCATACCAGGTCCGTCAACAATTTACATTTGCAATGCTCTTGTTCTCAATTGTGTTAGGTTTTATCGGGCCGGCAGCCGTACTGAGTACTCGCAGTGAGGTAGTTGTGGCCATCCTCAAGGGTGTCAAGCCTAAGCATCCAGATATTCCTGCCATCGAAGATTTTCACTGGAAATTTATCAACTTTAGCCATCACAGCAACCTTGCCCACACCTTGTCGTGTATGGGCGTTCAGTCCGTCTCCTGCGAATCGACACAATGATGTAGGCTTCTTCTGTCCCAATGCTGTCCTAGCAACGTAGACAATACACAACAGGACCTCAAAATATCACTCAAGTGCTCATCGTGATGTTGTAGTCACCATTATGACGCGGCGGTTAACGAGAATGCAATTCCACGGTTATTAATGTGCATCCCAACAGGAATTGAAAACGTTTTGTTCAGGCTACAGCGGTATAAACCAGATTTCTCAAAAGTCGATACATTTACAATGGGTGTAACGCCCAGAGAAGATGATTCAAGCGGTGAGGAAGTGACTGTTGCAGGTGTGCTAGGGCCGCAGTATCTGTACTGATTGGGTAAAGTCAGCTAGTGATTGGCTCTATTTCATGAATTCGATGGAAGAAAACGGAAGAATAACCGTGCGCTGGTGTACGGACTCCATTTCATTTGGAATGGAGACGTCATTTGATCGATATTCATATTGGCAAAAGGGGGTACTACAATTAACTTATTGTTTCGGCGCTCAGCCTACCTCGTTAAAAGAGCACGATCTATGAAATAACTAACCTAAATGATTCTGTCATTCTTATCCCACTGCAGGTCTTGGTTAGAGAATGTCAGGAGGAAATCGTGGTGGTGGAGAAGTGACCCGTCTGTCATGATAGCTACCACTGGTGGTAGTGAGATAGACCCCGACAACCAGCAAGTCCATGATCATAGCATCCTGCGACGATGCACTTCCTCACGCGACTTTTGATGCAGCCTACCTGAACTTACGGGATTCATATCCAAGCAGTCGCCTCATCCAATGGCGCACGGTAGTTTCGGGGATGTGTGGAAATGCACCTACAACCCACCCAACCGTCAAGGCCAGGAGGCAAGCAGACTACGCGTATGGCTGTCCAGCAATCTGAATCCATGACAGGTAGCAGTCAAATCCATAAGAATTGATATCGCAGGTGATGATTCCAGAGCCAGATTTACTCAAGTACGTCATCAGCTTCCCCTTTGTATGTAATACGCTTGCCCAAACCTTATGGTTTCAGAGACTCTTGGGCGATTTCCATGCACGGAAGCAACTGCATCACGAAAATCTTTTGCCTCTGCTCGGTTTCAGTCATGAATTTGGGCCACTTCCAGCGATGGTTACCCCCTGGAAACACAACGGCTCGCTCACAACATATCTTGAACACCATTTCATAGAATTGACCATTGAACAAAAGCTTCGGATTGTGAGTTGTCTCTCAGAAGTGCTCATACATCATGGTATTCATTGGAACTTTAGTTGCGGCAAGTCGCTGCAGCCATCAGCTACCGTGCGTGGAATCTTTAATAGTTTGTGAAAATAATAGTTGACAGTATTGCAGTCCACTCGAAGGGCGTGGTACATGGTGACCTTACTGCCGTACGTACTGGTTGTCTGATGCCCGCTTTCTAGCTCTGATCTGGAACACCAGAACAACATTCTGATAGACTCAGACCGCAATGCCTACGTAGCAGACCACGGAATTCTCACAATGTGTTCTGAGCTCTCAGGGACTTCATACATCAGAAGCAACGTGCGGTGGGCTGCGCCAGAGCTCTTTGAGGTACCCGAGAACGAAGAGTCATTAGCTCCACAGCCAGCTAGCGATATTTATTCCTTCGGATGCATCATGCTTCAGGTTCGAGGCGTTCCTTAGTAGTTCCGTTAGTTTGCGACTAATATCTCGTAGGTTATGACAGGTAGACCACCATATGCAGATGTGCGAAGCGATCATCAAGTCATTGTCCTGATACTGAAGGGTAAGAAGCCTCCAAGACCAATAAGTCCGCACGATGCAGATTCTTTCTGGGATTTCATCGAAAAATGCTGGGGTGATACAGGATGTCGCCCATCTGCCGTTGATGTTCTGAACTTTCTAGGATTGGACCATGTCACTGCACTAGTTAAAAAAACAGAGAGCTGATCAATTTTATTTTATGTATATACTACATAGCAGATACATGCGCTTCACGCAGCAGTCTGGATGCTAAAATCTCAGGTTTCTAAATCATGATATTAACAGTACACGTGGCAGTTGTTACATTCCCCCTCCTGCTGCCCTGAGAGCCAAGCCACACACGGTATGTGGAGCTCGGAGTGCATAAAAATGAGAATATTGTAGGTTTATCTCCTGTGAGAAAAATATGTCATGACCCTACTACATACTACCAGGTCAGTTCGACGACAAACACCCAAGAATCAGCGCTGGATGATCGAATTAAAAAGATTCAGAACTACGAAATCTTGCCCTCGCCTGTCACGACATGCTACCCTACATCCTCAGTTTATTCCACAACTTGCCGCATGAGCCATATTGCATGAAAACGTCACAAATCACGATCAAAGAGCGATTTTAATTTAGCTCACGCTCAGGCTGCCAACTTCATTGACGAGCGGTTGAATGACAAGCCTTTGCGGCGTGTCCTCATCTTAGGACTTGTCATCATACGTAGGCGTGTTTCTTTCATATCCTTTCACGGTGCGAAATGGTTCGAAGCTTTTGGTGCATACAAAATGGGATGGGTCAATCGTACAGTAAGTCATCAATTGCTTTTCTCAGTAAAGACTGACTCAGAAAAAGCTGGTACACAGGCCGGCAATTTGACGATTTGGCCGAAGCCTTCAAGAATCAAAATAGACACTCCCTGAACGACTGACTCGTGTTAACAACGTTTTGTAGCCGACAAAGTTACAACTATCATGGCATCTTCTCGAAGCTCTATCTCTTTGCCACGAGGATTGTCTTTTGCTAATAAAGCCCGGAAAAAGAATATTGCCTTGCGCAATTACTGCTCTTTTTGGTGCTGCCGATTAATGCTCTCTACATCCCTGACAACACGCTTCAAGAAGCTCATTGTCCGCCCAGAAGTAGGTTCTATGCTTGACGCCTACTAATATGGGCGTTTGTAGTGGAGGGGAGACATTCATAATCGATCTGATTCATCCACAGCGTTTCTTCGACCAATACCAGTGGGAACGTTTTCAGTTTGACCCTACGCAGTCTTTTTCCACCGTAATTATCGGGATAACTTGTGATATTGTCGAACTAGTGTTTTCTGCATATAAGACTGTAGTTTCTCAGTGCAAGGGAACAGACTATTTTTCTCTGTAGTTTCTCGTCGATATGTTCCACCTCCAACAGTTCTTCCATAGCCTGGTATGTTTTTTGACATTATCCATGAAGCCATCTATTTATCTAACTCTAACAGGTCGGCCGTGCACCAGGTAGCCAAGTATCTCCTGTTCAATCCGTTGATACAGAGGACTTGTATGTCTTTTCTTTTTGCCTTGGCGAGACTTGGTGAACATGGAACAGTAATGGTATTCCTAACATCAAACCAAGTGATCTCCAAAGGCAAACCAGCTACCCGACCGCTACGGGTGGTCTTGGAGATGTTTACAAGTGTACATGGAACCGCGGCGCAAGTTCGGATGAGGTATTTCACAGACTTGTTTTTTTTTGCATGTCCTGATTGTGACTTCAGGTGGCGATCAAATCCCCACGATTCCAAAGTCTGAGTGATCCTGAAATTGCCAAAATCAACAAGGTATAGTGGGATCCAGTCTGTTGACCGCTCATCTGAACTTTTGAAACGCAGAACCTTGAGCGCGAGATCCGTATATGGGCTGCGATGAAGCATCGATACGTATTGCCCCTGCATGGCACTGTAGTCGAAGAATTCGGCCCATTTCGCGCGTTGGTTTCCCCCTGGATGCCGAATGGGACTTTGAACTCTTACCTAAATCGTGCACATGAGACCCTCTCAATGATGGATAGACTTCAGCTGGTGAGTTTGATTCACGAAGCCGAATACGACAACTTACTATGTTTTCAAATAGCTCAAACAAATTACCGAGGGGCTCAAGTATCGTGAGTGATGGATTGACTATGAATGTGACAAATATAACTTTGTTTTCTGCAGTTCACGACCACGACGTGATACATGGTGACCTTACCGACGTAAGTCTACGCATTCCGTGCAACCGAAATGATCTCATGATAATTGTAGGGCAATGTTCTGGTTGCTGCCGATGGATCCCCTCGTCTTGCAGATTTCGGTATCTCCAATATCATGGTACAATCCAACCCTACATTTTCCTACCATAACGGTGCAGTACGCTGGGTCGCCCCGGAGCTCTTTGTTCCCCCAGAAGATCAGCCTATACAATGCGCAACAAAATCTACCGACGTATACGCTCTCGGCGGTATCATGCTTCAGGTTCGTAGTCCCCAGTTAGGTGGCTAGTGACACTCACGTCGCCTGCGTGCAGGTCCTATATGGGAAACAGCCGTACTGGTGGTTGAAGTCTGCTATACACGTTACTTCTGCTAAGTTCAAAGGCACAGAGCCCATCGACTCCTCCATCGATATCCAATCTGATCACCTGAATTTCATGCGGCGGTGCTGGTCAACGGAGAGCAAGCTTCGTCCATCAGTAGAAGAGGTGATAAACTATCTTCAAGAAGAGATGTCGAATGAGAATTTGTCTTTATAAGGTCTCGGTTTTGAAGCGATGTTTTTTCCTGTCTTTATGTTAATTCCGGGTGTCCTATTATAAATCATGATGGTCCATGTATGCTCCTACTTCTCGGTGTCGTATGATACGCTAGCTGGATTCGTATTAATGCAGGAGCAATACTCATGTGCCAGCGGACTGCATGTAATACCAGTCCTCATAATGTATGTAAACAAGGCAGTGACAATATGGTAAGTACACAGATATTATTCCGAGTACATAGCATCCTGGGTTAGCTCGTTCATATCGGTGTTACTCTACTCCTAAGAACTCTACAATCGCAGAAGTCACTGGTCGATCATCAAAGATGACAGATATGCATCTCAACGCAAAATCCCTGTATACGTCTTCAATATCAGAGAAGTGACGGAAGGGTTCTGTTCCTGCGACTCTTGCCGCAATAACGTGGTGCGCTTTCGTTAGCCATAGGTAAGGTGCGCGTCCACAAAACAGCTGCACGCTGTCAGTACAGTAACTCACATGAAATCGAACGGGGAGCAACACACCTGAAGCATGATGCAACCATATGAGTAAACATCGGCGGCTTTGGTTGGCATCACTACTCCCCCTTGGTCGGGCATGGCAAACATCTCAGGCGCCATCCACCGTACATTTCCTTGATGGTACGAATTGAAGGTGGAGTTTTGTGTTTCTGAAAGTATCACCGAGAGACCGAAGTCTGCAAGATAAAGTCTCTGATCGGCATCCATCAGAACATTGGTCTGTAAATTTGTTATAACAAGACATCTTAGCTACAACTTTCAACACGTACACATGTTAAATCGCCATGGACCACTCCTTTTTCGTGTACTAACAAGTCGGTGAGCATGCCTGATCCAGATACAAAACAAATATAGATGCACAATACTTGAGGCCAGCAGCCATCTGTCTCAACTGAAGATATGTTAGAATTCGTTCGGTGTTGCGATATACGGCACGTACCATTCTCAGTTTGTCAGCCTCAGAAAGAACAAATCCCTTTGTCAGATAATTATCGAGCGATCCATTTTCCATCCACGGAGAAACTAGGGCAGGGAGTATCCCAAAGCCATCGACAACACCATTTAAAGGTAGAATGTTTTCATGCTCTAGTTTGATCCAAACATAAGCCTCGCGACGAATCCTCTGTGAGTTGAAATGAATGAACACAAAGACTTTCAGCTCATTCTTGCTCCCACCTTGCTTGTCTTATTCACTAGTTCTGTATCGTCTGCTTGAGGAACCCTAACTGATTTGACCGCAACCTAGAAGGCAGTCAATATTGTGAATTTTCGATCGAGTGCACAATTACCTTGGACGTTCCATCCTGAGATTGTGGAGACCAAGAACACATCCAGACGTCACCGAGCCCTCCTGAGCCATTGGGATACGATCCGAGTTTTTTGACTTCTGTCGCGGGAATCTTATATAGCTTGATTTTGAAATTTATTGGGTAAGAAGGCTGGTGACTGCCATTTCCCTGCCAAGGCCCGTCGAGGGTAATCTGTGACTGCTGTTCACATTGAATACAAGGGCAGAACTTACCACAGATTTCGTAGAAAAGCGATTACCCATTGTGATAATAACCGTGCTAGACCAAGTTGACGAAAGGCAACCGTGTGATGGTCGTTGTTTAAGCTGCTGGTCTGCAGATATATAATTGAAAATGTAAACGCTCAACAGACGTCGCGTGATGGGGCAGTGAATTATCGGACCGCATCATTGATACCAGTTTGAGTGAAACTCTGCTTCGCAAACTTGAAAACTGCGAGATAGTCACTTTACGGCTGATTCCTGAATATACCTTGACGGCGATGTTCATTCACAGTACAAAGTTTTCTCGGCAATTGCCTAAGCCTTTATGCTTCCGTACTAGTCGCTTAGTAGCGGCAGCTCGTGCACACGCGTTTATCTCGTGGTTATTGCGTCGACAACGGAAAACCCCAGATCTGCGCGCAGATACACGCAGCAGTCTAAATATTCTGTCACGATGGATATAATCTTCGTAGAAAAACGCTAGTCTTCTATCAGAATCCGAAGGACTCCACTAGCGCTGCACTGGTTGGTAGCGTCTATCATAAAACCGAATTCTTCAGCGCTCTAAATTCTCAAAGGTATGTGCTAGTAAGGCATGTCAATAACCTAAGAAAGATCCTGTTCACTAATATACACAGTTGGCCGCTCTCTCACCAGATTTTTGAGCGCCGAGACTTGCTGCGGGATAACTTGCAGGAATATGCCATTTCTCTTATTACTTTCCACCAGATCTGATGACACTCACGTCGCCTGCGTGCAGGTCCTATATGGGAAACAGCCGTACTGGTGGTTGAAGTCTGCTATACACGTTACTTCTGCTAAGTTCAAAGGCACAGAGCCCATCGACTCCTCCATCGATATCCAATCTGATCACCTGAATTTCATGCGGCGGTGCTGGTCAACGGAGAGCAAGCTTCGTCCGTCAGTTGAAGAGGTTATAAACTACCTTCAAGAAGCGATGTTGAATGCTAATTTGTCTTGATAAGGTCTCGGTTTTGAAAAAACGATGTTCTTTCTTGTCTTCATGTCAATTTCGGGTGTCCTATTTCTCGGTGTCGTATGATACATACAGTAGCTGAATTCGTATCAATGCAATACTTGTGTGCCAGCAGACTGCATGCAATGCCAGTCATCGTAGTGTATGTGAAACAAAGCAGTGACAATATGGTAAGTACACAGATATTATTCGGAGTACATAGCATCCTGGGTTAGCTCGTTCATATCGGTGTTACTCTACTCCTAAGAACTCTACAATCGCAGAAGCCACCGGTCGATCATCAAAGTTGACAGATATGCATCTCAACGCAAAATCCTTGTATACGTCTTCTATATCAGAGAAGTGACGGAAGGGTTCTGTTCCTGCGACTCTTGCCGCAATAATGTGGTGCGCTTTCGTTAGCCAGAGGTAAGGTACGCGTCCACAAAACAGCTGTACGTTGTCAGTACAGTAACTCACATGGAATCGAACGGGCAACAACACACCTGAAGCATGATGCAACCATATGAGTAAACATCGGCGGCTTTGGTTGGCATCACTACTCCCCCTTGGTCGGGCATGGCAAACATCTCAGGCGCCATCCACCGTACATTTCCTTGATGGTACGAATTAAAGGTGGAGTTTTGTGTTTCTGAAAGTATCACCGAGAGACCGAAGTCTGCAAGATAAAGTCTCTGATCGGCACTGATCAGAACATTGGTCTGTAAATTTGTTATAACGAGACATCTTAGCTACAACTTTCAACACGTACACATGTTAAATCGCCATGGACCACTCCTTTTTCGTGTACTAACAAGTCGGTGAGCATGTCTGATCCAGATACAAAAAAGTATAGGTATACAATAGTTGAGGCCAGCAGCCATCTGTCTCAACTAAAGATATGTTAGAATTCGTTCGGTGTTGCGACATACGGTACGCACCATTCTCAGTTTGTCAGCCTCAGAAAGAACAAATCCCTTTGTCAGGTAATTATCGAGCGATCCATTTTCCATCCATGGAGAAACTAGGGCAGGGAGTATCCCAAAGCCATCAACAACACCATTGAAAGGCAGAATGTTTTCATGCTCTAGTTTGATCCAAACATAAGCCTCACGACGAATCCTCTGAGTTAAAATGAATGAATACGACGACTTTCAGCTCATTCTTGCTCCCACCTTGCTTGTCTTATTCACTAGCTCTGTATCGTCTGCTTGAGGAACCCTGACTAATTTGACCGCAACCTAGAAGGCAGTCAAGATTGTGAATTTTCGATTGAGTGCACAATTACCTTGGACGTTCCATCCTGAGATTGTGGAGACCAAGAACACATCCAGACATCACCGAGCCCTCCTGAGCCATTGGGATACAATCCGAGTTTTTGGACTTCTGTCGCGGGAATCTTATATGGCTTGATTTTGAAATTTATTGGGTAAGAAGGCTGGTGACTGCCATTTCCCTGCCGAGGCCCGTCAAGGGTAATCTGTGACTGCTGTTCACATTGAATACAAGGGCAGAACTCACCACAGATTTTGCAGAAAAGCAATTACCCATCACGATAATGACTGTGCTAAACCGAGGTAGCGAAAGGCGGCCGTGCGATGTCGCTCTTTAAGCGGTTGGTCTGCAGGTATATAGATAAAAACACAACAGATGTCGCGTGATGGGGCAGTGAATTGTTAAAACTCATCATTAATACCAGTTTGGTCGCAAACTCGAAAACTATAAGTTTGGTGTTATACCTCTCGGCAGTTGCCGTTACGTATCAGGTTCCTTCCGTAGTAGTCGCTCGTAGCGGCAGCCTCACATGCGTTTATCTCGTGATCATTGCGTCGACAATGGAACACCCTAGATTTGTGCGCAGGTACACGCAGCAGTCCAAATATTCTGTCACGCGATTGATGATATCTTCGTGAAAAAATGTGAGTCTTCTATCAGAATACGAAGGATTTCACTAACACCGCACTAGGTTGGTAGCTCCTATCATAAAATTGAATTCTTCAGCGCTCTGGAAGTCTCAAACGTAGTAAGCCATGTCGATAATCGACAATAAGAAGATCTCGTCCACTATGCCACACAGTTGGCCGCTCCCTAATAAGATTTTTGAGCGTCGAGACTTGTTGTGGGACTCGGACAACCTGCAGAAACACACCATCTATCTCATTGCTTTCCGGCAGATCTGAGAGGGCTCGCTCTTCAACACTGAGGGTTCAAGAGAGCCTCACGCGTGAACGCAGTCTAAGGGACCTCCTCAGTCGCACCTCTTTGTCACACTATAGACTCATTTTAAGGCCCCAAATGTGACATATGCCGAGTAAAATACAGCGTAAGTGCTCGTTTTAAGAATTGCACTCGTCCGGCTTCATGGTTCTGATTTCTACATAGAACGTCTGATATCGTGACTGCGTGGTTTCCCGAGTTGATCGCACGCTTATCAGGATTATGCTGTGTTTTCCATCATCAAAGGTACGTGCTTAGTGTCTGAGAAGTGATTCTTGACGCTCCCGTTCTTATACTCTAAGTCGACGGTCGCTTATCGAGGACGAAATAATTCTTGCCATCCCCCTTAACTCATTTCTCTCCAGTTCACGCAGGATTCAAATAACCACTCATCACGTTGTCACTACCACTGTCCTGGAATTGATCGTATACGGAAATAACAGGTGAGAGCTTTACGATTTGGCGCTACACAATCACTGGCGCAACCCCTTAACCACAAGACAGACTCCATGATCTAAGCCACATAAAGGCCATAGCTTGTTGCACACAGGAAGTTTGATTCTGTGCAGGACTACACAAAGTTTTCTCGGCATCGGTTCGACTCTACTTCCGATAGATAACTGGAGCAGAAACCGATCAAGCGCGCGTATATTGCATAACGAATTTGGAAATATCATACTCTGAACATAGCTTCGGATGGGGAAGTCAAGAGAAAGACACGCAACTGAGGATAGAATAGTTGAGTGTTAATATTGTATGTTTGTAAAATGCTTAATAGGGATGCATGTAATCCAACATGCGCATCGCAAGACATATTCCCCCGAGTCTGATGGAAAACGTGGAGTATACCAATCACCGATGTATAAGCCCATTGAATAACACCGCCCATCAGGGTTTTCCGAATCATACTTGTTATCAAGACGCCATGTTTCAGGCTCAAACAGGTCATAGGATGGCCTCATGGTCGCAGTATTTTTGGGTTGACAGCATTGGTAATTTGTTCTTCAGCAGTATATAAGGATGCCCGCTTCATCTCCTACATTTCAGCAGTCTAGCACCTGTCATTTCGAACTCTGAGATCTAGCTTTACTTCGCAATGAGTGATCTCCTCCTCGCAAGTCGATCACGCTTCCATGTTGATGACATACTGATATCATTGGCAGGACCCGGTTCAATTCAAAATTGAACCAATACAAATTCCTGCGACAAAAATCGCAAGACATGGTAACAGTGCTACCTGTACAGGAGGGCTCGCTGACATCTGGAAATGTTCGATGACCACAAAATCTGGAACCAAACGCCTCGTGAGTTTAGACATGGGAAGAAGACTCATCATTTATCATAATCAAGGTCGCTGTCAAATCTATCAGGATCCTTACAGCAACAGATGTTAAAATATTAAAAAAGATAAGCGAAGTTAGGCTGGGAATTGATATGCAGTTCCACTCGCTGATAAATCTACTTCCAGAGAGTTCGTCGCGAAGCTTATGTTTGGATACAGTTAAAACACGACCACATTCTCCCTCTCGATGGTGTGGCTGAAGAATTCGGGTTACTTCCGGCACTAGTGTCTCCGTGGATGGAAGAAGGATCGCTTGACGATTACTTGAAGCGCGAGTTTTCTAGATTATCTGACCGTCGAAAATGGGAGCTTGTAAGTGCCAGATAGCCACTGCACTAGCTTATACTCAGCCATAATTTCAGGTATGGCAGGTAGCTGCTGGTGTTAGTTACCGTGCGTTCCGTTGTTAACAGATGTAGTGATCGCACCATTTACTAAAAACTATCTACTAGTGCATCAGCACGGCGAGGGTATCGTGCACGGTGACTTGACAGCAGTAAGTCTTGTCCAAATCCACATGTGTCCAGTAGCTGAAATTCAATCCCAGACTAACGTTCTGGTTGACAAGTCCGGTCGCCTCCGTCTCGCAGACTTTGGTCTATCGATGATCCTTGCCGAGGCAGGAAACGCTACATTCGCTTCCTGTCATCCAGGAAACGTACGTTGGATGCCCCCCGAGGCCCTCCGAGACGGCGATGAAGATGATGACGAAGCTAAAGACGAGAAGCCAACCAAAGCTTGGGATGTCTATTCATATGGCTGTGTAGTGTTCCAGGTCTGTCGAAGTTTTAATACACGAAAACAACCTTCTTACAATAGCCCAAGATCTTTTCAGGAAAACAGCCCTACGCCTGGATACAAAGTGTTTTACAGGTTATGGGCGCGATGCAGAAGGGACGTGGGCCTTTCAAGGGTATAGAGAGTCATGGGGCGTATCAACAGTTCTCGCCGTGCTTGAATAAGGTATCAGCCAGTCGCCCGACGATAGATATTATCATGGGAGTTCTGGAATCACGCCGGTAAGCTTCGTCGTATAGTAAGATAAAACAATAGTGTATACCAATCACAGTGACGAAGTTGGAGGATATTGCGACACGAGTTAGTGTCTACAACCCACTTTTGTGACAGAGGGTTCTTTAGTCTCGCAAGATGCTGCACAGTGAATATGATGTTATGACCGTTCCGGTTTTTACCTGTAGAGTGCGCCTGCGCAGAGCAGAAGTCAACTCAATAAAATTTAACCAAGGACACCACCGTTTTCGCTCACCCCAAGTGCTCGCTGCATCGGAGTTCAGATTATCATTGTACAACCGTGTGTTACGACGGAAGTTAGCGTAGACAGGCATAGACTCGGAGTACTTGAAAACTATCCTCAAAACACTATGCCCTTTCGAACTGAGCGCTAAGAAGACTGTTGAATCAATAATCAGTGCTCGAGACACATTAACAATATACTTACTGAATCATGACGCGCCGCGGCGGCTTTTTCGTATCACCCGTCTCCGAGTCGTCCGTGTCAGGGAATCCAAGTCAGCTGCTGCCAACCTACATCTAGTGCGAGAGTGACTGTCTCCTCGCAACGGTCCTCGGAACCACAGAGGTCGGATTAGTCGCAGCTGTGTGTGACGTCGGTCGCGGCTTATGTTTTGTCACGATTTGGGGCAAGTGGTCTATAGGCACGTGCAATAAGCATTTCAAAACCCGACTCACCCGGGCCGTGCCGTTATGATTTTATTATAATGTCGACGCGGTGTGGGCCGGCAGCGCGGCAGAATTCAACCTAACAATAAGGTGCCCAGGCAGCCCAATGCCCAGGTGCCCAATGCTTATAGCATTTTGTCATGCAGCTAAAGCATAACTTGCTGTGCATGCAGACTCGGAGGTCTTTTATGAAGTTGTACTAGTAGCAGAGTAATGGATTTTGATTCTACAATGGACTAGTATGTATGAGCTGTATGATTCTACGGACAATAGCATCGCCATGAGGTACCGAGCCAGCGGATATGCGATCCTATATTATACTTCGACATTATGCTATGCCAGCGAGGCAGCTAGAATGAAAAAGACAAGAATGAACCAATTCCGAACGGCAACATTATGTAGATGCTTCGGTAGAGATACCTCTCTCGAGAAAGTCCAGTACCTCCTTCACTGATGGACGATTCTCGCTCTTGATTGACCAGCACCGCCGCATGAAATTTAGATGATGTGCTTGGATTTGTATGGTGTTATTAATGGGCTCTTGGTTTTTGAACTTTGATGACATGACTTGCAGAGCAGTCTTGATCCACCAGTAGGGTAGTTTGTCGTACAACACCTGTGGGTACCATGTCAGCGTCATAAATAAACGTAAATGTGACGTTGACCTGAAGTATGATACACCCAAGAGCATATATATCACTAGATTGGGTGGCAAATTGCACGGTTTGACCTTCCGGGAGGACGATGAGCTCTGGAGCTGCCCAACGAACCGCACCAGTTTGGTAGGAGAATGCCGGGTTAGATTTCACCATGATATTCGAAACACCGAAGTCTGCAAGGCGTGGGGATCCATCGGCAGCAATTAGGACATTGTTCTACAATAATAATAATTAGTGGGTCACGAAATGTATAGTGGAGGTAAACCTACACTAGTCAGATCGCCATGAATGACGTTTTTGTCGTGGACTGTCCACAGTGTACTGTTAAGCCAGTTGCTTCCAAGCCAACCTGTTACTTACGATATTTGAGCCCTTCGGTGATCTGTTTGAGCTTTGACGAACAGTAAGCTTCAGTAATTGGAGTCAAAAGAGAAACTTACAATGCGAAGCCTAGCCATTGTGGTCAGAGTTCTACCTTCACCAGTAAGATAGGAGCTCAATGTCCCATTCTCCATCCAGGGGGATACCAATGCTCGAAATGGACCAAAACCTGTTACGGTGCCATACAGGCGCAATACATACCGATGGTTTAATCTGGTCCAGACCTTGATTTCGCGGTCAAGATTCTGTGTTCCAAAGAAATGAACTCTAGACACGCGGCAATTTCAGAGGCTAATCAAACATACATGATTTATTCTGGCAACGTCGGCGTCTGCGAGACTTGGGAACCGTGGAGACTTGACCGCAACCTGAGCACAAGTGAGCATAAGCATGGAGAAGATCAATGTGTAGCATACTTCTTCCAGCCCCGTGCCCCTGTTCAATATGCATGCGTAGACATCTCCAAGTCCACCTGAAGCAGTCGGAAAATAGGGTGTCCTGGCAGTGGTGCTTGTGTCCACAATGAACGAGCCATACGTTGATGCCTGAGTAGTTGCGGTCGGAATCAGATTAATAAGTTGCGAGTCCCCTTTAGAGATAGAACCGCGCCCGCTGTCCCCGTCTTCGGAGGTATTGACAAGGGAGGTCTGGCTTAAACAAGATTGCCTATCAGAAGAAGACCGAGTACCATCAGATGAAGAGGGTGAGCTGGGTCGAATAATGTAACGAGAGACTTGACGTGCAAGAGTCTTCACAGGAGTCAGCATATTGATAGGAGAAGCACGGGCACAAAAGGATCTGAATTTACTTTCCTAGCATCAGTGGTTTACCATCTTATACACAAGAATTACGACGATTCCCGCTCACATCGCGGAGTAGATCCACCAACACCTCCGGGGAATAGAAATTGCAGAGGGCGCACCAGAGCAGCCGTAACTGGTATGGATCGAATGAAATCCACGCTGGATGCTGACATTCCACCACATAATCGCCCATCTCTAAACACATCAAGTGGAGAAAGGCAGGTGGGATATCAGATTCTTGAGGCGTGGTCAGGGATGTGGAACTGCCAATTGGAACTTTGGCCTAAACTATGCGCAAGTCATTGGTTTCGGCAACAACCCAGGCTGTGAATCTTGATAAACAATTCTACGTCAGCAAATGCTGCCTGTCGTCTGACTTCGCGCGCCGAGAAGTATGCGCTTACCCTAAAAATAAATGGTTCTATCTCTAGGATGATAACTCGAGGCGGCGCCTATACGACTCGTGTTGTTCTGCCCACGTAAGTCCACTGTTTAGACCACCCATCCAATAAGGGCCTTGATCATGTATCCATCATATCGAGCTTCAAGGTCCATTATCCCCGGAAACTTGAGTGATGTGCGTTGCACATCTAAATGAGCTCCCAATTAGAAGCTGTTCTGTTGACGAAGGTGAAAAGATCTTGACCTCGCCGATTCTAGATTTTCTGCCAATAGATCAAGCCGAGAGTTACGGCACCCTGGATGTGAAGTATAGATACTATTACCTGTGTCGGCGTTATTCTCCGCCAGAAGTTTAATCTTGGATGGACCATGCTTCAAGTGCGTGTGCATGTGATCATTGATACCGATTCACTGATCTCCATGCAGGTCTCAAGGACGAAGTCCTACAGTTTAGTGGACATGGAGCAAGGCCAAAATATACCTACATAACTGATGGCAACTGGGGTTTCAGAAATCATTGCATTTATGAAAGGACGAGCAATCAATGTTAGTGTTGGACTGAATCAATCTACAAAGTGACCATCTTGTATGGATCAACCCGAGATTACCAAAGTCATTAATTTGATAACTTACTACTGGATACCGTAACAGATGCAGGTCATGTGGTATGGTGCCACACGTTATACAGCAACATCGTCCAATCGAGTCATATTCAGCACCCCCTTACCGAATCCACTCGCAACCACTTTAAACCCGTTATCTTGCACATCCGCGAGGAATAGCTCGTGTTGATCTGCCATCCTCTCATTGTTCCTCCGAATCTCCTGGATAATCCCGTGTTGGCGTACGCAAAGCGGGCATTCGGTCTCGTGGTCCAGTAGACATCTATAATAAATGTCCGTTAGCGCTGATATCACAAATAGCCAGAAGAAGTGTGCTTTTGAGGAAAGGAATAGTTTGGTCAAATAATGAGTAAGCGAAGTACGTACCGCTGGTGGTATGAGTGGTTGCACATGAAATGGACACTGGGCAGGTCGAGCTGACCGCTGCACTGAGAACAACGCGTCACACTGAACACCTTTGCGTGCATCGGGTCTTCTAGTTCAGCCACTTGCTTCAACTTCGCATCCGTCTCCAACCGGTAGGAGTTTATCAGCTGTTGGTCCTATCACGCGAAAAATCAGCAGCGCGTAGATGAGAAATAAATGTAAAGAAATCACAGTCTGCACTTCTTCCCTTGCCTCCTTGATGCGTCCCATCAGCCAGTTCTTAACAAGGCCTACGCTCGCTACTCCCATTTCTACTCAGTATCTGGATCACACCAAGCGGAGGTATTATCCGCTCCTTCTCAATATGTTCTAGAATCTTCTCCACGTCCACCTGGTGCCGCGTGAGCAGCTCCGGCGTGCTGGTCAAGAAGCGCAGCACCAGCTCATAGAGGTGCGAGTGCGTTGGGCCATATCGTTCAAGAGCCTGTACGACTTCCGTTGATGCGGAAGACTCGGATGGCGATGCACTGTGCTTGTCCATCCAAAACCGTAAAATGTCCTCATACATACCCAGCTTCTCCCAAAGTATTATCAGACCTGGGGTATAGCTGTAGCTGCTGCAAAGAATCAGTGCATGTGTCTTATCGCACGGTAAGGAGTCGGTCGTCAGAACTTTGAGTGCCTTGTCCTGTTGTTCTGGAGAGCCCCCGTCAAGATAGAGCTCAAGTAACGTATTCCAAACTGCTTCCTGATTGCGCTTCTCGGAGTCTTCATCTTTGTCCGAACTGGTATTTAGAAGAGAGGATGGGAGAGAAGAGATCGACTGTCCCCACCGACGTGCGGCTACGCTTTCTAGGAAACGGACAAAGTATGACGGGTGATCGACAAAATGCGCAAAATAGAGTGTAGGCGATGGCCGTTTATCTTTGGATGGCGTTGGTACCCCGGGCTGCGTTGTTTGAGGCTGTGTAAGGTCCTCCTCTTCATCCGCTTTGGAATCCTCAACTTTGTCTTCTGGCGCGGGTGTACGAGAGAGGGCAAGGTACGAGAGGTACGACGGGGTGTTTGCTGGCGTATTCGGCTGTTGTGGAGTGGTGTCCTCTGCTTCGGGAATGACGAGGGGCCCAGAAACGGTGCAAAGATCGATAAGAAGCTGCGTCGTCTCCTCTGGAAGATTGTCTAGCATAGCGCGTCCGTACCTTGCGAGGTTGCTTTCCGCCTGTATAAATGTATTGGCCTCGTGCAGGAAAGAATCTAAACAACAATAACGAAGATTAGACTTACTGCGGCTGCTCCTAAGTGTCTTAAATACGTCAATGCTTCCCCATACTTCCCAGCGTCCTCAATCATAACCCTCAAATATTCTTCGTGTCGCTTATAGCGCTTCGCAAGGTAGCTGGCATGATCAAAGTATCCTGCCTGCCTGCACACCCGAATAGCAGTATCCAGGTCAAATGGAAGGTCGCCATTTGACTCTGCCGCACCAGAACGTCGAGACTCTGTTTTGATGAAGCTGTCCAAGCGTGCAACGTCTTTGAGTTTGGTGTAGGTATTAAGAAGAAGAGTGGTATGATCAGCGTTTGCGAGGCCAAGGGCATGTAGCTCTTGCAGATAGGTAACGAGATTGTGTATACGCTGAGCGTCCAGGAACTGTACCACCATCGTCAGACCTGTCGTTTTGGGAAAAAATACGAATAACCGACTTTTCTAACGACGTAGCTTGGTTTTACCCAGCCTATCGTCTTCAGATAGCACGTCATCGCGCCATCCCAATCTCCTTTCGTGTAGAGATGGTCGCCGTGCTGACGGTGAATATCAGCCACATAGCTCTCGTCAAGGTGTTGTGTCTGCGCAAGACTCAATGCAAGTGGGTATAGAGCCTTTGCATACAGCATGGAAAGTTTTGCAGAGGTGGATTTCTCGGCAAGGCGAGTCAGCTAAATAAGGGCAGTGACGTCGGATTAAAAGCAACGGACAATTCTAAAAACCGTTAGGACGCACCTGCCCGTTATTTGTGAGGATGTAAATATTTCCCCACTCCGAGATCACCTCTCTGATACCCTCTGCAAACACCCCGGTATATCCGACTACCTTATTCTCCATGTCAAATACAGTCACCCTCGACGCATCGCCATCTCCACCTGCAGGTTGTGCTGCAAGCTTTCGCGTAGCAGATGACGTTGACGTAGCTGTTGTTGGTGGTGAAACAACTATCACGTAGTTAAGGTGGGTGTGGATCGACGACTTGTAGCCTGTGAAAGGCGCAAGGTCACCTCTCAGGACTTAGATTCGTACCAATCCACTCACCTTCGTAAGCATATGGTGGCTCCCTCCCTTGCAAACCATACGCATATACTGCCTCGTCTCTCGCAAGCACGATCTTCTCGGCGCGCCAATCCATCACCGCACATCCCAGTCCACATCCAATATCGTCCAGCAACACGCTAGATCCTCCACTCCCCTTGCCGGACACATGGTACAAGTATACCGAATTCGTGGTCACAATGAAAAGGTGCAAGTTGTTGTCCTTAGCATCGGCATTAGTAGAATTCGGAAGTTCTCGGAAACCAAGGCCTGTGATAGGTTCAGGGGATGATTCATGGATGGTGCGTGTCTTAGGGAGTGCAGTCAGGGACGTCGCGGAAGATAGTGACTGGTCCAAGTGCCTGTAAAGTAACACCGTCCCGTCGGCCAAACCGATGGCAAGGAAAGACAGCGCAGAAGAAAGTGCAAAACAAGAGACCTGAATTACAAGCTCACCGAGCGAAAACTGAGCGTAGCGAGCCACTCACCGGGTGAGGCTTATTGCTGGGCTGAACCTTGGAAGATTTCAACAACACTGGTGCTTGGTTTCTGCCGTCCGTCTTCCCAATATCCCAAATCTTCAGCAAACTACCTCGCACTGCACTCTCCTCCCCAATTGTAACCAATACACCATTCCTCTCTGCCATATGCATTACTCGTCCTCCCACATGTGCGACCCAGCTCGTTGTCGATACGAACTCCTTGTTTAGAATGTGTAGACTGCCATGAATATCCGCAACGAGCAGCCCCGCACTGGATGAGGCGACTGTTGAAATTTCTGAGGCATTTTTGAAAATCTCGGGTGAGCTAGCAAGGTCGTGGACGTCCTTTACAGGGTAAACATCGAAAAATGCAAACTGGCGAAGCTGAAGGGGTCTAGTAACTGAGGGTGACTACGACATCCGACAGTGGCCAACATACCGCAGTAGCAGCTACAACTTGGACAGTCGCATTTGCCATCGAACTTGCCACGAAAGTTGACTATTGCAGCTGTGAGCGGGAATTGAAAGAGCGCTGGAAGCCTGGAAGCTACCTGCTTAGAGTGGGAGTCCTGAAATAATGTACTGTAATCAGGAACAATCTCTGACGGTGTATAACTATGTACACTAGTAGTAGGACTAAATACTCATGTGCGTCAGCTAACGTTGGTGTAGCATATCGTGTATCTACTACTTTACATTCATTGCGAAAATAGCTACAATCTGCGAGCCTATCCAGGACATCTGAGGATACATGTTGACATGATAACTCTAAGCCTTGGCTAGAGTAGCAGAAGTTTTCAAAAGAGATATCAAGGCATGATGCATGAGATGTCACAAACATCATGCTGCACTGACGAAGAATGCCAAGAAACTGCTATGGCATCATGAAGTCGCATGAGAGTTATCAGGAGCTTTCCTGTAGCAGTTTCAGCTGTTCCTCCATAAATGTCAGAACTTCCTCGGCTGAAGGCCTGTGTTCCGGTTTATCGAGCCAGCACTTCTGCATGAACTCCCATAGAGTATCCGTAATAGGCGGAGTTACCGGTCGAGCAGGTTTTCGGCCTCTGAGTATCTGCACGGTAACTTGATGATCACTTCGAAATTCGGAATACGGTACTTTTCCTGTGAAGACCTACAAAGAGAATCATAATCGCATTGTATGGTACCAAGATCCACCTACAAACCTGTAACATGATGCACCCGAAAGAATAGATGTCTGATGCCAATTGGGGCAAGCTCGTTGACTTGTCATCTTCCGGGACCTCAAAGTTTTCAGGTGCAGCCCATCGCACATTGCTTCTGATATATGACGTGCCGTGAAGCTCGGCACATAAAATGAGAATTCCTTGGTCAGCCACGAAAGCGTCGCCATTGTCATTGATAAGAATGTTGTTCTAAGTTGCGTCAATAATTACTTTGATGAAGGAGGCATCCGTGGTACTCACACCGGTGAGATCACCGTGTACTATGTTTTTGGAGTGCACTGATATTCAAGTTAGCTTTGCGCCGGATACTGACGTTAACCGCATACAGTACTGGAGAGCTGAAGCGACATCTTTGAGCTGTAATAGGAAAGATTAAGATGCGAGCCATACCATAGTAAAGAAAGACCCACAATTTGGAGCATTCGAGTGAGAGTGAGTTGCTGGAAATCACGTTCCAGAAACATGGTAAGTGAGCCTTTGTGCATCCATGGGGAAACGATAGCAGGTAGCGGACCAAACCCTTGAGTTATTCCCAGACAAGGTAATAGATTGGCGTGTTTTAGCTCAGTGTTCTGCTGTAAGTTGTGTTCGAGCCTCTGAAGTGTCGTGCATTAGCAAATAAACATATGATACCAGCACGAAGAGCCACTCAAACCTCGGTAATCTTTGTCTTGCAGCTATCGTTCGGAATTTCGAGTCGCAGACATTTTACTGCGACCTTATAGAGAGGCAAAACGGTATGAGCGATAACACTCACAGGTGTAAACTCGAAGGAGCTACTCGCCTCTACCGTGATTCGGGGGTGGTTCAAGCTGCGCATGCACTTCCAGACATCCCCAAAGCTGCCTTGAGCGACAGGGTATCGGGATGATCCTTTACTTATTTGCTCGGTGAGGTCGGGCAGACTAATAACGTGGTACTCAGTCAAAATCGCGTGAGATATAAATGCAAAGAGAAACAAACTCAGTTGCACCATTGTATATCGTTTTCTTCGAACCAAGCCCAAGGGTAGCAAGTAACAAGCGTAATTTCCTCCAGCGCTTCTTCAACCAGACTTGAAACCAGGCGGGAAACAGGTCTTTCATGTCGAAAGAAGAAAACATGGGATAACTATAAAGGCATGCTCGATTCTTATGACAATTTCCTATCATGACATCAAGGGTTGTAGGTCGGCGGTGGTGTTGGTAGCCCCGAAGCCTCGAGATGAGCCGCTAAGGCTCCTCAACCCTGGATCTAGATGACGTCTCTTGGCGCAGGAACTTGCCATTCTATCTTCGGAACGAGATTTAAAATCCCAGACCCTACTAGATCCATCCTAGAGTGCAAGCGCTCCATGATACGCATTATTGGCGGAATGGAGGCACTACTATATCCTGAAATAAGGCGTAATCTTGTTGCAGTGTGCAGGTAATAACCCTCAGGCCTCAATGATGAACGCCCAAGTAGCTGAGCGCAAGTGTTATCACACGTGATCCACGTTGGCAGGATTAATTGTGGTAAGCGCGATGGATTACGTCTTTCTCAGAACGGTGCCTACTAAATTCACACCGTTTGCATACATACTAACATGCAGCTACCTCATGCCTGTCGAATGAGCAAGTTGCTGGCTTTAGGATCGTCAATTCAGGGGTCGAAGCAGCGAACGCCTGTGGGTCCATATAAAACACGAGTTGTGTCAAGTCCCGAAGGAACGGTAAATTACCAGCATCTTGCAAAACTTTGCAAGTTTCTCAGGCATAGCATCTAGCAGCCGGGCCGGCACACAAGCGCTCAGTGATACGGTGTTCGCGTCCCAGACCTATCGATTCGTTTTCTCCCGTCATCCATTGCCTCCATACCATCTCTTCCACTGATTGCCATCGATTTAGAGGACAATGTCGGGAAATGCTTCTACCCTAGGCGCCTCCTCTGATCTTTACTACATCTCCAGTAAAAATCCCACTTATCGTCTATTTCAATTCTGAACATTTTTCTTCCTAGGTATTGTCATCCGCCTTGATGATACTTCGAAGAAGAAGATTGATTTTGCCGAGTTGAAGATTGATTCACAGCGAGAGGAGATCCGTCACAGATCGGATCAAGACAGAGGCCTTAGTAAAGATTTCGATCCTGCCATGTGAGCTTCACCTAGGCTAAGAGAAACTCGTTCAGAACATCGTCACACAGTGCGGTGACCACTGAGCAGGTTTCCTTAACTATCCATACTGTGGCCATGTTTCCGCGGGGGGCCACCATAGATTTTACATTGAACAGAAGAGACATCTTGGCCAACACAGCGGATCACGAAGGCCAACGAGGTGAACCAATTCTCCTCCAGCTGTATCACATTCAATTTATAGCTTGATGCGATAGAGTACAGGATTACTAAGAGGAAGCTGACAGTTGTCGTCACAATACGGTCAGTATATCGTTCTTCTATCTCAGAACCAAAATGAGCATCCAGGCCTATCCACATCGACCATAATTCTTGATATCAGACAGCTGCAGTCCACTAGCAGCAGTATTTGCCCAAGATTCCGGCTACTGGTAATAGGAAAGGTCCGTCTCTGTCGTTATTCAAGCATAGACAACTCAAGCATCCACTCTACAGACCGGAGTCGGAAAGTCATCGCTGATCCAGCAGGCATTTAAAATAAATGAAGTAGTTAAGTCCATGAATCAGTGACACGTGGTGACAGTTGCTGACGTTCACCTGTCCTTTACAGCATGTTTCTGAACACAGGCGTGGTGAAGCAGATATCGAAAAGGAATTCGTTGCGCCAGAGAATAAACGATTTGTACTCCATGATAGTCAAGGGTTTGAAGCTGGCGATAGCGAGATTTTTACGACTGCAAAAACGTTCATTAGCCGCCGACGCAATGAACCCAAATTGCAGGATAGAATCCACGCGGTCTGGTACGGTCTTTTAGCATCTGGTGTCCCTCTGCCATACTGACACTGCTTGAAGGCTTTGTCTCTCGATACCTCATGCGGATGGACGCTTGCTTGAGAGTGGAGTAGAGGAATTCCTCAAATCGAGGAAGGAAATACTAGGCGACAGTGCGCAGCGTTTATATTTCGTTTCCCATAACTCATTTTTTAAATCTAGTTCCGATCATTGCTGTTTTCACCAAGCATGATGTTTTTATCGACAAATTGGAGTACGAAGCCACTGAATCGGGAGAATGTGACGAAACCGCGCTTGAGAAGCGTAAAGTTGACACTTTGAATAAACTGTGTATCCAGCCGCTTCAGGAAGCAGCCGGGAGGGACATCCTCCACGCAACTGTCTCAAGTAAAGGGATCTCGCTTCTTTAGTCCCCGATGCTGATTTAACATCATAGTGAACGAAGGTTACGAGGATACTATAAGAAATCTGATCGATCTTACAACCACGAACGTCGAAACATTCGTCGCCTCAGAAGCGGCATTAGCAATGATGATAGCCCAGCGAGTAGATATCGGTCTTAAAGTTAAGGCATCAATTGCGTACGCACGACCACTGTTATTTTGATAAATCCTAAATTTTACAATGTTGTTCTCCACAGCATAGGCAAGAAAAGTTAGTATTAGTTTTGTCAGTCTTCGGCGCCCTGTTGACTCCCGATTTTCTAGGATATTGGAGAGGTCTCGCTTCGAGCATGAACTTTGCAGGCTTTACCATGCTGGACTGCTTGTCTGTGATTCACAAGGATATCATTGACGTTTGGAACTTCAACGACCCCCTCTGTGTAAGATGCATATCTAATTTTATGTCACAGGCTGCTGACATGTTTCTGCGCAGCACTTGGTCAGTGACCGGTTCAAAGAACTGATGCTAAAAGATATAGACAAGGTCGACCTTCCGCACACAGCGCAAGCTTTGTGAGTCACTAGTTATTGTACTGCGAGACGCTTTCAATTTACCGAAACACTGGCAGTGAATTTGGCCTCTCCGTGGTCGCGACAATTGCATCGATTTTGACCTCGCTAGCTAGTGGTCCGCTTCTACCAATTGTTGTGCCACTTGCCACGGGGGTGGTTGTGGTTAAATGGGCTTATGATACCTATCAACGGACGTAAGTGAATGCGCACTGTTTCCATCTGAAACGCAGTTTATAATGCGAACGATTTAGAAACGTTGTCTTGCGGCGGATTATGACGTACATCGTGGATTTAACATGTATCATGCAGATATTGTTCCTGCTAGTACCGACGGGGCCTGTTTCTCGTCACATCATCAAGATTGCCATCGAAGGCTATGGGAAGGCGTGCAAAGACAATATCCACTTGGCAATTCAATCCCACTGTATGTCTGTCACTCGTAGCGGAGGGGACGATGCGCTGGAGGAGATTATTAGGTTGATCAACAACCATTCTATTAAGGCTGAAGATGTCCAGAACCTGAGGACGAAGATTGGGCGCGTGGATTTGCGAGTAGACGAAGAGTGGTAGTTGTGGTCTCGAAAGTGTACCTTGTTCATAAACACGTGTATTAGGAATTCAGCAGAAGAGTTGTATGGTCAACGTTTGCGAGGCCAAGGGCTCAATTGTCACCAACACCCTTCCTCTCTGCCATGTGCATTACTCGCCTCCCACATGCACGATCCAGCTCGTTGTCGATACCAACTCGGTAGTTTTTTTGTCTTGCTGCAGCCTGGTAGACGGAATGACCGTCGGCTATGAGCGCAGGTGCGGACTTGAAGGAGCTACTCGCATCTGCCGTGATTCGACTCATTCGAGGCTTGCGTATGCACTTCCATGCATCCAGACATCCCATCTAGACTCATCTGCAAAACTGCCTTTGTCGATGATCCAGTGACTCAATCGAGCGGGCTCATAATCTGCATAGGTACTCAGCAAAATATTCTGAGATATAGATGCATAAAAACAAACTTGTTCTTTACATTCTTGTCATTAATTGTTTTGACGCTCGCCTTTCGACTTCCAAGTATATATGGGTATTAAGGTTTAATATTTGATTATGTATGCTTATTTGGCCCTCTGTGTCTTCTTCACCCACACCCTCGATTCAGTGGGTACTGTCAGATCTGGGTTATTTCGGCGGTAGTGTTGTCCGAGTGAGTGGAGTCATTAACTCTCCACAGTGCTAGTATTGAACCAATCGCCATTTCCAAAGCAGATACATCATGGATCCAGATGACGTTTGTGGGCACAGGGACTTGCCATTCTAACCCATGTTCGAAACGACCAGATGCGAACCGAGGCTGAGCCAGTGAGAAGCGCCTCTACTATTAACGGAATACCGGCGCTACGCTTTGTTCATCTGAAACAAGACCATCATAATCTTGCAATGTGCAGGTAATAAACCTTAGGTTCTGGTTCTCACTACACGTGGCACCCTTAACGGACGCCCCAGGGTGTTATCACATATATGAGATCCACGTTGGCAGCTAAGCACCTCGTATTGATTGTGGTAAGCGCGATGGATTACGTCTTTCTCGGAATAATGCATATAGACTTACATGCAGCCGCCTCGTGCCAGTCAGTAAATAATTTGCTGGTTCAAGTGCTGTAAATTCAGGGTTCGAGGCGGTGAACGCATAAACCCTGGGATGTGGGTCGATTCATGTAACACACGAGTTGTGTCAAGTTCCGAAGGAACGCCAAATTATTAGCGCTTCCAGGTCTTGCAGGACTTCTGCAAGCCCCTCAAGCATGTATCCAGCAGGCGCTGATACGAATTTGCGTCCCAGAGCCATTACTTGTTTTGCTCCCGTCATTCATTCCCTCCTTACCCTACCTTCCATTAACTCCCATTAATTCGGTGCACAATGTCGGAAAATGCCCTCACTGTAGTCGCCTCTGTTCCTCTCCGCATCACTAGTAAGAATTTCCCACTTACCATCTATTTGCCTCTTGAATAATCTTTCTTTCTAGGTATTGTCATCGGCCTTGATGATACTTCGAAGAAGAAAATCGATTTTGCCGAGTTGAAGATTGATTCACTGCGACAGGAGATCCGTCGCAGATCGGAACAAGACAAAGAGCTCAGTGCAAAGTTCGATTCCACTATGTGAGCTCCACCTATATTGGGGAGAAACTCGCTCAAAATGCTGTAATACAGTGCGGTGACCGCTGAGCGGGTTTCCTTGTCTGTACATTGTCACCGTACTAGCGTGTTCCTGTGGAAGACCACCAAGAATTTTTCGTTCAACAGACAGGACATCTTGTCTAATATAGTGGATCATGACGGCCAACGAGGTGAACCAATTCCGCTCCAGCTGTGTTGCATTTAACTTACAGCTTGATGTAACAGTGTATAGGATGACTGAGGGAAAGATGACTGTTGTCATCGGAGTATCGTCAGTATGTTGATCTCTTATCTCAGAAGCAAACTGAGTGTCCTTGTTCATATCGACCATGATTGTTGATATCAGACAGCTGCAGTCCACTAGCAGCGATATTCTGAGTATTTGCCCGAGATTCCGGCTACTGGTAATAGGAAAGGTCTGTTCCTGTCATTGTCTTCAAGCATAGACGACTCACGTACCCACTTCGTAGAGCGGAGTAGGAAAGTCATCACTGATCCAACATGCATTCAAAATAGATGAAGTAGTTGAGTCCATGGATTAGTGCCACGTGGTGACAGTTTCTGACGTTCACCTGTCCTTTACAGCATGTTTCTGAACACAGGCGTGGTGAAGCAGATATTGAAAGGGAATTTATTGCGCCAGAGAATGAACGATTTGTACTCCACGATAGTCAGGGGTTTGAAGCTGGCGATGGTGAGATTTTTACGACTGCAAAAAAGTTCATTAGCTGCCGACGCGAAATGCCCGAACTGCGAGACAAAATTCACGCGGTCTGGTATGGTCTTCTAGCTTCTGCTGTCACTCTGCCATACTGACACTGCTTGAAGGCTCTGCCTCTCGATACCTCATGCCAATGGGCGCTTGCTTGAGAGTGGAGTAGAGGAATTCCTCAAATTGAGGAAGGAAATACTAGGCAACAGTACGCAGCATTCATATTTCGTTTCTCATAACTCATATCTTAAATCTAGTTCCGATCATTGCTGTCTTCACCAAGCATGACGTTTTTGTCGATGAATTGGAGCTCGCCGCCGCCGAATCAGCCGAATATGAACCAGCCGTGCTCGACAAGTTTAAAGTTGACACTTTGGATAAACTATGTATCCAGCCGCTTCAGGATGCAGCTGGGAGCGACATCCCTCATGCAACTGTTTCAAGTAAAGGGGCTTTACTTCTCTAGTTCTTGATGCTGACATATTATTATAGCGAACGAAGAGTACGAGAGCACCATAAGACAACTGGTCGATCTTACAACCACGAACGTCGAAAAATTTGTCGCCTCAGAAGCGGCATTAGCAATGATGATAGCCCAGCGAGTAGACATCGGTCTTAAAGTTAAGGCATCAATCGCGTACGCACGACCACTGTTATTCTAGTAAAGCTTAAATTTCACACTTTTACTCTCCACAGCATCGGCGAGAAAAGTTAGTCTTAGTCTTGTCAGTCTCCGGCGCCTTGTTGACTCCCAAATTTTTAGGATATTGGAGAGGTCTCGCTTCGAGCATGAATTTCACAGGCTTTACCATGCTGGACTGCTTGTCTGTGATTCACAAGGATATCATTGACGTTTGGAACTTCAACGACCCCCTCTGTGTAAGATGCATATCTAATTTTATGTCACAGGCTGCTGACATGTTTCTGCGAAGCACTTGGTCAGTGACCGGTTCAAAGAACTGATGCTAAAAGATATAGACAAGGTCGACCTTCCGCACACAGCGCAAGCTTTGTGAGTCACTAGTTATTGTACTGCGAGACGCTTTCAATTTACCGAAACACTGGCAGTGAATTTGGCCTCTCCGTGGTCGCGACAATTGCATCGATTTTGACCTCGCTAGCTAGTGGTCCGCTTCTACCAATTGTTGTGCCACTTGCCACGGGGGTGGTTGTGGTTAAATGGGCTTATGATACCTATCAACGGACGTAAGTGAATGCGCACTGTTTCCATCTGAAACGCAGTTTATAATGCGAACGATTTAGAAACGTTGTCTTGCGGCGGATTATGACGTACATCGTGGATTTAACATGTATCATGCAGATATTGTTCCTGCTAGTACCGACGGGGCCTGTTTCTCGTCACATCATCAAGATTGCCATCGAAGGCTATGGGAAGGCGTGCAAAGACAATATCCACTTGGCAATTCAATCCCACTGTATGTCTGTCACTCGTAGAGGGGACGATGTGCTGGATAAGATTGTTGAATTGATCGAGGGTCATTCCATCAAGCCTGAAGAAGTTCACGACCTGAGGATGCAGATTGGGCCCGTGGATTCGAAAGCAGACGAAGAGTGGTGACAGTGCGTGCCTGCATACATGACAGTGGCCAACGATTCTGGTTCCTAAAGCGTACCTTGTTCACTACGTGTATTTATGCGCATGCACGCGTTTACTTATCCACGTCACTGTGTGATATCTGACAGCATAAGCCACGTAACTTGAGCGATCGAGGTCACGAGTCCAACTTAGCGGTCACCAGAGGTTCCCGAGCACCAGCTGAGCGAAACTGTCGTTCTTTCCCTGAACGATACTAATCCCATTCGCTCGATCCGATACAGTTTCGCCTCCCTTCGCCTGCCAAGTCACTTTATTTTCCCGCTCACCCGGTGGTAATTTGCCAGCGTCGGAAACCGACTTAACGCTCTGTCTATTGCTCGCAGAGGGCTGCATCCTACGCACACGACAGCTTACCAAGGGAAAAGGATGTACCAATCGAGAGTAAAATCAAATCCAAATGTGGTTGAGAAGGAATTTCCAATTTCATAATTTCAAGTCACTCAGCCTGTCTTTCGCGGTCTACAACGCCTGTCACCTTCTGCTCCACGATGCAGGATGGTGTAGGAATGACGATTCATTGGGGAGAGAGTACTGACTCGGACACCTCGAACTCGCGCGATCCCCTCTCGATCAGAACAACGCACTTCTGTGGATCGCCATGCAGAACGTATCACTGGGAAGAAGTTACTATCCACGACTCCGACATTTTTCTTGATCGCTGCAATATGCGTGCAAATGCATCTCAGGAGTCAGTAGTACGCCTCAGTTCGATCAGTGGTGCAGGGGTACGGAATCTCCCATGCCTTGATTGCTGCGACCCCGCCACGGATCGCTTCGACTACGGAGTACACATGTATTGCTGTCACCGGCACTTTAAATTCGGATCCAATTCGAGAAGGGCATGTATAGTAACACATGAGGCAACATCCCTGCCTCGAGGCCTGGATTATAACTAACCGGCCAGCCCAGCCTCATGTCCATCCGCGCTTACTCAAATGTCTCCCCTACACAAAATTGAAATGCATCTAGATCTAACTTTCGATGCCCGTTATCGCAGGCCAATCATCTTCCAAGGTCTCTGCTCAACTTATGATTATGTTTTGTTCACTAACTACTTTTGTTTCTTGCCACATGACTGTTAGTTCCCTACCAAAATACCTCACTGGCGTTTTTGTTGACGTATCACGCGCTGTGGACGCCATCCGTTCGCCTGCCTACCCAGCTTAAATCCAGTACTACCAAAATGTTGCTAGTTCAGGTCTGTGGAGTGGATGTTGACTCAGATCCACTGCATATATCAGCATATGCTGAGGGATTTCCACGCTGTCTATGCCATCGATCGGTAAGCGCTCGTTCACAAGATAAGACTGAGCATTTATTCACCGGCGCAGTTGATAACATTAGCTGTCAAAGGGGCCTAACGATTGACAGTAGTCTCTGTCACTGCATTTGCACAAACAAAACGTGGTGCGTTATATCGAGATTGATGATCAACCTGTCTTCCCATAGTCACACTCAACCATGAACGTTGGTTGCTGGCTATATGCATCAGTTGGAATGTGAGTCAGTTTACCCTTTCACTCCAATTAGATTCAACGAATCAACAGGGACTAACTTCTACTTTCACCTTATGCGAGGGTCACGCTTGACAAGCGCGCGTGCTTAGGAAGACGATATTCGATAAGCTCCGAACACAAACTTGAAAGCACGTCAATAAGTACGAAGGTGACTGAAAGGGGTGTGAGGTCGTGAACCGATACGGATAATGTATTCATAGCAGCTGCATAGAATATTAATTATAATTACTCGTCATGAAAGTTTCTTCCGCTCGGCTTCTATGAACGCTACAATTTCCTGAACTTTAGGTCGAGCATTGACGTTGGTGGACAGACATTTCAGCCAATACTTCTTCTGACCTTCATCAACGCCGGTGAGCTCGCCGAAGGGCTTTCTTCCTCCTACTATCGCTGCTATCACGTGAAACGCCTGCATCAGCCGGAAGTAAGGTTGTTGACCACAAAGTAGCTTCGGAGTGTCAGACATGCACCATGAACGAAACAAGATATTTACCTGAAGCATGATACAACCATGAGAATATACATCTGCGGGCTTTGTTGGCTTTGTTGGCTCCCCTTCTGAATCGGGTAGAGCGACCATTTCGGGGGCCATCCAACGCACATTACCCGCGTGGCAGGAATTGAATGTAGGGTTTCCCGATTGTGCGAGGATCATTGAGAGACCGAAGTCTGCGAGGCAAAGCTTGTCGTCACTATTGATGAGTATGTTGGTCTAAATTCATGATATCGTCATCATTCAAACACACTAGTCCTGCAAACGATAAGATATCTACCGGTGTCAAATCGCCATGGACAATGTCCTTTTCATGCACTAAGGGGCTGTTTCAACCTGAACCGTGCGTGAAAAATTGGAATCACGTACAATACTTGAGACCAGATGCTATTTGGCGTGACTGCATTGCTTGAGATTCAGCTAGTCTTTTCAAACGTAAGCGCTTACCATGTCCAGCTTCTGGGATTTCGAAAGCCGGGTTTGTTGTTTCAGGTAGTTATCGAGAGACCCTTTCGTCATCCATGATGAAACGAATGCTGGTAAGACTCCGAAACCAGTTGTAATTCCGCGAAGTGAGAGGACATTATCATCTTTCAATTGGGCCCAGACGTAGGCCTCGCGTCGTATACCCTTTCAACCAGAAATAAGTGACGTTAATATGCTGTAATGTAAGACCTTACCCATGCAGCCTTTTCCAACGGCGCCGTTTGACTGGTGTCAGCGACCCTCACTACCTTGATTGCGACCTATAAATTTCAAACGAATCAATGTGGATGCATGCGTGGTTGGAGTTAGGCTCACTGTGAGAGGGGGATTACTAGAAGAGGTAGACCAGATGCATTTCCAGACATCGCCAAAGCCACCGGTGTAATTAGGAGCATCCTCGGTTTTCCTGAGTTGCGCCTTTGGAATCTCTTTGACCGGAGTCTTGAAATCAACGTTGTGTGGTGGCATCTTTATTTGTCTTGGATGAGTGTGAGTTCAAGTGATATATGTCGAATGGCCAATACAACTGGGGTATAAGTACGGGAGCGTTCTCCGTAAAGGACAGATAACAGATATAGATGATAAGCACATCTCCTGATCAAACGAGTATAACGCAGGTTATCGATGTTCGATGAAGAACATCACACCAGCAAGCGCCTACACTTGATCAAGTTCCGTGCATAGTCGGAGGCTCGGTCGACCGGTCGACCGAGGGCTAGAACGCTCAGGGCTCATCTATGGACCACGGACTTTTCAGATTCCATCGATTCCCGTCAATCTGCGTGCGAGGACGGTGTCTGTCCGATTTTTACTAGGTCATCTGATGACATACTTGTCCGAGTTGAGGAGCCAAGCCAGTGAGGACAGTAGGGTGGCTTTTGACACCATGTACTATGACCTGCTTTTGGGAAAATATTTTTGACATGTGATGAAACATAGTAAACGAACGAACGAGTCTTAGCACAGCGGCATGTTATCATAAGCGTTTAGCTGCAGTCGAAGTTAGAACATCCGAGTCATGATTCAGCTGAGCGTTACATGCATATTATTAGTGATACAAGAAAAGAATAAAGGCTTCACACCTTTTATTTGACAGTGCGAGCTCGAGCTCTGTAGGATATTCATCATGACGAAAAGTAACTAGCTTAATAGTATGTAATCAAAGAACTTGACGTCACACGTCGTTGTCACACAAAATTCAATGTCTTAAGTATTCCTCAGGAATCAGGATCGACATCCGACTCATCGATATCCAGCGAATGACCATTTCAACGAGCATTCGGGCATTCTTAAACTGTTACGGTGCTTCTTTCCATTCCAATTCAGCACCCACAATTCCTTCATGTCCAAACGCTGCAGCGAAGTTACTGTCTACTACAAGAGAACTTTTACATCTTACGGATACAACACTCGCTTTTCCCGGTTTATAGACCATGTCGTTATATATCTGCGAAAATGGCATAGGCTACTCCGAGGATTTTCACACCGGCAGAGAGCAGAAATAATGCCGCCTGTACCATGCACCAACACCCAGCATTCAATGCAATGTCCCACAATTCCGTCGACTTTTTTCGAACTGACTGGATCCAAGGTATAAAATCTTTTAATTTATCGGTGAGTCTCGGCTCGCACCGCGAGTCCTCATACTCACTGTATTCTTGCTAAAGCATAATGTTTTGTACGTCCAAGGCGCATGGTCACGTACTTCATCAGTTACACCACGACCGTTGACGCTATATAATCTTAATACCATATTAGGGAGCTCGCTATGAACAGGAGGAGTCAACCTGAAGACATGGCTCATCACAGTAGGCACCAGGACGGGAAGAGTCGAAGGAGGATCTAGTCAGACGGACCTGGATGGTGATTGCGACTCTTGAAGCTACAATAAGCTTTGTCCATTCTGCTCATGAGTCTGCATTCAAGGGATCTTGGGGCAGATCTTGTCGTAATCCGGTAAGACGCACGCAAGCCCTTCGGATCTAAGCGTATGTTGACCGGTACGTCTTATTTGATACCCGACAGGATATGCACTAATTTATAAAGTCTGATGAACAGTCGGACTTATCCGCAGACATGTGCCCAACCTGCCCCAAGCTATCTATGAGTACACAAGCTTCCACGACACGTTGCATCGGTTATGCCCTCAGTCCAACAAGCATGGCTCACGTTCAATTTCAGCCAACACGCGGGGCACCTACTGCTCGGTCACCCCTCAGTCATGCCCAGAACCACCATCTTTTGGGGGAAACTCCAAACGTGCAGTCCCTGTCGAGCACCACAACATGTCACTCACTTCAGAGGTGTCTCGCATCCCGACGTTCTCTTGTTTGCTCTCAAACATCTGAAGGATCATTCGTATGGAAGACCTCGGAAGATCAAACTCACCTCCATCTACAGAGATTTCCGATATCACTGCTTTTCAATTTCAACTAGACGGGTATGGAAGAAGGAAATTCTGTCATTTCGGACGTATTCTGATTGTTCATTGTAGTCCATGTCTTTACCAACGCTCTTAGTGTTCGACATCAGTTGTTGTGTAATCCTTGTGCTTTATTGTACGAACGAGTGAACAGTTCGAGGTGGAATTGATTGCCTAATGCAGGGAGATAGACGCCGTGTGTGACTGTTGTGTCATAAGCCACAGGAGCCCTCGCTTCGTGTTTCTTCACTGTTATCTCTCACAGTACAGCTTTCATCATAAACCAGATCACCTCTACTCCAGGACGCACACTAAGATCTCCCAATGGCAACTATTGACGCTCAGGTCCTCAGGGAAATGATTAAACAATTTCGAGTTCTTATCATAGGAAGAGCAAACGCAGGCAAAACGTCCATCCTTCACAAGGTCTGCAATACCGCGGATGAACCAGAAATTTACGATACCGAAGGACACAAGGTACGATCTATGTGATATGTGATGCACGGATTTATCGCTGATCAATTCTGGATAGTTCGATGCGGCCGTCGTGGAATCATCGATCAAGGTGCTTGCACAATTTTCCCTGCAGGCATACATGCGCTGACGGACGATCAGCGTGGAAATCACGACATTAGAAACGAGATGGTGTTCAGAAGCAATCCAGGTTTCGTCTTTCACGACTCATGTGGGTTCGAAGCGGGTTCTGAAGAAGAATTCGAGAACATGAAAAAATTCATCTTAGAACGGGCAAAAACGACAAAATTGGGGGAGCGAATTCATGCTATCTGGAACTGTAGACGATCTGATATTTTTTTCCTTGATTGCAGTTGTCCATTGTTAACAGCTGGTAAGCTTGCGGTTTATGAAGCTCAAACAGCATGAACAACACTGATAGTTAGCTCCTGTTCGCCTGTTGACAGAACGTAAGTGCCTTGATGGCTTATAGTCCTCGACCAATGCTCATGATCTCCATCCCTTGCTGCTGCTCGCCTGTTGACAGCCCGTAAGTGCCTTGATCGTTTCCGGTCCCCGACCGATGCTCATGATCTCCATCCCTTGCTGCTGCTCGCCTGTTGACAGCCCGTAAGTGCCTTGATGGTTTCTGGTCGTCGACTGATGCTCATGATCCCCATCCCTTGGTACTGCTCGCCTGTTGTCAGGAAGTAAGTGCATTGAATGGTTTCCGGTCCTCGACCGATGCTCATGATCCCCATCCCTTGGTACTGCTCGCCTGTTGGCAGGAAGTAAGTGCATTGAATGGTTTCCGGTCCTCGAGCGATGCTTATGACCCCCATCCCTTGCTGCTGCTTGCCTGTTGACAGAGAGTAAGTGCCTCGATGGTTTCCGGTCCTCGAGCGATGTTCATGATCCCCATCCCTTGCTGCTGCTCGCCTGTTGACGGAGAGTAAGTATCTCAATGGTTTCCGGTCCCCGACCGATGCTCATGATCCCCATCCCTTGCTGCTGCTCGCCTGTTGACAGAGAGTAAGTGCCTCGATGGTTTCTGGTCCTCGACCGATGCTCATGATCCCAATCCCTTGCTGCTGCTCGCCTGTTGACAGAGCGTAAGTGCCTTGGTGGTTTCCGGTCCCAGATGCTCATGATCCCAATCCCTTGCTGCTGCTCGCCTGTTGACAGAGAGTAAGTGCCTTGATGGTTTCTGGTCGTCGACTGATGCTCATGATTACCATCCCTTGCTGCTGCTCGCCTGTTGATAGTACGTAAGTGCCTTGATGGTTTCTGGTCCTCGGCCGATGCTCATGATCCCCATCCCTTGGTGCTGCTCGCCTGTTGACAGAACGTCAGTGCATTGATGGTTTCAAGTGCTTGACCGATGCTCATGATCTCCATCCCTTGCTGCTGTTTGTTTGTTGACAGCACGTAAGTGACTAGATAGTTCCTGATCCTCAACCCATGCTGACAATCGCTGCTGCTCGCCTGTTGACAGAGAGTAAGTGCCTTTATTATTTTCTGCCTGTGATCCATGTGCAGAAATCTTACATTTGTTTTTTCGGCAGGTGGTCAGTGGCTTTATCATATCTTGTCTCGAAATGATACTGAATAATATAACTTGTGTTCATAGCCTGATGTGAGCATCTTCTATTCTATCAGACGAGTCGAATCACGGTTGCTCATGTAATACATAGTTCGTTGAGTACCCCTCCCTGATGGCTTATTTTCCATATTCACATATCTTGTATATTCTCTTGCTCTGCACAGAATGTGAGTCGTTTTAACCTCATACTGTGAAGCATTAAATGTGTTGACCATTTTGACTGGTTCTTTCACTCTGTAGGATGTGAGTATATTTCAATCGCTCCAGGATCCTAGCTATCTAATCCCTTGTATCCATGATTTATTCACAGAATGTGTGTAAATCATGTACTGTCTGGATCCTATATTATTCCACTGACAAACAATCTTATTGAATCAGCTTGTACGTTCATGGATGATATATCTTCACCGTTACATAGTGGTGCTCACTTGGTTCCAACTCTTGACAGTTTGTAAGTTACCCGTACACACCTGTCATTGTCCACAATCTGGTGGTTGATTGTTTACAGCTGTCACGGTTCACCAAATAGAATGTGCGTCTCTGTTATTGACCACATGTCAATGTGTCACCTCATGATTCTGGCATTCCTCTCCCGCAGGATGCAAGTACTTTTCTCTGTGGGGTCGATTCTGATACCCACACCTTCAATCTGTTTCCAGGGAAATACCGAGAGAAGTGACATTATCCGCGTCCTTCAGCCTTTGGTAGGTTGGTTTTGCTCCGCATCAATCCTCAGCGCTGTAAGACTGTGCAACAGGCTGCCAAGAGATCATTGTTTACTGTTGCTACAAACAGAATCATGCATACTTGCATTGGTTAGTTTGCCACCACATGACCAGTTGTAGTTCTCATAATAGGAAGCAGCTACTATCATCGTCCTTGAATACTCTGCCTTTTTGCCGGTCAAGAACTGGAACAAGCTAAAGAGCATTGAGTCTGCCGTGGAATATTACCTGGAATCTCCGACAGTCATCGCTGTGGAGAAAGGAGCGAAAGATATTTCTCGTCAAGGCTATGGGGGAGAGGAACTAGAGAAGAAGATTTTTGAGTTCATACTCGAAAATCGCATGTGTACGTCCCTCATTTCGTTGCGAACTCGAAGTTAAACAACTGTCCATAGCAAAGGACTTGGCAGCAAATAAGTAGATGATTCTCGAGCCAAGTTTACCACTTCGTTCTGCGGTATACCCATACTATGCGCTCCTGTTGTGTACGATATATTACCAAGCACGCCAACTTCAACTATCGAACGGTGCGGGCTGTGATGTCTCCTTATTTTCGATGCTCTTCCCCGTGTTATGTACTACACTCGACACTTCAGCTTCACCTGCTGAACGCTGCAGACTGTATAGGGTTTTAACACCTAGTTTTCGCATCTCAGCATATCGCGTTCTGTTTTGTACTATTTAGACTCAGGCTTGCGCTCGTCAAATAATTGCCCTTCATTCTTATCTTCGATCATGAGAATTCGAGAACCAGCTTGGTATGCTTCAATGCCGAGGCAGACGGGTATGACGACTTACGTCGGGACAGCACGCCGCGTGCGGGAGTAAGTCACGTATATGAAACTCTGGGAGACCGTGGTGGATTTTAAACAAACAAATCATCCAAGAGGCAATCACAGCATTGTATCGTCGTCTCGAGGAAGGGAAAGATATCGGACAGAACACCAAGTGTGGGTCCAAGTGATACGTCGAATGGAAAATACAACGGGGGTACAGGAGCGGTCACAGATAACAGATATAACACGAGTATAACACGATCAATATTTAATGTGTGGGATATCAGCAAGCGCTTGTACTTAGTAAGGTTCCGTGCGTAGAGTTTCAATCACAGCTTTTCGGATAATCTGATGCACACGTTTAAATTTGTCAGAGTCGATGAGCCAAAAGGCCACGCCGGTGAGGACGGTAGCACGGCTCTTGACCACATGCTTGATTTCGGGCAAATATTTTGACACCTGTGACACAGCATAAACTTTGAACGTTCAAGAACCAGCACAGCAACTTTATGGTCGGCGTTTGACTGCAGTCGAAGTTTCGATAGAAAAGAATATGATTCTGAGCATAGCCCGCTAGTACACGTCACGGCAGCTGCGGCGTAGGCTATTATGTGGCAGTGCGGAGTCGTGCTCAATGAGTGACCAACTTAGGTTCACAGGTTGACCGAAGTGCTGTAATAATCGAAGTCGATCTTGGAACTACTAGTTCACAGCTCCAATACGATCACCTGTTATCATTGCGGATGAGTCACGCTCGTTAATTTTATCGTCGTCTGGTAACTCCGGTTCACCACCTTCGTCACCATTTAGCATCCGTCTCTACTTATTCCCCCCACTACACGCATTGTCCCGCTAGCATTTGTTTTAGCGCCGACATATCAACACCATGCTGATGGACCACGGGTATGTAATGGTTTGAGAGACGAACGACTCAGAAGAACAAGACTACGTTGACACTCTTCTCCTGAGTTGCTACCATAAACATAAAGGACCGATCGAATAGCTGTCCTCGTACACTATAAAGTGGAAACTGAAAACGAGCGATCGATACTTGTCGTATATTTCCATTATTATGATCGCCGTTGATGACATATGTCACCAGACAGAACGCAGTGACTGCGCGGAAGATCATGCTCTGAGAGGAAAAGCCGGCTATCATCATCGCTGGAGATGAAATGCATGACGGATCATAGAAAATACTAAATAACAGAAGAACTCACCAAGTATGAAACAATTCAGGGACTAGACAACAAAGGATACAGGCGTGACTATTGATAACAGGTAGGACAAGGCAAAATAGCTGCCTTGCTCGAGTTGCTGATCATATTTAGGTCAGCTGGTGTCAGAATCCGAACGGGAATAAGACTTACTTCTTGACACCACCACCGATCGGTGTGTTGCCAACGTATTGTGCTCAAGCCAGACGTCACTATTGCGATCACGGACAGCTTGAGGGATATAAATAATAGCAGACGGGGATGTTATAGTCGAAGTAGTATGGCACGGGAGAGCTCGTGCTGACCAAAGCAACACTTATGGCGAGGAAGACACTTGGAGTCGCAATATGTCACAGGCCAGTTTCGTCGAAAGCCAAGTGTGTAAAGCGCCAGGTCAGGTGATATTTGGCATGAGCGAGTGAGTACAATATTTACTAAATTCATTGATTCATTGAAATGGCGTTCAAAACACGCATTGTCTGCCCTATAGCTTAGCTTGGCTTATGTCCTGTGTCCTTGTCCAGTGTGCACATTGGAATCAGTGGCATGAACAATCTATTTACTACAATGTGTTAGTATAGACCACGAACGGAACCGCATCAACCGACCGACAAGTTCCGCGACATCGAAGACATCCCCTCGTGCTGTTCCTACTGGCGATCGATACTTGTGATATATCTCCATATATTTTCCATCACCATTATCGCAACGTTGACGAGATATATCGCTAGACAGAACGCAGTGACGGCACGGCAGACAGTGCTTTGAGATGAAAAGCCGGCTATCAACATCGCTGGGGGTAAAATGTATGAAGGATCATAGAAAAACCAAATAACGGAGTAACTCACCAAGTATGAAGGAATTCAGGGACGAAAAAACGAGCAATGTGGGCATTACTATTGATAGCAGATAGGAGAAGATAAAATAGCCGCTTTGCTGGAGTTGCTGGTTACATTCGAGTCAGCCGGTGTAATCAGTATGGCGGGAATAAAATTTACTTCTTGAATCCAGCGACGATCGATATATTGCCAACGTATCGTGCTCGAGGCAGACGTTATTGTTGCGATCATAGCCAGCATAAGTGACACAAACAACGAAGAGTACGAGCCAATTGTTGTATAATCAAACCATGGCGCAGGAGATCCAACACTTAGCAAAGCAATGTTGGCGGCAAGGAGGACACTTGCCTTTGCGAGTATGTTAGACTTCAGCACCAGTTCGCAATGTGGATAGCTTACCGCGCCAAAAGTGGTGGCAAGGATAGTGATCAACTTGTTCCTAGATGCTTCGAAGGCTTCATCTGATTGCAGAGAAATATAGTGATTATCGAATGATGGGTTTCCAAACGCCAGAAAACAGAGTAATCTCGTCGCAAGGGATATTGAACGATGAACTTCGGGGAGGGCCCGTTGTTCTTGGCCAGATCCTTCGTTGTGAGAAATCACGGTGTCACTGACTCCAGTATGGGAAGGCATGGTACCAGTGGTCTGTAGGCTGAATAACGTATCAAAGTTATAAAGGAAAAAATGGTGCAAGTTATCATACAGGGAAATGCCTGTGATAGATCCTGTTATTATTAGTGTCCCAGGAGTGTGGACAATTGCGACACTGCGCTGTAACATTGATGCAGGTCCTAGGACACAGCGTTGATGTTTTAATTGCATGTTAACGTTCTCGAAGGATGCAATATTAATGCTGTGAGATAGGCTGTTCGTCCGCATGTCTTCTATATTCGTTAATCATAGATCGAAAACCGTTGAGCCTGAAAATCCAAACCCCGTGGAATTCCCGATATCTAATACAGGAAGCAATATACGTGATGGACGAAGTAAGCGTGGGACAAACAGCCTCAGTGTCATTGTCCGTATTTGCTTGGGGGTTTTATGCATCACAGCACAGCATGCCTATCTTATCCACCCTTCGTATATAAGTATGTTAGGTCCAAGTATACCAATTAATCCTCTCAGCTCAGACTAGCTCGAATCTATCACTGCAAATTGTATTTGTGCTATGAGCAACGTAGGAGTCCTTTCGCGCGACTTGAAGTATGCTTGACCTTTTCAGTTCACAGGTGAATAAGGAAGACCTTGCAGAACATCCTCTTCCCGAAGCCCTTCGTCCCACGTCCCTTGCACTGAGAGTACTCTGTTTTCTGGCACTTGGACGCCCAGATTTTGATGATCATTGGACATCGCTGCAATCAGAGAGAGGCTTCGAAACCGTTAGGACCAGGTTGTGCTCTGGGCTAACCAGCACTTTCATCACGGTAAGCTATCCAACTCCACGCCCGTTGCGAACCGAAGCCGACGCTCACGTGCACTCACAAAGGCAAGTATCCTCGCTGTCAGTGGTGTCTTCATCAGTACGGCCTCTCCTGTGCCATACTTTGGCAATCCATCACCCGTTTCCTATTGTCTGGACTTTATTTCACTCATGTTGGCTATGATCGTGATGTTGACGTCCGGCTCGAGCATCATTAGTCGTCTACACAGCGATCGGCACTGGATTCAAGAAGTGAGTTTTATTCTAGCCCTGAGTATACCAGCTGACCTAAATATAATCAGCAACTCAAGCGAGGCAGCTACTTCGTCTTGTTCTATCTGTTGTCAATAGTCACGCCTGAATTCTTTGTTCTCTGCTCCCTGAATTGTTTCATATTTTGTGAGTTATTCCGTCATCTAGCGCTTTCCATGATCCATTATCCATCATTTCACCCATAGCGATGTTGATAACCGGCTTTTCTTCTCAAATCATGACCTGCCGTGCCGTCACTGCGTTCTGCCTAGTCGCGTATGTCATCAGGATTGGTATGATACTGAGGCGAGCTATGCGTAGGTATGCGACTTTGGACTCTGGCAGCCCGCTTCGACTATGATACCCTTTTTTTTCATTTGTCATCTCGGACTAGACTTGTGACCAGCCTGGCTCGTACCATAGACGGGTCGAGTGGCGTAGCCAGGCTGGATCTTGGAGAAGTTTGACAGGCCAAGCACGGAGTTGTAGGTGCCTGTCGAAGTAGCAGTGCTTATATGTACTAGTTCTATGCGCTCAGACGCTCATTATGCAATTCATAAATTGTTATCACCGACTACTGTTGTGGCGCTGGCTCGTACACGTCGGATTTCTGGTTTCTCGAGTAAGTGCTATTTGGTGTGGATTTATTTTGTGGTGACAGGTTCGTTGAGTTATTCGGCGAAAAGCCCAGAGTGCTTTTCCGGATCGAAACGAGGTTTCGGTGAACTGTGTTCCCCTTATTAGGTGATGGCACGTAAGCAAAGCAGTGCTGTCAACGTTCCATAGTTGACGACTGGATCTCAATCGTCCATCATGGCACCCTTCCTTGAAACAGTCAAGGTAAGCTCAAGGCTCACGTTGACGATGATTCACCGATAAATCTTTTTCTAGTCGTTTAAAGACGTGCCCATCACCGACGATGGTGTCAATACTGTCGCATTCCTCGAAGGTGGCGATGGTGTCGTTCGCATGCTTAGTGCGTATCACTACACCATTCACTGCATCGTCTGATCCATAATTTCAGAGGAACTCACTAGCCTTATGAGTTCGGTTGGCTCTGGAGCATTCTCACCCGTCATCAACGACATCCAGGGTAACATCACAGTAGGCGTCTCCAGGCAAGCGATCGACGATCAAATTACTCATCCAACTTTTCTATCAGAAAGTTCGTGCACGATACGATGCAGTTCCCTCACAGTCCGCGACGTTGGAGCAGCTGGTGACCAATGAGAAGAACAACAAAGTGGGAAGCGCGACAGAGGGCCTCATGTGGCTGCTCCGGTCCCTTGCGTTCACGGGAAAATCCCTTCAGCATGCACAGAGCAACCCATCAGAGGATCTCAAAGTCGCCTTCACGAAGGGGTATGATCTCACCCTCGGGCCTATTCACCGTGGTTCTGGATTCTTCAGTATTCAAGGAGCTATCATGAAAGCGGCAGGCTTGATGTTCAGCGTTCGTCAAACATTACTCACAATCATGGTTTAATTCTAACGTTGTGCGTTGATGTAGACTGCGATTGGATACTGCCCCCCTCGCAAGAGCTTCTACGAGAAGCTTGCAGCCAACCCAAATGGAGAGCCATGCTCGCAGGAGCTACTTGACAAGCAGCTCAACGATTGGATTACTGGTCTGGATACCATTATCACGAGGATGGACACGTTCTACACAAAGGGGAAGCATGGAGAGATATTCAAGTCTGCGAAGTCATAGATCAGCATATCGGCAATAAACTGCGCATTGTGCATTGTACGGATGAATCATCAGTGGTGTGCGTCATCGGACTCTTCTTTTTTTTTTTGCAAACATGTGGCCTTGAAGCTTGGAGTACTATTAATCTTCGAGATCGCTGTCAGGAAATGCGTGTTTTGTTCACTTAGTGCCCTGCCGTCTCCCGAAACAAGTCATCCATGTAAATCAGACATGCTCGTTAGCTCGGTGGATCGAGTATCAGTACTCGTATGAGGTGCGTCCGAATCAATCATAAACGTTAAACCATAAAATCAACACGTCCAAATCAGCTAAATCGACAAGATCGCGCTTACTGACATTGACCACTTTCATTCGTACCACACAGATTACGGAGCAAACGTACGGAAAGCACATCGTTTTGAGGAAGGTGCCTCTGGATCTCGCAAGTTTGAGCCTGTTGGTCGTAGAAATGAAGAATACGACCGGAAACGGCCGCTCTCGTTGATAAGTCTGAAGTTGCGATCATCCACTTCGCGCTTGACTCTGCTAGGCCGTTAGGGGAAGTGAGTATAAGGGGTGAGGTTAGGGAACTGGAGCTTGGAAGAGCTGAGTGTGTAGATTTGAGGCGTATATGCTAATTGATTCAGGCAGTTGGCTGAATTGACAAGTTTACAATGTCATTTTATGCGGTGCACAGCCGTGACAAGGTGTTACACTGTGTTCAGCAAAGACCTGTTTGGCATACTTTTTACAGCGCGGCAGGGATTTCTTTTCCGCATGCTCCTCGTCGCTGTAAAGTAGGTATGTAGTGACTACGCGTTGTGCAAGATGACGGAATAACTGTCCTTTAGCTGAAATGTTCCGATAATCAAGAATACTTCGTTGCTGCGATGGGGCATGCCACAAGTATGAATATTTGATCTATGCACAATGATATTTTGTTACACTATTTGTAACTGGAGTTGCAGGCTGGAGGAAAACTCAAGACACGGGGTATACGTACGAAACTCTAATGTTCAGTTCTCCTCATCTCCATCATAACCCCTTCCTCATTCCCACTCCAAATCCCTTCCCGGGACCAATCCCGATCTCCTTCCCCGTATTATCCTTCATCGCTCGAACGCCCCAAAACGCAAACCGACACGTTGACCCGCTCCCATGACCTGCTTTTCTGTACATCTGGTCGTAGCTGACGCTGAAGGAGAAGTAGCCTTCAAAAAGTTCCTTTTTCACAGCTTTGCTCGTCTTTTTGCCTGGGTTCGCTTTTGTCGAAGAATCTGCTGCCTCGCCGACGCAATCAACTGTTGTTCCATCGCCAACATTCTCACACTCTCCTACCTCGCCCTCCCCAACCCACACGCGTTTCATCTTCCATATTCCCTTTGCGTTCTTGACTCCACATTGAGGAGGGAGCCCCGCTTGGCCAATGACGCCCGGCAACACAGGACTATGATCAGGGGCCAGGAAGGAAGCGCGTTCGTTCGAGGTGAACGTGAGTTCTGCGCGATGTTTCAAATTACTTATCAGCACATCAAAAGGGCGCTCCATCATAGGATCGAAAATAGAAATGCTCTCTGCTCTACCTGTGTCGGAGCTGAGCGAGAGGAAGCACCGAGCAGTATAGTCGTGCTTGGACTGGTAAGCGAGGATTGTGTCGTATACTGCGGCGTAGTCGGGGGAAGTGCTTCCCGGTGGGAGGTAGGCTTTGATGAGGAAGGGGAGGTACATGCCATAGAGGTCGAAGTTGCCTGAGAATATGGCGGGAGGATGGGCATTCAATGCGTGAAGGGATTTTGGGAGAGGTGGGGGGATCATAGCCATCAGTGGCTTGTGCAAGACGAGTCAGCGGGATTCGTCTTTGGACCGAGGCTGGCGGGTAAACATACCTTTTCTGGTGGCGGCGTCGGTGTTCGCACTGGCCGGACGCGGGCGGTTTGACTATTGTTGGGGGTTGGAAGTGGGACGGATGGTCTCGAGCGTTTTTCAGGGCGCGATTTTGTAGGGACGGCGGATCCTGAGAGCGCACGGGCGTTCATGAATGGAGTCCCGCGTGATGCTGAAGGTTGGCGATGTGGTTTTGTGAGACCGCCCGAGGAGGATGGTTGGAGGATCTCGGAAGGAGAAGGGGGTTCGCTGCGTGAATATGAGGATGATTTAGGCTGTACCACTGGTACGCGTAACATGTTAGCAGTGCCAACGGGTGATGGAATCATGGATGTATGTGATGGTGCAACGATATCGTTTTGGAAAGTGACTTGGACGCGTCGTTGTGTCACGTGGTCAAGAAATCAACTCGCGTGTGCAATTCTTCCGACGCCCATGTCATGTGGAATCTGATATCTGAAATTGTACGCATGCACCTGTTCTGAATTTGTCGGCGCTGATATCAATCTCCAAAAAAGAACTGCTATTGACCACATGAGCGTGCTGCGCTCAGCACGTGTTCAACTACTGTCTCCTTCTATCAGTACGCACACCTCCAGACCCGGATCATCTGCCCCACAGTATAAACTTCTTGGGAACATGAATCCCCACATTGTCATCGGCGGTCGCCGCGTATCCCTCATCTCTCGCGGTCTTTGTTTCCAATATGATGGCTCGCGTCTTCTGTCGACCCATCGAGAAAGCTCACAAGGACTCTGGACTCCCATATGGAATATTGCATATCCTATCATGATTAACCAACCAACGATTCATCCTCTAAATTGCAATATCCGACTTATCGTAGCAGTTTTCACTGCTACTCCAGACTTGCTCCACGAAAACCATAAGAGACACGGCAAATTCTCGGTATCGGAGAAACCTCGGAAATGTCACGTGTGGACTTGATAGTACCAATGAACGGTATATATGAGAGTACGGAGAGCAGACAAGTCCAGTCCATTCCTGCCTTTCGTCCTTATCGCACTCACAGACCTGTGAGAAGCTAGACTCGTCGTTACAATCCAGATCTCACTTGGACTCAAAACCTGTCATGCCTTGGTCAGATTTCGCAAATGCAGACGTGGATGATATCGTCGAGAAGCTCACTACAGATGAGGCTATCCTTCTCACCGCTGGTGTTGGCTTCTGGCACACACATGAGATCGCCCGCCTTGGGATACCCGCCGTGAAGGTCAGCGATGGTCCCAACGGTATGTCAGATCCGCTGCTCCATCAAAACGCGATGATTCAGACGCATATGTGCAGGTATCAGAGGAAATCACTTCTTCATGAGTACACCAGCGAAGTGCCTGCCTTCTGCCACTGCACTTGGAGCTACCTGGGATACAGAATTGATCGAGGAAGTTGGGTTGAAATTGCTCGCAGGCGAAGCCAAACTTAGGGCTGCACCTGTTATTCTTGCCCCAACTTGTAACATCCAACGCGTATGTCTGCTCTTGCCATTCTTTCATGTGCACTCGTTCATGACTAGCGAACCGACTGCAGAACCCTCTAGGTGGCCGTGTAAGTCCCATACCAGAATCCAGCTCAAATCCCATCTGATTTTGTGCTCCATTGTACAGGCCTTCGAGAGTTTCTCAGAGGACCCGCTCCTATCCGGTCTCATTGCGGCCGCGTACGTTAAAGGTGTTCAAAAAGGCGGCATTGGAAGTACAATCAAGCATTTTGTGTATGTCCCTCTACAGTCATCCAATTCCGACCTTGCATAAAATCCGCTTCATACTAATTCGGAATTCATACAGGTGCAATGACAAAGAAGACGATCGTATGGCATATGACTCGATCCTCAGCGAACGCGCGCTTCGCGAGATTTACCTCATGCCGTTCATGCTTGCACAGAAATATGCGAAGCCGTGGTGTTTCATGACTTCGTAAGTTCGGATTTCGTATGGTGATTCTCCTGGAGTACAGGAGAATGACTTCAACACGTACTGATTTGCATTTTCATATTTTAGGTACAACCGTGTCAATGGCACCCACGCCTCTGAGAATAAGCATCTCTTGCAAGACATCCTGCGCGGCGAGTGGGGCTTCGAGGGGCTTGTCATGTCCGATTGGTACGTCTCTATATGTATGGTCGAATAGTGGCTCATGTTGCATACGGTGAGTTAGGTTTGGTATTTACAGCATAGACTTGAGTATCAATGCTGGTCTCGACCTCGAGATGCCAGGCACCAACAAATGGCGCACCCTTGATCTCATGAACAGGTCTGTTGGCTCAAGGAAATTGACCATGAGGACTGTAAAAGAGCGCGCGCGCAAAGTTGTCGAACTTGCCAAGCGCGTCGCTCAAGAAGCACCGGAAGTCCGTGCATTCATATTCCGTTGCATGCTCTTTATTGATGACAGATGCTCGTAGATCCTCGATGGAGATGGTATCGAACGCACTGTCGAAAGCGCCGAAGACACAGCTCTCATGCGCAAAGTCGCAGCAGAATCCATCGTGTTGCTTAAAAACACCAACGCCCTCCTCCCTCTCAACCCCAACAAGATCAAAAAGATTGCCATTGTCGGAGGAAATGCAAAAGCTGTCGTACTTTCTGGAGGAGGATCAGCGTCACTCAAACCATCGTACTTTGTGTCCCCATACGATGGTGTCACCGCTGCGCTTCCTCAAGGCGTAGAAGTTCTCTACAGCGAGGGTGCTAGCAGTACGTGGTTTTATTGTTTGAGAAGAGCTGTGTTTTTATTATTCATTCCCTCAACAGCCTACATGGAGATGCCCACACTCGACTACGAGCTCTTCACACCCTCGGGCGAGCGGGGCTGGATTGGTACGTGGTACGCACATCAAGACGACGAGAGCATGGCTGCACTGAACACGCCCTACTCGACGCGCCTGGTTGACGAGACGAGGATATTCATCAGTACATCCGCACCCAAGGGTATCACAAGACGTTGGACGATGAAACTCGAGGGTGAACTGAAGCCCCGCGAACGCGATTGTTTGTTCGAGTTCGGCTTGACTGTCGCTGGAAGGGCCAAGGTGTGCTACCATATCCACATTGCTATCATTTCACTAAATATTGGAATTTATAGCTCTTTGTCGACGGTCAACTTGTCATTGACAATTGGACACGCCAACGCCGTGGTCAATCCTTCTTCAGCACCGGTTCCATGGAAGAAAAAGGCCGTGTGCCACTCAAAGCCGGCGTCAAACATCGCATCCTCGTTGAGTTCTGTAACGTCCGCGCACCAGCAGACGGTGATGAAGACGAGATGGTGATGGATAGCAACCCCGGCGTTCGTCTTGGTGGTGCAGAGGTGATCGATCAGGATGTAAAGATGGCCGAGGCTGTGGAGATCGCGAAGAAGGCTGATGTGGTTCTTGCTATTGTCGGCCTGAATGCGGATTGGGAGACGGAGGGGTATGATCGGAAGACATTGGCACTGCCTGGTCGTACAGATGAGCTGATTGAGAAAGTGTTAGCGGTGAACCCCAACACTGTTGTCGTGACCCAATCCGTGAGTGCAATCGAGATGAGGTTTTGGCTCCCGTCGAATTGACTACGTGTTTACGCTAGGGTTCATCTATAACGCTTCCGTGGGCGGATTCAGTTCCTGCGATCCTTCATTCGTGGTACTTGGGTAACGCGACTGGCGACGCAATTGCGGATGTTCTGTTTGGCAAGAAGAACCCGTCGGGCAAGTTGTCCTTGACTTTCCCCAAGAGATTGGAAGATGTCTCTGCCCACGGACACTTCAACTCTGAAAACGGTGTCCTCCGTTACGGCGAGGATCTGTTCGTCGTAAGTTCGATCCATTATTAGATGATGTTGTTTTACGCTCAAGTCCTTTGGCAGGGCTACAAACACTTCCATCATAGAGGCATCAAACCACAGTTCTCGTTCGGGTGAGTAGTTCAGTTCAAGTAGACAGAAAGCCGTAGTTGATTGATTTCGCATCGACAGTCATGGTCTCTCCTACACGACCTTTTCTTACTCGAACTTGACACTCTCCGAGGCAACTGTCTCGAACGGCGAATTCAGCCTGAGCGCCACCGTGACCGTGACCAACACCGGCAAGTTCGCAGGTTCCGAAGTCGTGCAATTGTACGTCTCGATGCCCACCACGTCTGATGTGACGCACCCGCCGTTGCTCCTTCGCGCCTTCCGCAAAGCCAAAGACCTCCAACCAGGACAAAGCGAGAAGGTGACGTTGACGCTGGACAAGTATGCTGTGTCGTTCTGGGAGGAGAGGATCGAGAGGTGGGTGGTCGAGAAGGGCGTTTATGGCGTCAAGGTGGGCAGTAGTTGTGATGAATTGCCATTGGTTGGCAGCTTTGAACTTGGGAAAGGGTTCGAGTGGAACGGCTTGTAAGCTTGTAGCGATGCAGATGTATTTTTGTAAAATCACGATTGTGTTCGTTTGCATGCCCTTTCTAAGCAGGGATGTTCATACGAAGCCGGACTGCGAGGCCAGAGAGCAGACCGTGATTCTAATGAACACCAAGCTCGGTATTCATCATAGTATTTAATAAGTAGCTCCTGCGCAGAAACACACTTGAAGATAGACTGAGTAAGGACCTCGAGAAGTTCTATGGTTTTTCATCGACACAACAAAAAAGCAATAGAACTTGTCGAGTTCGATGTTAGTTAACCTATCGTTCTTGCCCTCGTGCCAAATGCATTCCTCGCATTAGACCAAACGCCATGAGCGTTGGGCAGCGACTATCTAGCAGCATTCTCTTGAGTCATTCCACCACCATCTGTAGGCGCTAGCGAGACGCGTTCAGTAAGTCTCATAGAACAAAAAGTACGGAGGCGTGGTGTGAGACGGTACGAACTATAATACGAGACCATGAGATTAGGTAACAGAGCCGGGGAATGGACGCGCGGAGAGGTCGAGAAGCAAGAATTCGCCAAAACTGTTGCGTTACATGTGGTATCGATGTCAAGAAGGTAATACGAAGTCTAAAAGGTAAAAGGACTTAACGCCGACACCATCTTAGGTGGACTATAGGGTGATAATCAGCGTGAAGGAAAGAGGCGCAATATTGACAAACAAAACACCTAAAGGTCGTGACCAGGCAAGTAATTTTCTTGGACATGGTGGGAACACTTTGAGCGATGATAATATAGGACATAGTAAACATAGGGTATATCCTCCAGGCTGTCGATAGGCAGGGGAATGTTCCAAAGAGGAATATCCTTGGCGTGTGCATCACAGAACACACAACCCTTCTTGATTGATCGCATATCTCCGCTCATCGACGGTGTTCGCGCACACAATCTTGACAGTGAAAATATGACTGTAGTCACCACTTGTGATCATGCAGTTGAGGTTGCATTCAATACTGCGGTGGGAGACTGGTGGTCCGACAAGGATGAGCGTATCAGCGGTGAGCAGCTCCTCCAGGAGGACGTTGCACCTGATAGTGTGCAGGGGTCGCCATGACGTGTGACCATCGAATACCTAGGGTTGTTCCAGTTCTCCCGTATACCTACTATGACAGGCCCTTATATAATATGACAAGTGTTGCCAGCAGTGTTGTTCTAAGCCATTGGCCGTTGCGGGGGTGAAATCAAAACAGGTTGTGACATGATTCCAAGAACTGAACCTTGTTAGACGCAAGACATTGACCGCTTCACATTGCTATCTTTTGACTGAATGCTGACATCCGTAGTTTTTTGTCGACGGTGGACGTGCCAGCCAATCCTTTCTCAGCAGTAGTTCCATAGAAATAAGAGGCCCGGAGTGAAAGCTCAATCTCGTTGAGTTCTGTGTCATCCTCCGTTGTACTTGTGGGGATCCGCCCGTCGCCATTCAAAGGATTTGATTCGGGTTCGAATCGTTACGAGCACTTCCATAATGAAGGGTCCGACTCGGAAGTCGTGCACCCTACGCGCCTTCCTCGAAGCCAAAAAAACTTCAACCGGGAGAGAGCGAGAAGGTTGATCTGATACTGGAGAGGATAAATGGGGCGTCAAAGCTGTGATGAACTGACACCGTTGTGACATGAGGACACGTGACACGGCACGTAACGCCCGCTGTCTCTGATTGGAATGTTCTCTGGTTGATGCGATTTGCCTATCGGTGAGCGGCAGACATCGCGCCGGATGATCAAGTCGCATAAAATCCAATGAGATCGAAGTTCTGACACGGCGCGCCCGGGTCGTCATGACCAACCGATGTACTTTATCAATCAAAAAAGATTGACACTCCACTGCGGAATTTGTCTGATTGGGTGGACCCGCGGCACTTGAGCGTCATTATCGATTTTCCATCGTGATCCCCGAATTGGTGATCATTTGTGCCACATATTCTGCACCGTATAACCATTCCTACTGCTCCGGCCGAAACCCCAGGGCTGTCATGATTTTATCACCGAGCAGCCCCAGTTACCCGTTTCGAATTCCGGTACTTGCTAACATGTGCGGTCCGAGTCCATATCGGATTTGTGATTTTATCCCCCCAAGAACGTGCTTTGGGGCGATTGCAATGATCATTTGTAATATTGGATCGTGTTTTTCCGGGTGGGTTACGACGTATCCACAATCCGTTCCGTCCCCGGGTGGGTATCCGCGTAACGCTCATCCGTGTCACTCCCTAGCTGCTCTCAGTGATGTGGCTTGGATCTCTCCTCTGCAGCTTTTCGGACGAGCGCTATTAGGAATAACAAGTAAGTTACCGAACACGTCTGCCTTGATCAAGATGTCGTCCTCCAGCGGACGTGTACACCTCATGAATAACAGAACCATTGGCCAGTAGGGTTTCTGCATGGGTTTCTCCGAGATCTTGGCTTCTCAATCGAGACGAGAGGAGTTCGATGCTGCCAGTCTCCAGTACATGAATTCTCATGTCAATCGTAACATCTAGAGGCAATCTCAGATAGTAACGCATGGCATGCAACACGCGCCTCCACATTCCTACATTACACCGGTGGCCGCAGCCTGGAGCAGCACATGTACACGTACATATCCTTGTCCGGGAGCATTATGTGCTGGGCTATTTATGATGGCGCAACTTTGAGCGAAAGAGCTCGTCAACCTTCTAGTGCTTGTCTTTGCGGACCTGATCGACCACGGGCGGTACCTCATTTGACAATGTGCCTTGGGGAACATCATGATCTTCTTGCGCATCTATTGTAAGTAACGGTCAACAGTTCATGTCACTGAAACGGATCATCGTGCACCGACCGGGCTTCATACAATCTAGACCATATCCCACAACAAAAGTGGAGCCAACTTGAAATTCTTGCATTTCTCGGGGTAAATCACAAATCTGTAGTGGAGGCTACACTAGACAGTTCGTACTAGCCGAGCAGCGCATGTAGTCTAAAAAAAGAGACGCAGTAAAGTAGCGGAAGGGCACCGAGCGCCCCAAAGATATAAGCTAGAGTTCAGCACCTTACTCTGCGTCCTTGTCACAAGAAAACAGATCAACATATGTAATAAACAGAAAAGAGCGACGACAGAGCGGACATCGTATGGATGCAAGTCCGCGGCAAAGTAAATACGGCGGATTGCTGCAATGAGATCTTCTACTCATTTGCAACCTGCGTACGAGCACGTGAGCAAAGAAAAAACAATATAGGTTATCGGAATACGTACCCTGAGTACACGGTTGTGTTGACCGTAATCCTCGTCGTCAGCGTAACTCATACGCGGAGGACCATCCTCGTGGTAATCTTCTCCCTCGACAAGACCGTGAGACTGACCAGGGGGTGGCGACGGGGAAGTCTCATGAGGAATAGGAACGCCAGGATTCATCAGAGGCTGAGGAGATGGTGCATTAACAAACCCGGTATATGCATCTGCGAACTGGCTATCATTCCGCGGGGGTGGCTGGTATACAGGCTGGAGGGGCATAGCATAGTTCTCGTTCGACGAGTGCCCCTGCGAGCGCATACTTCCATGTGTCTGACGGGTATATTCCGAAGGCCGGCGGTTAATATATGCTCCATTGTTCGCAGCGGTCATGGCGGCAACTCCAGTTCCCGCCAGACCAGCGCCTTCAAGCAAATCCATACCGCGAGGTCTGAATCGCCCACTAGGGGTGTGATCCAACATCTCGTGGGGCTGTGGGCCAGGACCAGCGAAAGCATGGTATGGGGTCCTGCGACTTGGCTCACGAGCAAGGTTGCCTGCACCAACGCCAGCGATACCTGGTGTACGCTGGGTTTCACTGTCATGCCTACTCCGAGCCCTTCCCACGTCAGCGGTGGCGAGAGATACTGCTCCAGCTGCATACGGATCATACTGCGTCATCTCACTCATACCATATGTGTCATTGGGAAGACCCATCGGAGCCTGGGTAAAAGTCCCGTGGGTGGTGTCGGAGTAGGGATATCCGCCGCCGCCGCCGCCCGAACCGCCATTGTTAGAGTATGTGTAATCATCGAACGGCGAACGCGAAGAGGCAGCCGCCTCTGCGGCTGCTTCCGCAACGTCCCTGTCAAACTTCCGAGCACGACGACGGCGAACGGCGTTCGTCACAAGTGCGATGAAAATCGCAACAACGATCAGACCAACGACGGTAAACACACCGGCAACAGCCCCAGTATTTGAGAAGAACCTATCACGGTGGCGGCGATGTCAATGTCGTGAGAACGTGTTTCAAAGATCGACTCACGAGTTGGGTGTAGTGGCAGCATTATCAGAGGACGTTGAAGAAGGAGTGGCATTTTCAGTCACGGAGGTAATAATGGTAACTACAACACCGTCGCTGGTTGATGTGTAAGCAGACGGAGTAAGAGTGGGTGTTGGTGATGTTGTTGTTACTGTGGGAGGAGCAGTAGTCGAGGCAGAACTGCTGGTCTGGGTGCTTGAAGAGCTCGTCAAAGAAGAACTGCTTGTTGACGTCGCGGACGAGGCTGAGGTCGTACTAGTAGCACTGGTCGGCGAGGTCGACGAAGAAGGAGGAGTAGTACTGCTGGGTGTAGTCGTCGGAGTAGAAGACGACGATGTAGTAGTAGGCGGCGTAGTTGCTGGCGTTGGGGGAGTGCTGGGCTAGAGTTCCAGCAAACTGGATCTAATACGATAAATGAAAGAACTCACCTAGAAGGTGCAATTGTGGGGGGTGTGATCGTCACTGCATGGAGTGCTTTTTGATAAAGTGTACGAATTCCAAGCACGTCATGAACTTACGAGGAGGATTGGACATTGTCTGAACCTAAATGAGTGGATCTTTTGGAAAGATCAGAACTTCAATAATTCAGGAATCGGTGTCGACCTGCGGTTTGTGCCAGCAAGATCAGGTGGTTGTAGTCAACGAACAACACGATTCGCGTGCATGAGAAGTTTTACCTTTGGGCTGTTTGAGAGGCAGTTAATTAACCACGCCTTTGTTGTTCATGCTATTACGTAATACGCGGGCAACGGCTTTAAGTGGGAAGACACGTAGCACGAGGCCCAGTCCTAGCCCATTAAAGAGCGTGGAATACGAACCCCACGGCGGACATGCGCGATTACACTATGAATACAACCAGCCTTAATCCCGCTTTCGCTTTTTCTGTCGAGGGGCGTCCTCCTGCTCGCCTTCTTCTAAACTCCCATCCTCTTCCACCGGCATACTCTTTAATCCCTTCATCTTCCGCGTTTGGAGCTTGTTGAGATCCTGCTTCGCGATATGCACCCGTCCCCTCAAATCGCCCATTTCGTCCACTTCCATATTTTTCTTTTTCTTCCCAAGACCCTTCTCCACGTCCTGTTTCTTCAACTTTGGTCGTCTCATGGCAGCTTTCCACATCTCTGGATCAGCGGCCTGATGACGTCTCAATGAAAGGTCAAGAAATGGGCCCATCTCCGTTAGCTCTACTCGTGGTACACGCGTTCCCGACGGAAGTAATTTCACGGTGTACGTCCGTATATGGATCTTGGGTAGATTTTGGATATCCTCTTCCTGGGAGTCGCCTAGAATAGGATTTGCCGTTTGTAGCGAGGGAGCAGGTGCGATGCTGACGCTGATTACATGCTCCAATCCTGGTAAACATATCGAATCGATGACTTCTCCATTGAAGAGGTCCATGAGCAAGGATTTTACTTGAATAAATCGTGGATGGGTATCGAATAGTTCTGATGCGAAATGCATCATGGGCTTATGTCCCGGTGTTGATTTTGGTGTCTACCGCCCATAAGACTTTTAGATTACACGGCAATGGAAGAAAAAAACTCACTTTGAACTCTGCCATGCTGACGAACTTGTCTACACCGAATTCGCACATATCCAGTACTCTCGTGTCGAATGTACGTGCAATAATAAGACCTGCGGGTCTCTTTTTCGTAGACTGGCCCACGAGGAACATGGACGCATCATTTTTGCCTGCCCAAAATTCAAGGGACGAAGCGTCCTCAAAGGGGTGAATGGTGTTTTTCTTCGAGAACGATATTGCGTTTGGTCGTTTGAGCGCCATCTAATTGATGATTAGTCTCCAACCTTGAAGACTTTTGGACGATACACACAAGCTCTTTCATCACACCGTTCACAATCTCTCCTGTATGCGTTCCCTTTACAAATATCGCTGTCCGAACATCTTCGACTTCCTTGGCTTCACGGGCTTCCAAAGCCCGTTTTGACCTAGCATTGCGTGGTTTTCTACAATACACCCTTTAGCAAGCGCACAGCTTTTTGAGATCACAGGGACTTACACCGTTCTCAACATACTCCTGCCAAAAAATCACTTCGACGTCCAAATTGAAGTCAGTCAGCCACAATCAACCTTCCATTCTAGGAAAATCGCAGAACGTTGTTGTGTCATGTTTGCTAGGTTCAGCTCTCCGACTTTCTTGCAGCTTGCTACGTCACTGACACTATGGCAGTTTTATTTGTTGCACCTCCATCTCATTGCGAACATACCAGTGTCTGGAAAGCCACAGGGTGATGTCGGCATACATTCTATAATAAAAATGCCGGCCATAACCATCTTGATGACTATTGATACTAACTTGGCTGTGTACAGTGATACTTGCGTCAAAGACGGGAATGTATTTATCGTCTTTATTCACGCCTTGGAAGAACTACGCAGCTATGCCATTTTCATCACTCCAATTCTCAGGATCGGTGCATTTTCACTGGACTTGTGATGGTAGGACCCAAGCCTGAGCACAGTCATCTTCTGCGGAATGTGATGAAGAGAGCGGACTGCTCATCAAGCAAGTTCTCAGGATTGGTGCATTTTCACTGGACTCGTGATGGTAGGATCCAAGCCTGAGCGCAGTCATCTTCTGTGGTGTTGCTTGGAAACTATCCGAGTTATAGCCCTGGATCCGCCACTGAACTCAACTTCTACAATCGTTGACGCCGTTTTAAAAAACGCCATCGACCTGTGAACAAGGACGGCTTCGCGGTAGACAGGAAGGCGTTCTGCGTGAAAGTCGAAACCCTAGGCAAAGTCACATCAGGGATTTCCCGGTTCTTTTCCTTCGTCCATGTTGGTCGCATTGTCGGCAACCGGCACGAGTAAACACCATATAGATTGATTTGATGCAACGAATGGAAAGTATCGCATCTAACGCGGAGTACTACGACTCAGAAAATAGCCAGGTGACAGTTGAAACGTTGAAGCTTTGAAGGTTGACTGGATGATGTCTTGTCCAAATTCGTAGAACGGTTCCGCGAACCTTTGCGAGTGTCGCGAATTGAATACGGCACTCTTTGCAATGTGCCTTTTCATTACAACAAAAAGTGTTCCTTGACGCACATCCTGATGTACCTACCGATGTTTACGGGGAAAATACACACCGCTGATCCATGGAAAAGCGTTCACAGCCGCCCATTACATAAGTCACTGGCATCTACCGCGTTCTCCGTCTTTCTCACAACAGAGAAAGACGCCACCTGATGTCGACGAAAGTTCTCCAAACCCGTGGTTCAGTACCATTGATCGTGTAGAATACCGTATCAAGTGTTTTTAGTTTTCTGGGAAAGTTCGTCCCTGAATGGCATGTCTTCAAGTGGTGTATGCTACATCTCGTTGATCAACAATCTGTCAATCAAGCAGAGTTCACATCAATCCAAAGAAAATTATTTTGATGGCACGGCCCGTGATAGTATTGGTTACCACCTGCTCTTGCATCGTGCAGTTACAGAATGGTTACATACATTGGCCGCCGCCGTCTCCAAATTTCTCAGTGGCACGGCTATTCAAGCTCCGTCGGAAGACGAAAAAGCCTAGAGTGGCTTCAAGATTTGAACTGCACCCGCGAGTAAAATAATTGCAAAGAAATAAACAAAACCGTATGGAATAAAAGTGAATGACGGACAAGGGATGGCTTTGTAGCACCCACACTGATTATCGATCATACTATCAAGCTGACGTGACCATGCAGTCCGGAAAATTTCAGAAGAAAATTTAACTTGGTAGCTCATGAATCAATCCGTCGCAAAGGAAAACTGTCTTCCTTCTACCTAGATCAACATATCGGGAAGAGACGGGGACCTGAGCAGTAGATCAGTAGCGTTAGTACCCCAAAACGGATCCAACATCTAGAAGGGGTTAGTATATTTAGAGTTTACAAGAGGGGTCAAGGCAACATTGTTCTACGGCTCTTATTCTATTTTATTCTATTCCTAGGATAGTAGCCCAGGCCCAAGGGGGATTTGCAACTCACATCGAGATGTTTGATTGTGGCGAGTTTAAGTAGCCAGTCCATTGTGGGCAAGCATCTTGATGCAAGGGGTGTGTATTTACTTTGGAATATACGACAAAAGATTACGAGAACGAGGCGCTACCTTAGCAGTACATACAACCTCAACGAAACCCAAGGTATAAACAACACTACCACAAATTAAAACAGATTGGTATAGGTGAGTGCGAAGATATAACGATGAAATACTTGTACTAGAAAGGGTTTGAGTCGCACCGACCGAGCACGGAGAAAAAAACAAACAAGATAGGTAGGTAATCGCGCTGCCAACAACAAACACCAATGTTCGTACCCCCCAATTAATAGGGATATAAAGTCAGAAGATATGAAATTTTATTCCCCCACGACCGTCACACTTTCATTCCAACGGCGGCAGCGGAGGAGTATGGAGATGTAACTGGAGATTCCCTTCCTCGCTTTGATAGTGCTGGAGGGGTGGCCCCATTGGATGATGGGGATGACGAGTTTGAGTGTATGCTGACGGATCGAGCAACGGTGGCGAAGGTAACCCCGTGTGGTTGGGATCGTGGGCTGCGTGATGTGTCTGATAAGGGTGAAGATGCGAAGTTTCCTCTGCTAGCTGAAAGTATGGCCCCTGCTGTTGATGCCGATGATATGTCGTGCCGAAATTGTGGAGAAATTCGGCCTCCCCCGAGCGTCGCCGCGCCTGTGCTATACGCTGCTGCTGCTGGAGCTGTTGGCGTCTGAGCTCCTGGGAGTAGTGAGTAGCTTGAGATTGGTGTTCTATCGACGAGTGTGAGGGATGATGCTGATGAGATGATTCCTGATGCGGTAGTCGGCCGTGAAGCCGTTCCTGTTGCACCGGGTAGAAATGATCGTATTCCTGCATCTGCATCTGCGTCGTTGCAGAGTTCCAGGACGGTGAGCCTTCGAGACTGAGGCCGTGACTCTGACCCGTACTCGTACTCTCCAGGCCCTGAAAGCCCGCTGCTGGATTCTCGACGTGGGACATCATCGTCTGGTCCCGGGTATGGTCGCTTCCGAGAGTTGCTTGGTGGTGAATATGCGAAAGGCCCACTAGATGAGACTGACTCGGCGAGCGCCGGTGGGTGGAAGGAAAACGGTGAGTCATATGAACCCCCTGCTGGAGATGCTGGTTCTGAATCGTATGGGACGCTCCCGTAGGAGGATGGCGCTGCCATGTCGCCGCGTCCATAGACTGGAACGGGTAGTTCTGTGACCAATCCAGGCCCTCCAGCGTAAGCAGGTTTTGTGGAGAGGATTGATGCGGGAGCTGTACCTGGGCGATTGGCTGTTGTAGGTCTTCGGAAGGGTAAGGGAAGTACGTGTTGTGCTGACTGAGGTGGGAGGGCGAATGATTGGGATGGTGGAGGGGGGATTGTCGCGGAGACGACGGCAGCGAGTGGCGGGAGCGTTCTAGCATGTGCGTCGGGACCCCCTGCAGTGGGTGGCCTGCTGCTGCTGGATCCGGGCCGACCATCCCGTGAGAGACTGTCCCTAGAGGGGAGACTGAAGTTGAATGTGTTGGTGGTGAAG